TTATTTGGACCTTTCGCTTAATCACATTACTTCAGGCGGAATTCCTACACTTTTAGAATTTCTCAGCGTCAAAGTTTGTAAAAAGCTTACAGAACTTAATCTTCGTGGGAATAATATAGGTGATGAGGGCGTTCGTTTTCTTTGTAGCGGAATTCGAGAAAGACGGTTAAACCTGAAGAAGTTAAATCTATCCGAATGTTTTCTAACCAATAAAAGCATACCCTGGCTGGTAGAGCTTCTCAGTGATGAGCACTGTCAAATAACTGGCTTAGACATCTGTGGTAGTAAAATAGATGATAAAGGAATGGAGATGTTGTTTGACGTTTTCCGACAAGAAACATGTAAGATTACTACGTTGGATATTAGCTCGTGTTATTTAACAGAAAAAAGCATGGTTGCCTTGGGTGATGCTGTCAATGAAGGAAAATGTGGACTAAAGAAATTGAATCTTAGGGATAATAAGATAGGAGATGAAGGTATGCGGATCTTGTGCAGTGTTCTTGAACAAGGAACATGTCCTCTCACCAGATTGGACGTTTCCTTTTGCTCGTTAACAGACAAATGCATGCCGAGCTTGTGCCAGGCTCTCGGAGATGAACGATGTAAGCTCACTGAGTTGTATGTAAACAACAAAGGAATCACAGACAAACATTTATCATTACTCTCAGACACTCTGAAACTTCAGAATTGCTGTATTGGACGTTTATATATTTTATGTGTTACTACTAGCGCGGGTAAAAAGATCCTTCATGAAACCATGCAATCTGATATCTGTAGAGAACGAGGCTTAGACATTTTCTATTCAAAACAATTGTGAAACTGTTTAAAACAGATATTAAAATGTAGTAACGTTTCATCAGAGATCATAACTTTGGTTGAGCCTCAGATAAGGTTGGAAATTTGTAGGAATAATTTGTAATTAATTTAGATATCATTGGACAAGATGATGAATTAATAAGGTTTTCATTACTAAAAGTTTAAACAGTTGTTAAAAATGCAAATGGTTTAATCCCGGACTTAGGTTTATGTTCGTACGAACGGACAAACATATCGTCATATGTTTGGCTTTGCCACAATTTCACCCTGCATGTATAGTTTACAGAATTCAGCTTTGATAATGAATTTGTTTTCTTATATTTGTTTCTTTAACGAACCGTGTCGACATATTCGAAAGAGGAAGAAGTCTGTTGCAAGTCACAGGAAAATTTTCCAGAACAATTTAAGCAGTTGCCCAACCAAATTTGATTCTGACCGTCAGCGCTGTGTCATTAGGCGACTGACTAACAATTAGACAACGAAGCCCAGTTAACAATTCGTTCAAATATAACGAGGGTGAGTTGTCTAATTGTTTTAGTAAAACTAACGGAATACAAATAAACCCCACGACTTCAAGTTTTCGCAATAAAAACAAAATTCGCAATTTTAAGAAAACTTTTCGTGCCAATTGTTGATGTTGCAAAGACTTACATGCACGAATAGGCATATTCCGAGAGTGGACTGGATTCTGGTCATAAAATCCTTCTTTTGGAGTATGATATTTAGTCAATCCACTATAATAGGCTATCATTAATTTTCCGCCGGGCGGAAGACGTGATTCGGGATAGTTTTATATTATAGAAGCGCATCAGTTGGTAAAACCGAGTACGTTGTTCGTGGCTGAATTGTCTTTTCATTTCAATGATTTGTTTCCAGAGCAGTGTGATAAACCCCGGCAGTTTTTTACCCCGGAACCCCGGATAAACTGGAATAAACTCTTCAAAACTCTTCAAAAATATCAAAAGGAAACTTTAAAATTTTACCTTTGTCAGCAAAGATTCCTCTGGACGTAGAAAACAGCTGCAGAATAAGAAACAAAAACATTTTCTAACTCTTCATGGCGTCGATCTTGATTCATAAAAACAGCTGGATTCGTATGTGACTGGCTTGGAAACACGATTTGACTGGAGTTGAGTTGATCTTCACACTTGGGTGTATGACGTCATAATCGCGGATTATGACGTTCTGAATTTAATTAGAACACAAATAATTAGCGCTTGAATTACATTTTTACTCCATAATTTCGTGTGTAAGGGCTGACGGATGCAGAAAGAAATTATTCTCTCAGTCAACAAGGTTCAGCAGGTTAAAAAACCTGACGGTTTATCACATTTTAAACAAATACATTTAATCACCAGGGGCCGGTTGTATGAAAACCGGATAGCGCTATCCACCGGATAATGTTTTTTCAATTGCTTTAAAATCGTCCGTTGTTGGCTGAAACTTTGATTAAATCTTAGTATTCCTAAATTGAGGAATCTTTTAATAATTTTTGCTGACAAAGCTAGAATTTTATTGCTTTTCAAGCCGATTTTTAGATGGGTTAAAAAAATCACTATTCGATGGATAGCTTCATTCAGCATTTGTACAACCGACCTGACAATAAAAAGAGTTTTTTTAGCAGAAATATCTGACCTTCCCCTGGCAAATTTCGTTGGAATACAGTGATATTGATGATAAATACGGTCGAGACAAATTTGGAAATTCTCGCTAAAAATCATCTCTTTTTCAGATGGTTTTTATTAGACATGCTTTAACATCATACGGCAAAGTGTCGCGGCTTTTTGTACGAGGTTTTGGTTTTGGAGAGGTGTTGATATTAGAAACAGTTTATAATGAAGGCGATTTTGTAACGAATAGAATAAGAATCTCAGAGGCAAGGATTCAATTTTTGTACTTTATTTGATACTTTATATAATAGATTACAAAAAATGTATTTTGACTTACATGCACGAGGTTCTTCAGAACTATCGTATACGACGTCGGTGAAGACAATATCGGTCGGTGACGTACCTTTTGGTTCTACTGCGCATGTCACGGCCTCGTCATCATTAAGTTTAGAATCACCAGAATCTGAATCACGGCGGCTGTTTCAGTTTCAGATGACTCGCTGTAAAGTCGAAAGAGATGAATGTTTGAAAAGAATGCGCGTGGCGAAAAAATGCAACTCTCTAGAAGAAAGATAGAGTTTTAGCTGTTTCCATTCAAGGCTGTCAGGGAAAACTGTTCGATCTGATATTTTGTATTTGGATGCGTATAAATTTCAGTGAAGTTGACTACGAAAGACGTGATATCTTTCGAAAAAAATAAAGTGGCGGATTGTTGATGTTTTAACGAATCACAACATAGGCAGCCCAAATTTATGTGATAATTCGAACACGACATTACAAAAAACTATGTTGACAAATTGCCGAAAAATTTGTCGCATTGTAATAATATTGTGTTGCCGAAAATTTTGTCGCATTGTGAAAAACTACGTTGCCAAAAAATTTGTTGCATTGTAATAATACTATGTTAGCGAAAAATTTGTCGCATAGTATACCTAATAATACTATATTGGCGAAAAATTTGTCGCATTGTAATAATACTAATATGTTGCCGAAAAATTAGTCCGGTAATAAAACTAACGAGATTCACTAGTGGATCATATCTGCCGGCAAGAAAAATAAGAAAAATAATTGGCCGCGCACCTAGGAGGATTGAAAATGACCTTCAATGGGGCCTTTAATTTCTGCCATCTTTGGTTTCACTTTCAACAATCAAGATCCCACTCCAGGTATATATGGAGTTCATCGGTGGCAAATCCAAGAACCCCCGCGCGCTCACTTTCTAAGCTGAAGTGTATATAGCAGCTGAATTCAACGTTGGATGGGTTCCAATGTAGCGTCTGGATACGAGGCTGGGAAACAATATTCCTTAAAATAAAAAATAAACTAAATATCCTTTCGTAATGTGGATTAACAACTCATTTCTGGCACTGACATTTTCTTTGTGTAATTGTGGAACAGGAAGTTAAAGAATTATTCGTTTTTGCATATTGCGAGAGACGGTATTGTTCAGGGAAGAGGTTGGGTATTGTTTTGCTCAGTGGTCTATTTTAAAATAACACTTTACGTCGAGAGAGACGCGACAGTGTGGGCTAAAATATATATCGTGAAGTAAACAGTCTTATTTCTTTCAAGATGATGGATGGTATTAAAGAACACATTAAGCCCAAGAGTTTTAGTATCTTATCCTACGCATGTGTGATCGTCCATTTTTTCTGTGGATTAATCTTTGCAGCAATTGCCAGGGAATTTAGACTCAGCGAGATGGAAAAGTTCAGTTGTGCTGTTGATACAAAACATGCAACACACAAAATTTATGTTGAGAAAACGTGTTTTTCAATCTACGACGACGAGTACAACTCTCCCGTGAAATTATTCGCTTTTGTTCTGGTCAATTTTGGTTCTGTTGTTGTTGTGAGTGTCGTTTATTCGCTTGCTGTTGGCAATCGTATCAAACAAGCACAAAGACTCTCAAGCGGAAGTGATGAACCTCAAACAGTCGCGAGAGGGAACAATGAACGAGGTAGAAATATCTTTTATGTTTTCTATTTCTATTTGTTTCACCTTGTGGCTCGTTCAATGCTCTGTATATTATTCACAATCCTACAACATACTGTATTGTATCCGAGTGGTTTTGATTCACAATTCACTTGTGTTTATCCCGAATTGAGTTCAACGCACTCAAACACGACTACAGCAAAGAATACAAGTGACGCCATGTTATCTAATTATGTAAGCTGTACGAACTCAGCTGCCCGGGATAAAGAGTTTTTGTTGGCAACTTTGTCTTTATGTAATGGTATTTTTTGTATAATTGCCCTGGCAGAAGTTATTTATCTGCTAGTAAAGCGATTTTCCCGTTTCATTTCTCAATCTAACGCAGCCTGGTCATGTGATTTGCAATTTATTATTGAGTATTTTCTTCGAGAGCAAAACGTATCTGATGAAGTTAACTTGATCGACATGAACATATTCAACAATTGTACCCCGAACAGTCGCGACATTTACCAGCAAAAGGTTTTACAGCTAAGTCTCACACCGGACATAAATTATGGTTCAAATAATACACCTTTGGACGACATGTATATAGACGTTGTTATCCATACTGAGAAAGCCCCACACAACTTTTCAAAAAGAATGAAGTGGCATGAGATCTATGATGTTTATATGAAAGTTTCCGAAAAATCAATTCATCTGAAAGAAATTAAAGAATTATTTTATCCCAACAAGGATACTAAAAACAAAATCCCTTTCACTATTTTGGTAATCGGACGTCCCGGAATTGGAAAAACTGTTCTGACCAGAAAAATCGTGCGAGATTGGGCAAAAGGAGATGATGAAATTTATCACAATAAAATCGCATTTTATTTCAAATTCAGATGGTTCAATCTTGCCCAAAAACAACATGTAACACTTAAGAAATTTCTTCAGATTGGAACAGAACTGCTGAATAAAGATGAATTTGAAAGTATTTTTAAAGAAATTTGGAAAAATCCACGAGTGGCTACTTTCGTTTTTGACGGTTTAGATGAATTTCATGCAAGCCATGGAAGTTTTCAGATAATTCTAGATCAGTCAAGAATGTTTCCCAATGATGATGTTTCTTGTTCCATGTCTGCAATGTTTCTTTTCGTCAAAATCTTGGTTGGCGACATGTTACCAGGGGCAACAGTCTTGGTGACCAGCAGGCCAATTGTGAATGATGTTTTGTGCAAAATGAAATTTGACAGAACTGTTGAAATAGTTGGGTTCACATCAGATAAAATTGAACAGTATGTTAAACAGTTTTGTGCTAATCATAACAGGTGCGATCTAGAAGCAACGCTATTGAGTCATATCAAATCATCATCTGAACTGATGAATTTATGCTACATTCCAGTGAATTGTTTTATTGTGTGCGTCTCTCTGTTCGAATGTCTCGTTGTGTCAGAGGGTGATATTGGTGATCTACCAACCACTTTGACGGAACTGTACGAGTCAGCTTTAGTCTACTTCAATAAGCATCACGACCGAAATGAGAGCAAAGAAGTTGTTTTAAAGAAACTTCAACTGTTGGCTTTCAATGGTATGAAAAACGATGAACTGATTTTCAATGGAGAGCTAGTCGATGAGAAAATGAAAGCGTCAGGATTACTAAACTCTTTACCTAATCCAATTTTTCAAATTCAAATACAGGTTTGCTTTATGCATTTAACTATACAAGAATTTCTCGCAGCAAAGCATATAATGGAAACAAAAACACCTGAAGAAGTAAAAGAATTTATATCTTCGCATATCAAACATGGCAGATGGCATCTCGTGCTTCAGTTTCTGGCTGGATTATTGGGAGTGAAAATGAGAACGTCTGATGATTCTCGTGAATATAGAAGCTGTGTGTTGTCGTTCAAGGAATATCTTGCAATTCAAGGCACTAAGTGCGAAATTCGACCAAATCATATTTTGGTGATGAAATGTTTGAGAGAAGCACAGGATGAAGATGTTAATAAAGAAATTGCTGCAAACTCTGGTTTGAAAGATGCAACGGAGATATTTTGTGATGCTGCTGATGTACGACTTCTTTCCCTAAGCGATGTGGCAGCAATGGTGTTCGTTTGCAAACAGTTGAACTTTTTAAATCATTTATACATTAATGGCGCACCTAGTGATTGTTCAATGGAAGCTCTTAAATTGCTAAATGAAAGATGCATAAAATCACTGTCCATGAACGATTGTCATCTTGGCGAGATGGATTGGAAGCGTTGTCCGGCGCTATTGCAATCTGAATGTCAGCTGAAGCACAGTCATTCTAAGCTTACCAAGCTCTGTTGGCCAAAAAACAATATTAGTGATGCCGGAGTGGCGTATCTAAATGAGTTTCTCAAAAATAGGCATAAAGTCGGTTTGGTGGAATTAGATCTGTCGTTAAATGATATTACTTCGTGTGGAATTTTGACACTTGTGGAATGTCTCAGCAGCAAAGTTTGTAACCAGCTTACAAAACTTGATCTTGGCGGCAATCCTCACATACGTGATGAAGGCGTTCGTATTCTTTGTAACGTAATTCGAGAAAGGCAGTTGAAACTTGAGAAGCTGAATCTATTCGGATGTTCTTTAACCAATGAAAGCATACCATGCCTGGTAAAATGTGGACTAAAGGACTTGACACTTAGCAATAATAAGATAGGAGATGAAGGTATGCGGATCTTGTGCAGTGTTCTTGAACAAGGAACATTTCCTCTCACCAGATTGAACGTTTCCTTTTGTTCGTTAACAGACGAATGCATGCCGAGCTTGTGCCAGGCTCTCGGAGATGAACGATGTAAGCTCACTAAGTTGTATGTAAGCGACAATGGAATCACAGATAAACATTTATCATTACTCTCAGACACTCTGAAACTTCAGAATTGTTGTCTTGAATATTTATATATTGAAGGTGTTATTACTAAAGCGGGTGAAAAGATCCTTAATGAAACCATGCAATCTGATATCTGCGTAGTACGAGCTTTAAAAATTATCTGTATCACACCTTTGCAATAAATATTTTGAACAATTGAACCTTAATCCTCAACTTTTCGAATTTACATTTCATCGGAGATCATAACTTAGGTTGAGCCTCAAAGAAATTGTAGATAATTATATTATCAAGACATGGTTGTAAATTTGGTTTGTAATTAATAAATAAATACATTTAGTTAACATATTATTGGACAACATGATCAAATTGCAAAGTTTTCATTACTAAAAGTTTGAGCAGTTGTTTAAAATTCAAATGGTTGCATGTTTACGCATGGAGCATAGATGAAAGATTGACAGACGTCTTTTTTAGGTGTAAAAGTCTCCCAAGGCAGACATCTTGCTGGCATAGATGAAAGATGGACGGATGTCCATCTCAGTGGTAAGAATGTCCCAAGCATGGAAATAATAGATCATACCTTTTCTTTGTATGGAGTTAGGTAATGTCTGTACCGTACGAACGACAGACAATCGTCATATGTTTGACTTATAACCAGGGAGCAGCGTGGCAGCGTCTTCAAACAACTTAGCATCAAATGTGGTATAACAACTGCCTAAAATAGACAAAACACTTCTCGACATTTCGACCTGAGGGCCTTCGTCAGGAGAGTTAGTAGATGTTAGAGTTGGTGCTAACTCTACGGCGAAGGCCCTCAGGTCGAAACGTCGAGAAGTGTTTGGTCTATTTTAGGGGCTGTTTACATGAGCCCGGTTACCCGAGATTCAACGAAGCATGAGAGGACTTTGAGGTATTGAAATAAGTCTTTATGATACCAAACAAGCACATGCTATTGTTGTGGTGATTATATGACTGCCAGGATCATGTTATCTGCTCATTTCAAGTTATTATACCACATTTGATGTTATGTTTGGCTTAGCCGCAATCTCCTCCAGCATACTTTACAGGTATGTATTAGATTTTGTTATATAGGTGCTGTGTATTATAAATGTGATTGGTTCATTCGTAGTCACATGACTTTAAATTAATGCAATGTTTCCCGCCTGGGAAACAAGTGAAAAATTGTTGCCCGCAACTTGTCAGAGCAAAGTAAAGTGGGTTTCTTTTTTGAATGAAATTGTTGTGTAACATGTATGTTTTTGTTCCTATATAACAAAACGCTTAATGTACACTACCTCGGGAAATAGTGAGTTTTGTTTTCCCTTGAGTCTCAATGTTTATTCAGACTCCTGGGAAAACTCACTATTTCCCTCGGGAGCATACATTAAGTGTATAATGTATTGGTATGTATTAGTTTTTGATAAAATTTCTTCTTTCTTTAATGAACCGAACGCAAATACTGAAAAGAGCAAGACGTCAGTTGCTTGTCACGGGAAAGCGACACATTTTTACTCACCAAAATTTCAAAATTAGTTTAAATTACTATTTTCATTTCCGTGATTTTGGTTACATTAATGCTGTGGAATAAACAAGTCGTTGCATTAGGGTTGCGAAATAAACTAAAATGAAGGACCATTCTACTCTGATGTGATATTTTTTGAAGATGAAAAACTTAAGATTCTAAGATGAAATATGCTTTGCTATGAATTTGGAAACACTGTCTGTCGGAGTTATTTCATCGTAAAATTTTTATTCGCTGCAATAAACATCACGCTTTTGCATAACTACACTGTCCACACAACATTGACAATAAGGTTCAAGAAAGCAGATCTGCTCGTGAAGACTCAAGACTAAATTATAGAAAAAATGTTATATTGTTATTCAATTTATAAATTATAAATAACCGATTTACTCGATTGAAGTGCACACATGGCTAAATGGACGTTGCAGTTGCAGTTGCACACTTGCACCCTTGAGATTTTGTCTTGCACACTTAAGATCTCGTCGAAAACTGCAATACTCTGCAGTCTGGCGCTTTTGAATAAACGTGAGCATTTATCAGTAATTTAATGAATGTAGATTATTCTTTAATGTTTTAAAGTACCAACGCTCATTGCATCTGCTATATGTTGCGAGCGTGATTTCTTAAATTTTAGTAAATGTCTAGTTTCAACAGACTCAGCGCAAAAATGTCTGGTGGCCGAATCTAAGACGGAATCTGAGGCCGAATTCGCGGTTCACTGTACAGTGGTTTCCCCTGACCATTTGTTGCTCTGTATTTGTGTAATCCGTCTGGAAATGACAGGTTTTGTAACAAAATCCGAACATCACAATCGTCATTCTCTGATTTGTCTCTGTCTAATTTTACTTAATATTTCAAATCCTCGGGATGAATTTGTATTCTATGTACGTGCTTTTTCCAAGCTCAGAGCAAGTAAATTTTAGTTCGCTTGGTTTTCATGTGACGAAGTATAAAATACAGAGTTAATACAGACCAATCGAAGCAACACCAAAAGCACCTGACCGTCGCCATATCAAGTTACAAATTCATACATAAATACTTCGCCCTGTGCAATAAGCGACATAATCGGCTAAAATATTCATTTCAAATCAAATATCCCTCCTTTACCAAAGATAATGGATGGTATTAAAGAACATTTAATACCCAAGAGATTTAGCATCTTATCCTACATATGTGTGATCATCCATCTTTCTTGTGGAGTGATATTTACAGCAATTGCCAGGGAAGTTAGACTCAGCGAGATGGAAAAGTTCAGTTGTGCTGTTGATACAAAACATGCAACGCACAAAAGTTATGTCGAAAAAACGTGTTTTTCAATCTACGACGACGAGTACAACTCTGACATGAAATTATTTGGTTTCGTTCTGCTCAATTTTGGTTCTGTTGTTGTTGTGAGTGTCGTTTATTCGCTTGCTGTTGGCAATCGTATCAAACAAGCAGAGAGACTCTCAAGCGGAAGTGATGAACCTCGAACAGTCGCGAGAGGGAACAATGAACAAGGTAGAAAAACCTTTTATGTTTTCAATTTCTATTTGTTCCACCTTGTGGCTCGTTCAATGCTGTGTATATTATTCATAATCCTACAGCATACTGTATTGTATCCGAGTGGTTTTGATTCACAATTCAGTTGTGATTACCCCGAATTGAGTTCAACGCACTCAAACATGACTAGAGCAAAGAATACAAGCGGCGACAAGCTATCTAATGTTAGATGCGCGAACTCGGCTGCCCGGGATAAAGAGTCTTTGTTGGTTGCTTTGTCGTTATTCAATGGCATTTTTAGTATAATTGCTCTGGCGGAGTTTATTTATCTACTAGTGAAGCGATTTTCCCCTTGCATTCCTCAAGCTTGGTCATGTGATTTACAATTTATTATTGAGTATTTTCTTCGAGAGCAATACGTACCTGATGAGGTTGAGTTGATCAGCATAAGCAATTGTAGCCCGAACAGTCGCGACATTTACAAGCGAAAGGTTTTACAGTTAGGTCTCACACCGGACATAAATTATGGTTCAAAGCATACATCTTTGGACGACATGTTCATAGACCTTGTTATCCATACTGAACAAGCCCCACACAAGTTTTCAAAAGGAATGGATAGGCATGAGATCTATGATGTTTATATGAAAGTTCCAGAAATTTCAATACTCCTGAAAGAGATTAAAGCTCTATTTTATGGAAATAAAGATACTTACTTCGTTGCTCCGGCCACCATCTTGGTAATTGGTCGTCCTGGGATTGGAAAAACTGTTTTGACCAGGAAAATTATGTACGATTGGGCAAAAGATGATGCTGAAATTTATCACAATAGGGTCGCTTTCTACTTTAAATTCCGAGAGTTCAATTTCAATGAGATGCAAGACATAACAATTAAAACATTTTTACAGTTTGGAACTGAACTGGACGAAAATCAGTTTGAAAGTGTTTTCGAAGAAATTTTGAGAAATCCACAAAACGCTATTTTTGTTTTTGATGGTTTGGATGAATTTCATGTCATCATTAGAGATTTTCAGCGTGTCCTAGCTCAGTCAAAAAAGTATTCGAATAATGATATTTCCTGCCAAATGTCAGCAATGTCTCTTTTTGTCAAAATCTCGTCTGGAGACATGTTACCAGGAGCAACAGTCTTGGTGACCAGCAGGCCAACTGTGAATGATGTTTTATGCAAAATGAAATTTGACAGAACTGTTGAAATAGTTGGGTTCACATCAGATAAAATTGAACAGTATGTTAAACAGTTTTGTGCTAATTATAACAGGTGTGATCTAGAAGCAACGATATTGAGTCATATCAAATCATCATCTGAACTGATGAATTTATGCTACATTCCAGTGAATTGTTTTATTGTTTGTGTTTCTCTGTTCAAATGTCTCATTGATTCAGAGAGTGATATTAGTGCTCTACCAACTACTTTGACTGAACTGTACCAGTTGGCCTTAGTCTGGTGCTTCAATTTCTAGCTGGATTATTGGGAGGGAAAATGAGGAAGTCTGATGACTCTCATCAATACAGAAGCTGCGTGTTGTCGTTCAAGAAATATCTTGCAATTGAAGGCACTACGTACAAGATTACAGAAAATATTTTGGTAATGAAATGCTTGAGAGAAGTGCAGGATGAAGATGTTGCTAAAGAAATTGCTGCAAACTCTGCTTTGAAAGATGTGACTGAGATATGGTGTTCTGGTTTTGCTATTCTCTCCCCAAGCGATGTGGCAGCAATGGTGTTCGTTTGCAAACACTTGAACATTTTAAATTGCCTAGGCATTGCAGGCGTATCCAGTGCTTGTTTGATGAAGCTTTAAATTGCTGCATGGAAGATGCTTAAAGTCACTGGATATGGTAAGTTGTAATCTTGGTGACATGGGTGTGAGGCGTTGTGCTACTGCGTTGACATCTGAATGTCAGCTGAATCACAGTCATTCGAAGCTTGCCAAGTTATGTTTGTCTCTCAACAGTATAGTGATGTCGGAGTGGCGTATCTGAATGAGTTTCTCCAAAATAGCCATGAAGTCTGTTTAAAGGATTTAGACCTGTCGACTAATCTCATTACTTCATGCGGAATTCCTGCACTTTTAGAATTTCTCAGCGTCGAAGTTTGTAACCAGCTTACAGAACTTAATCTTGATGGGAATGATATAGGTGATGAGGGCGTTCGTCTCTTGTTGCGGAATTCGACAAAGACGATTGAAGCTGAAGAAGTTAAATCTATCCGGACGTTCTTTAACCAATGAAAGCATACCCTGGCTGGTAGAGCTTATCAGTGATGAACACTGTCAAATAACTGGCTTAGAAATCAGTGGTCGTAAAATAGGTGATCAAGGAATGGAGATGTTGTTTGACGTTTTCAGACAAGAAACATGTAAGATTACTATGTTGAGTATTAGCTCGTGTTATTTAACAGAAAAAAGCATGGTTGCCTTGGGTGATGCTGTCAATGAAGGAAAATGTGGACTAAAGATATTGAATCTTAGCAATAATAAGATAGGAGATGAAGGTATGCGGATCTTGTGCAATGTTCTTGAACAAGGAACATGTCCTCTCACCAGTTTGCACGTTTCCAGATGTTCGTTAACAGACGAATGCATGCCGAGCTTGTGCCAGGCTCTCGGAGATAAACGATGTAAACTCACTAAGTTGTATGTAAACAACAATGAAATCACAGATAAACATTTATCATTACTCTCAGACACTCTGAAACTTCAGAATTGTTGTCTGGAATATTTATCTATTAAAGGTGTTATTACTAAAGCTGGTGAAAAGATCCTTAATGAAACCATGCAATCTGATATCTGTACAGAACGAGGTTTATACGTTTTTTATTAAAAACAATTGTGAGACTGTTTATAACACGTATTAAAATGTAGTAACCTTTCATCGGAGATCATAACTTTGGTTGAGCCTCAAAGAAGTCACAGATAATTATATATTTTATCAGATAAGGTTGGAAATTTGTAGGAATAATTTGTAATTAATTTAGATTTTTATGGACAAGATGATGAATTAACAAGGTTTTCATTACTAAAAGTTTAAACGGGTGTTAAAAATGTAAATGGTTTTTTAATCCCGGAGTTAGGTTTATGTCCGTACGAACTGACAAACATATCGTCATATATTTGGTCTTGCCAAAATTTCACCCTGCATGTATAGTTTACAGAATTCAGCTTTGATAATGAATTTGATTTCTTATTTCTTTCTTTAACGAACCGTGTTGACATATTCGAAAGAGGAAGAGGTCTGTTGCTAGTCACAGGAAAGCTTTCCAGAGCATTTTTGGCAGTTGCTCAACCAAATTTGATTCTGACCCTCAGCGCTGTGTCATTAGCGACTAACTAACAATTAGACAACGAAGCCCAGTTAACCATTCGTTCAAATATAACCAGGGTGAGTTGTTTAATTGTTTTAGTAAAACTAACGGAATACAAAGAAACCCCACGACTTCAAGTTTTCGCAATAAAAACAAAACTCGCAATTTTAAGAAAACTTTTCGTGCCAATTGTTGATGTTGCAAAGACTTACATACACCAATAGGCATATTCCGAGAGTGGACTGGATTCTGGTCACAAAATCCTTCTTTTGGAGTATGATATTTAGTCAATCCACTATAATAGGCTATCATTAATCGCCTACTAATAGCGTAGCAAGGCGGAAGACGCGATTCGGGATAGTTTATTATAGAAGCGCTTCAGTAAAACCGAGTACGTAGTTTGTAGCTGAATTGTCTTTTCATTTCATTGATTTGTTTCCAGAGCAGTGGATAAACCCTGGCAGTTTTTACCCGGAACCCGGGATAATAAACCCGTCTACCCTTTTAAACTCTTCAAAACTGGAAAATCAAAGGAAATTTAAAATCTTAAAATCAGAAACAGCTGCAGAATAAGAAACAAAAACATTTTTTAACTCTTCATGGCGTCGATGTTGATTCATAAAAACGGCTGGATTCGTATGTGACTGGCTTGGAAACACAATTTGACTGGAGTTGATTTGATCTTCACACTTGGGCGTATGACGTCATAATCGCGGATTAATTAGAACACAAATAATTAGCGCTTGAATTACATTTTTACTCCATAATTTTGTGTGTGAGGGCTGGCGGATGCAGAAAGAAATGATTCTCTCACTCTCAGTCAACAAGGTTCTGCAGGTTAAAAAACGTGACTGTTTATCACATGTTAAACAAATACATTTAATCACCAGGGGCCGGTTGTATGAAAACCGGATAGCGCTATCCACCGGATAATGTTTTTTTAATTGCTTTAAAATCGTCCGTTGTTGGCTGAAACTTTGATTAAATCTTAGTATTCCTAAATTGAGGAATCTTTTAATAATTGTTGCTTACAAAGCTAGAATTTTATTGCTTTTCAAGCATTGTTAGATGGGTTGAAAAAATCACTATTCGATGGATAGCTCGAATGGATAGCTGGATGGATCATCCAGCATTTGTACAACCGACCCGACAATAAAAAGAGGCTTTTTAGCAGAAATATCTGACCTTCCCCCGGCAAATTTCGTCGGAATACAGTGATATTGATGATAAATACGGTCGAGACAAATTTGGCAATTCTCGCTAAAAATCATCTCTTTTTCAGATGGTTTTTATTAGGTATGCTTTAACATCATACGGCAAAGTGTCGCGGCTTTTTGTACGAGGTTTTGGTTTTGGAGAGGTGTTGATATTAGAAACAGTTTATAATGAAGGCGATTTTGTAATGAATAGAATAAGAATCTCAGAGACAAGGATTCAATTTTTGTACTTTATTTGATACTTTATATAATAGATTACAAAAAATGTATTCTGACTTACATGCACGAAGTTTTTCAGAACTATTGTATACGACATTGGTGAAGACAATATCGGTCGGTGACGTACCTTTTGGTTCTACTGCGCATGTCACTGCCTCGTCATCATTAAGTTCAGAATCACCAGAATCTGAATCACGGCGGCTGTTTCAGTTTCAGATGACTCGCTGTAAAGTCGAAAGAGACGAATGTTTGAAAAGAATGCGCGTGGCGAAAAAATGCAACTCTCTAGAAGAAAGATAGAGTTTTAACTGTTTCCATTCAGGGTTCTCAGGGAAAACTGTTCGATCTGATATTTTGTATTTCGGTGCGTATAAATTTCAGTGAAGTTCACTACGAAAGACGTGATATCTTTCAAAAAAAAATAAAGTAGCGGATTGTTGATGTTTCAACGAATCACAACACAGGCAGCCTAAATTTATGTGATAATTCGAACACGACATTACAAAAAACTGTTGACAAATTGCCGAAAAAATTGTCGCATTGTAATAATATTATGTTGCCGAAAAATTTGTCGCATTGTGAAAAACTACGTTGCCAAAAAATTTGTTGCATTGTAATAATACTATGTTGGCGAAAAATTTGTCGCATTGTATACGTAATAATACTATATTGGCTAAAAATTTGTCGCATTGTAATAATACTAATATGTTGCCGAAAAATTAGTCCGCGGTAATAAAACTAACGAGACTCACTAGTGGATCATAACTGCCGGCCGGAACAATGAGAAAAATAATTGGCCGCGCACCTAGGAGGATTGAAAATGACCTTCAATGATGGGGCCTTTAATTTCTGCCATCTTTGGTTTCACTTTCAACAATCAAGATCCCACTCCAGGTATATATGGAGTTCATCGGTGGCAAATCCAAGAACCCCTGCGCGCTCACTTTCTAAGCTGAAGTCTATATAGCAGCTGAATTCAACGTTGGATGAGTTCCAATGTAGCGTCTGGATACGAGGCTGGGAAACAGTATCCCTTAAAATAAAAAATAAACTAAATATCCTTTCGTGATATGGATTAACAACTTATTTCTGGCACTGATATTTTCTTTGTGTGATTGCAGAACAGGAATTTAAAGAATTATTCGTTTTTGCATATTGCGAGAGACGGTATTGTTCAGGGACGAGGTTGGGTATTGTTTTGCTCAGTGGTCTATTTTAAAATAACACTTTACGTCGAGAGAGACGCGACAGTGTTGGCATATCGTGAAGTAAATATTCTTATCTCTTTCAAGATGATGGATGGAATAAAAGAATACATCTTACCTAAGAGTTTTAGCATCTTATCCTACATATGTGTGGTCATCCATTTTCACTGTGGAGTGATATTTACAGCAATTACCACGGCTCTGAGACTCAGCGAGATGGAAAAGTTCAGTTGTGCTGTTGACACAAAACATGCAACACACAAAAATTATGTGGAAAAAACGTGTTTTTCAATCTACGACGACGAGTACAACTCTCCCGTGAAATTCTCTGCCTTCATTCTGTTCAATTTTGGTTCTGTTGTTGTTTTGAGTGTCGTTTATTCGCTTGCTGTTGGCAATCGTATCAAACAAGCAGAAAGACTCTCAAGTGGAAGTGATGAACCTCAAACAGTCGCCAAGAAAGGAAACAATGAACAAGGTAGAAAAACCTTTTATGTTTTCAATTACTATTTGTTCCACCTTGTGGCTCGTTCAATGCTCTGTATGTTATTCACAATCCTACAGCATACTGTATTGTTTCGGAGTGGTTTTAATTCACAATTCACTTGTGTTTATCCCGAATTGAGATCAGTTGATCCCAACATGACTCTAGCAAATAATGGAAGTGCCAACTTATCCAGTGTAAAATGTACAAACTCAGCTGCTAAAGATAAACAGTTTTGGTTGACAATTGTGTCTGTTTCTAATGGTTTTAACGCCACAATTGCATTGGCAGAAGTTATTTATCTACTAGTGAAGCGATTTTCATGTTTCGCCCCCAGATCTTCTGTTGCTTGGTCATGTGATTCACAATTTATTATTGAGTATTTTCCTCGAGAGCAACACGTACCTGATGACGTTGAGTTGATCAGCATAAGCAATTGTACCCCGAACAGTCGTGACATTTACAAACGAAAGGTTTTACAGCTAGGCCTCACACCAGACATAAATTATGGTTCAAATAATACACCTTTGGAAGAAATGTATATAGACCTTGTTATCCATACTGAACAAGCCCCACACAAGTTTTCAAAAAGAATGAATAGGCATGAGATCTATGATGTTTATATGAAAGTTCCAGAAATTTCAATACTCCTGAAAGAGATTAAGGAATTATTTTATCTGAACAAGGATACTAAAAACAAAACCCCTTCCACCATTTTGGTGATCGGACGTCCCGGAATTGGAAAAACTGTTCTGACCAGAAAAATCATGCAAGATTGGGCAAAAGGAGATGATGAAATTTATCGCAATAAAATCGCTTTTTACTTCAAATTCAGATGGTTCAATCTGGCCCAAATGCAACATGTAACACTTAAGAAATTTCTTCAGTTTGGAACAGAACTGCTGAATGAAGATGAATTTGAAAGTATTTTTAAAGAAACTTGGGGAAACCCACAAAATGCTACTTTCGTTTTTGACGGTTTAGATGAATTTGGTGCAAACCATGAAGGTTTTCAGATAATTCTAGATCAGTCAAGAATGTTTCCCAGTGATGATGTTTCTTGTTCCATGTCTGCAATGATTCTTTTCGTCAAAATCTTCGTTGGCGACATGTTACCAGGAGCAACAGTCTTGGTGACCAGCAGACCAACTGTGAATGATGTTTTGTGCAAAATGAAATTTGACAGAACTGTTGAGATAGTTGGGTTCACATCAGATAAAATTGAACAGTATGTTAAACAGTTTTGTGCTAATTATAACAGGTGCGATCTAGAAGCAACGATATTGAGTCATATCAAATCATCATCCGAACTGATAAGTTTATGCTACATTCCAGTGAATTGTTTTATTGTGTGTGTTTCTCTGTTCAAATGTCTCATTGACTCAGAGGGTGATATTGGTGTTCTACCAACACTTTGACTGAATGTACAGTGGCCTAGGTACTTCAATAAGCATCATGACCGAAATCAGAGCAAAGAAGTTTTAAAGGAACTTCAACAGTTGGCTTTCAATGGTATGAAAAATGATGAACTGATTTTCAATGGAGAGCTAGTCGATGAGAAAATGGAAGCGTCAGGATTACTAAACTCTTTACCTAATCCAATTTTTCAAATTCAAATACAGGTTTGCTTTATTCATTTAACTATACAAGAATTTCTCGCGGCGAAGCATATAGTGGAAACAAAAACACCTGAAGAAGTAAAAGAATTTATATCTTCGTATTTCAAGCATGGCAGATGGCATCTGGTGCTTCAATTTCTAGCTGGGTTATTGGGAGTGAAAATGAGGACGTCTGATGACTCTCATCAATACAGAAGCTGTGTGTTGTCGTTCGAGAAATATCTTGCAATTCAAGGCACTAGGTGCGAAATTCAAAGAAATACCCTAGTGATGAAATGCTTGAGAGAAGCGCAGGATGAAGATGTTGCTAAAGAAATTGCTGCAAACTCTGCTTTGAAAGATGTGACTGAGATATTTATTGGATGTGCACCTTTCTCCCCAAGTGATGTGGCAGCTGGGGTATTCGTTTGCAAACACTTGGACTTTTTAAATTGCTTAAGCATTACAGGCGTAATCATTGGTTATTTGGAAGCTTTTAAATTGCTGCATGGAAGGTGCTTAAAGTCACTGATGGTACAATATTGTAATCTTGGCGACATGGGTGTGAAGCGTTTTGCCACTGCTTTAACATCTGAATGTCAGCTGAATCACAGTCATTCTAAGCTTACGAAGTTATGTTTGTCTCACAACAGTATTAGTGATGCCGGAGTGGCGTATCTGAACAATTTTCTCCAAAATAGCCATAAAGTCTGTTTGGAGGATTTAGACTTGTCGACTAATCACATTACGTCATGCGGAATTCCTACACTTTTAGAATTTCTCAGCGTCGAAGTTTGTAACCAGCTTACAGAACTTAATCTTGGTGGAAATGATATAGGTGATGAGGACGTTCGTTTTCTTTGTAGCGGAATTCGAGAAAGACGCTTGAAGCTGAAAAAATTAAATCTATTCAAATGTTCTTTAACCAATGAAAGCGTACCCTGGCTGGTAGAGCTTATCAGTGATGAACACTGTCAAATAACTGACTTAGACATCAGTGAGAGTGAAATAGATGATAAAGGAATGGAGATGTTGTTTGACGTTTTCAGACAAGAAACATGTAAGATTACTGCGTTGAATGTTAGCTCGTGTTATTTAACAGAAAAAAGCATGGTTGCCTTGGGTGATTCTGTCAATGAAGGAAAATGTGGACTAAAGATATTGAATCTTAGCGGTAATAATATAGGAGATGAAGGTATGCGGATCTTGTGCAGTGTTCTTGAAAAAGGAACATGTCCTCTCATCAGTTTGAAGGTTTCCGTTTGTTCGTTAACAGACAAATGCATGCCGAGCTTGTGCCAGGCTCTTGGAGATGAACGATGTAAACTCACTGAGTTGTATGTATGTGACAATGGAATCACAGACAAACATTTATCATTACTCTCAGACACTCTGAAACTTCAGAATTGTTGTCTGAAATATTTAATATTGATTGTGGGTGTTACTACTAAAGCGGGTAAAAAAATCCTTAATGAGACCATGCAATCTGATATCTGTAGAGAACGAGGTTTACACATTTTGTATAAATTGCGAGACTGTTTATAACACATATTAAGATACAATAACGTTTCATCGGAGATCATAACTTTGGTTGAGCCTCAAAGAAGTCACAGATAATTATATATTCTATCAGATGCGGTTGGAAATTTATAGAAATAATGTGTAATTAATTTAGATATTATTGGACAACATGATGAATTAACAGTGTTTTCAATACTAAATGTTTAAACGGTTGTGAAAATAGAAATGGTTTTTTAATCCCGGAGTTCGGTTTATGTCCGTACGAACTGACAAATATATCGCCATATGTTTGGCTTTGCGAAAATTTCACCCTGCATGTATAGTTTACAGAATTCAACTTTGATAATGAATTTGATTTCTTATTTCTTTCTTTAACGAACCGTGTTTAATTCCTACTATTATAATCATAAACATGTACGTACGGACTCGAGTTTACTGGATAGTCGATAGCATCGACAGCGAATGACATAGCAACGTTTGTATGAATATTTCAAAGTTTTGGCAGCATAATTAATTTCCCGTAGCTTATTTCAAGAAAAATATTTGACTAGCGACGTCAAACAAGGTCAGCTAACCGCGTCGTAGATCATAAACTAACCTCAATAGGGCCAAAGGGGCCAAAACGTTTCCACTTTAGCCTAAATGAAACATTTTCTTCTTGGCCTCTCAATTCCCGTCTCGCCGCGTGTACTAAGGAACGCATAAAAGGCCTAATGACTAGGCTGCTTGCAGGGACAAAATCAGGGACAATTTTTGAAATCTCAACATTTTGTGTTAGGCCTCTCAGCGTGGGCTGCCCCTGCATATAATTATACAGCGCGCGCTTACAAGGCCTGGGACTAGGCTGCGCTTGACCATGAATAGTGCACGGAAGTGTGCAATACTGATTACTGCACGATGATGAAAACGAAAGACGAGGTGACATTCTCTAATCAGTGGCGTAGCCAGCCTGACGATTTTGTCCCGCTATTTCAATTTCGAGTTGTTATAATTATTCATGTCTTTAAATTTTTTTTGTTTTCTCAATCAATGAACACCAAAATATTAAATCAGCGGGACAACTCGTCAGGCTGGCTACGCTTCTGGTTCAATACAATTTCATTGATAGAACATTTATCAGACACCTATATATAATGAGGCATTTTGAGAGGTATTTTTACCACAGTTAATATCGCTGTATACTTTTTCAAAATTTTACAGATGCCTCGAATTTTCGATCATTTCAAGGAGGTGAAGAAACTGACCCAGATTGTTTACTTAATTTAACCATCGACAACAATGCGAGTGACCACAAATTTACAACTTCGGAAGAGCGTTCGTTTCTTCTTGACTTGTACGATTCAACGGGCGGTCCTTTCCACTGGCATAAGAAAACAGGCTGGGGAAAAAACAGCAGTTTGCATCATTGCGAATGGTATGGTATTCGTTGCTATAACAGCAGCAACTATGTCAAATGGATCGATCTTTCTAGAAATGGCCTCACAGGACCCTTGCCAAATTTGTGGAGGTTTCGAAATCTACAGGGAATATGTTTGTCTGGTAACAAGGGAATGACAGGAAGGATATCCGACGTGGTTTCCAGTAATATGACTCGACTTCGTCAGCTCTGTATCTCCTTTTCGGGAATATATGGCGAAATACCATGGAACCTGCTGTTGCAGTTGTACAACCTTGAGAAACTACAGCTTTGTTGTATGAATCAAACCATGTTATACGGCACCATCCCGTCCGATATAGATCGTCTGCGGAAACTGCGAGTGTTGAGCCTTGGCGAAAACAACATCGAAGGGGACTTGCCTTTGAGCATCAAAAATCTGACAAAACTGTGGTTTTTGGACTTGGAATACGCAAGGCTGAATTCGGGTAGATTGTGGTATTTTTCAAACATGACCAACTTAATATCTTTACATCTGACGAATTGTGAGCTGGAAGGAACAATTCCAGCTGATTTTGGGAAAACTAACCCAAACATGATGGATCTTCGGCTTAATAACAACAAACTTGAAGGTGTAATATCGGAATGTTTTGACGGTTTTAAAAAGATCAAGCAACTTGTCCTAGGTTCGAATAGGCTACATGGAGTAATTCCAACAACATTTAATCAACTCAGTACCCTACATGTGCTTGACTTATCAAACAACAACTTCACTGGTTTTGCTGCAAATCTATCTTTCAACTCCCAGTTACAGGTCTTATATCTTGATCGAAACGAATACCTGAAAATTCATGGTAATCAACTTTTAGAAGCCCTGAGCCCGAGCACAAACAGCCTGCGAATGCTCGTTGCAAATAACTGCGGACTTAGAGGCAAAATATCGAATTCATTGTGGAGTTTCGGACAAATTATGTATATTGATTTAGGTAATAACACATTGACTGGTCGGATTCCCGTCAATACTGTATATAACATGGAGTATCTCTTCTCACTCTCTCTCAGGTCAAATAATTTTACGGGTGAGTTACCGTTGAGTTTCTTTTCCCCGTTGAGATCTTTGAGGTACCTCGATGTCAGAAGAAACCGGTTCCTGAAGAATAGAGACTCTTTCCCGAACGCTTATATGAAAGTAACATACGAGGTGAAGTTACAGAGGAACACCTTCTCTTGCCCGACAGTGCGCCTGACAAATACGGGCGGGCAGGTTGATATGGACCCAATGTACCACGACTACAGTCTGTGTTTTTGTAACAATGGTTACTATGGTTACCGGAGATTCTGTAAACTTTGTATGGAAGGTGGCACGTGCAAAGCGCATGTAACACCGATTTCGAGGGAACGAACGTTGTCGTCAACCAATGAAAATCACATCAAGATGAACATTAACAAAGGTTACTGGCCGTGTTGTGGTGATTTTAAAAACGTCACAAAACTGGTGAAATGCAGCGAACAAGAGATATTTGACGGTGACGTTTGCAATCCGTCCGGAAACTGTAAATGCCAACTGCAATTGGTGAATGGCCATCTGAGAACGGCATGCAATTCGTCATGCGTTTGTCGCCATGGCAACAAGGGAAGATTCTGCTCTCAATGTGTGGACGGTTACTACCACAAGGGTTCGGCATGTTTCCGGTGTCCAAAATTTAATCATAATTTTCCAATCATCTTGACAATCGCCTTCTTCGCGTGTTTCATCATATCCGTTTTGCTGCTGGCTTGTCTCAAAAGACGCAAAAAGCGAGTGATCATTGTTTTAATGTTCCTGTTGGCAGTGACACTCGTAGTTTTGCACGCGAAGTCCATAATTCCCGGCTGGTTCTTCCTGCCTATTTTTGCAACATGGGTCTTGGGACTTTCCGACGCAGGCAGCAACCTCAAGTGCTTCTGGAGCATCGCCGTGTTCTTCTTCCAGTCCATAGACGCTATGCTGTCCGAGGCGAACGTTTGGCCAACCAAAATAGTTCTCTTGAAATATCAGATTACGAACGCGTTCAATTTTGAATTATCGGAACTGACTTGTAGCTTTTCGTCTTCAAAACGTCCCGAGTTGAGCTTTGCCGTCATTTTATCTCTGCCTATCGCGGCTATAATATTTATATGGCTGCTATGTTTCTCGGGGGTTATATTCTACGATAGGAATATTTCCACTCACCAATGCAAACGGTGGAGTCTTCAAATACTCATGTTCGCGTATTTTCCTATCACCACAAGAACTTTCTATGCGCTTTTTTCCTGCGAACATCGTGATGGGTTGTCTTATTTGAAGAACACGCCGTGGCTTGATTGCAACGGCACGTCTTACGAGTGGTTGCAAATCTTGGGCTATGTTTCCTTGGCACTTTTTGTCATCGGTATTCCCTTTTTAATTTTCGCTCCGTTGCTGTACAAATACTTGAACAAAGAAGGCCAGGCTGTTTCCCAGGATATCGACACTTGGTTGAATCCGTTGTATGATGAATTCAAGCCACCGTTCCGACGGTATTTTCGATTGATTGTTTTAACACGTCGTCTTCTCCTTGCCGTGTTCTTGACCATCGTCCCAAACACCTCCACTTATCAAATTTTAAGCATAACCCTCCTTCTAGTCATTTACATTCTCATAATTTTGGTTTGCCGGCCGTATAAACGATATTCCGAGAAATACGAATTTGAAACTTTAGCTGACATCGTGGTCTCAATCATCCTGCTTCTCTCCTTCGTTAGTTTGGCTTCTTTGCGATTTTCCACGAAACCGGAATCCTCGCTTGTATGGTTGATCATTTCCATGAATTTCGTCGTGGTATCGTGTTGTTTTCTTTGAATTCTTCTGTTGTTTGTAATGAACCTCTGGGAAATGTTAAATCTACCGGCTCAAAATATCGAGTTTGAACCAATTTTGAACTGATATGTCATTCTACTTGTTTCAAACGACCCAGACTGATATGAAACTGGTATATAATCTACTGAGCAGTGAATACTATCAACGACCTTGAACTGAACTTCAAATACAAATTCAGCAAATTGACCCGCGATAAACTTGCAAATCATATTGCGGCACCAGAATTTTGCGTCTTGTGTCTCACTGAAACTCGAATTTTGATTTTGCAAGATCTCAGTGGGAGCATTTAAAAATCTTAAAATAACTCCATCGATAGATTTAAAATAATTCTATCGATAGACGAAAACAGCTGCCTCGTACCCAGCCCGTTTAGTATTAGGCATTTTACAAGGGCTTTTTAGCAGCAACAGTGTCTAGAAATTTAAAATTAATCATCTTTATTCACGTACCTTCAATTTAAAATTGTACTGTGTTAATTTATTTTGACTAAAAGTATAGTCTAGATCCGCCATTGTATGTTATTATATGGCTTATATGTGTAAATACAATGTGATGGTTATTTTAAGTACTTTCTATACTGAGTAACGGGTACAATTGTATGTCTAGTTTCAAGAAATTTAAGATGAAACACGCTTCGCTAATTTGGCGAAACTGTTTATTTAAGTCTAAGAGAGTTATTTCATCTTAACATTTTTAACCGCTGGTAAAGGATTAACATAAGTAAAGAAGGTGGTTAACTGAAAAAAAATAAAAATTATACGCTTTTGAATGTAACGAGTGTATTCATCAGTACATTCACTGTAGATTATTATTGGAAAAATCATTCAAAGAGTGAGACGGCCCATCATCATATATAACCCACATCATTCCTTGCGAGCGAAGACTAATAATGTAAACTCTTCAGAGTTCAGGGTGTCCCAAAAAAGTTCCCTCTATTGATATCAAGCCTTTGTTAGAATCTGATTGCCTTAATATTATGATAAACTTGATTGAAAGCAAGACGCTTTATTTGAATGCCTCAACGGCTCAACCTAATAACTATGCTATTTACACACTACTGCGTAATTGATCATGCATTCAAATCCCAAAAAATCCCAGACTTTTTTTTGAGACACTCTGTACTGTATCATTGCGTACAATTATTTAGAATATGCATGGTCGATTTTCAAAGCGATCGTGATATGTGTATGTAGAGAAATCGTAATCCAAAACAATTCGGTTCATGTTTACGCGCCTATATAAGAGTCACTCATTTCAAAGTTCAAACAGAAACAGTGACCTAGGCTAAATGATCAATTTTCTCTATAAAATCAACTGCTTTATTTTATTATAGAGTCAAGCCGAGAGTCAAACAATACACACACAAGCGTAATTTCTTTTATCTCTAGTTTCAACGCAAAAAAGAAGTCACAACAGCCAATCTAAGGACAAATCGGAAGCCTAATTCGCGATTAATTGCACAATGGTTTTCCCCTAACCCTATAAAGTTGGCCTGTAATTCTGTAATCCGTCTGGAAATGACAGGTTTTGTAACAAAATCCGGGTATCACAATTTGTCATTGTCGCGCTCTTGTAGTACTCAAAATTTTACATTTTAAATCTTTGGGATGAATTTGGAAATATTCTGGATGTCCTTTCTCAAGGCTCAGAGCAACTGAGCTAGTAAATTTTAGACCGCTTGGTTTTCATGTGACGAAGTATAAAGAACAAACAAATCGAAACATCATCAAAGGCACATGACCATCAGCAATATTAAGTTACAAATTCTTGCGTAAAAAATTCGCCCTGTGCGAGAAGCGACATATCGGCTAAATTGCTAAATTATTTATTTCAAATCAAATAACCTTCCTTTACCAAGAATGATGGATGGGATAAAAGAATATATGAAGCCCAAGAGATTTAGTATCTTATCCTACATATGTGTGGTCATCCATTTTCACTGTGGAGTGATATTTACAGCAATTACAACGGCTCTGAGACTCAGCGAGATGGAAAAGTTCAGTTGTGCCGTTGACACAAAACATGCAACGCACAAAAGTTATGTCGAAAAAACGTGTTTTTCAATCTACGACGACGAGTACAACTCTCCCGTGAAATTCTCTGCCTTCGTTCTGTTCAATTTTGGTTCTGTTGTTGTTGTGAGTGTCGTTTATTCGCTTGCTGTTGGCAATCGTATCGAAGATGCAGAAAGACTCTCAGGCGGAAGTGATAAACCTCAAACAGTCGCCAAGAAAGGAAACAATGAACAAGGTAGAAAAAACTTTTATGTTTTCAATTTCTATTTGTTCCACGTTGTGGCTCGTTCAATGCTCTGTATATTATTCACAATCCTACAACATACCGTATTGTATCCGAGTGGTTTTGATACACAGTTCAGTTGTGTTTATCCCGAATTGAGATCAGTTGATCCCAACATGACTCCAGCAAATAATGGAAGTGCCAACTTATCCAGTGTAAAATGTACAAACTCGGCTGCCAAAGATAAACAGTTTTGGTTGACGATTGTGTCTGTTTGTAATGGTTTTAACGCCATCATTGCATTGGCAGAAGTTATTTATCTACTAGTTAAGCGATTTGCATGTTTCGCCCCCCAATCTTCTGTTGCTTGGTCATGTGATTTACAATTTATTATTGAGCATTTTCTTCGAGAGCAACACGTACCTGATGAGGTTGAGTTGATCAGCATAAGCAATTGTACCCCGAACAGTCGTGACATTTACAAGCGAAAGGTTTTGCAGCTAGGTCTCACACCAGACATAAATTATGGTTCAAAGCATACACCTTTGGATGACATGTTTATAGACCTTGTTATCCATACTGAACAAGCCCCACACAAGTTTTCAAAAGGAATGGATAGGCATGAGATTTATGATGTTTATACGAAAGTTCCTAAAAATTCATTACATCTGACAGAGATTAAGGAATTATTTTATCCAAACAAGGATACTAAAGACACAATCCCTTCTACCATTTTGGTAATCGGGCGTCCTGGAATTGGGAAAACTGTTCTGACCAGAAAAATCATGCAAGATTGGGCAAAAGGAGATGATGAAATTTATCACAATAAAATTGCTTTTTACTTCAAATTCAGATGGTTTAATCTTGCCCAAATGCAACATGTAACACTTAAGAAATTTCTTCAGTTTGGAACAGAACTGCAGAATGAGGATGAATTTGAAAGTATTTTTGAAGAAATTTGGGAAAACCCAAAAAATGCTACTTTGGTTTTTGACGGTTTAGATGAATTTGGTGCAAACCATGAAGGTTTTCAGAAAGTTCTAGATCAGTCAAGAATGTTTCCCAATGATGTTTCTTGTTGCATGTCTGCAATCATATTGTTTATCAAAATCTTGTCTGGCGACATGTTACCAGGGGCAACAGTCTTGGTGACCAGCAGGCCAACTGTGAATGATGTTTTATGCAAAATAAAATTTGACAGAACTGTTGAAATAGTTGGGTTCACATCAGATAAAATTGAACAGTATGTTAAACAGTTTTGTGCTAATCATAACAAGTGCGATCTAGAAGCAACGATATTGAGTCATATCAAATCATCATCTGAACTGATGAATTTATGCTACATTCCAGTGAATTGTTTTATTGTGTGTGTTTCTCTGTTCGAATATCTCATTGATTCAGAGGGTGATATTGGTGCTCTACCAACTACTTTGACTGAACTGTACCAGTTGGCCTTAGTCTACTTCAATAAGCATCATGACCGGAATCAAAGCAAAGACGTTTTAAAGAAACTTCAACGGTTGGCTTTCAATGGTATCAAAAATGATGAACTGATTTTCAATGGAGAGCTAGTCGATGAGAAAATGGAAGAGTCAGGATTACTAAACTCTTTACCTAATCCAATTTTTCAAATTCAAATACAGGTTTGCTTCCTCCATTTAACTATACAAGAATTTCTCGCAGCGAAGCATATAGTGGAAACAAAAACACCTGAAGAAGTAAAAGAATTTATAATTTCGCATTTCAATCATGGCAGATGGCATCTGGTGCTTCAATTTCTAGCTGGGTTATTGGGAGTGAAAATGAGAACGTCTGATGACTCTCATCAATACAGAAGCTGTGTGTTATCGTTCAAGAAATATCTTGCAATTCTTGGCACTAAGTGCGATATTCGACCAAATCATATTTTGGTGATGAAATGTTTGAGAGAAGCGCAGGATGAAGATGTTGCTAAAGAAATTGCTGCAAACTCTGCTTTGAAAGATGTGACTGAGATATGGTGTTCTGGTTTTGGTATACAACGTCTCTCCCGAAGCGATGTGGCAGCAATGCCGTTCGTTTGCAAACACTTGAACTTTTTAAATTGCTTACACATTCGAGGCGTATCCAGTGATTGTTTGATGGAAGCTTTGAAATTGCTGCATGGAAGATGCATGGAATCACTGAGGTTTATTCGTTGTAATCTTCACGACATGGGTGTTAAGCGTTGTGCTACTGCGTTGACATCTGAATGTCAGCTGAATCACAGTCATTCGAAGCTTGCAAAGTTATCTTTGGCTCGAAACAATATTAGTGATGCCGGAGTGGCGTATCTGAACGATTTTCTCCAAAATAGCCATAAAGTCTGTTTGGAGGATTTAGACCTGTCGGATAATGACATTACTTCATGCGGAATTCCTGCACTTCTAGAATTTCTCAGCGTCGAAGTTTGTAACCAGCTTACAGAACTTAATCTTGGTGGAAATGATATAGGTGATGAGGGCGTTCGTTTTCTTTGTAGCGGAATCCGAGAAAGGCGGCTGAAACTTGAGAAGTTAAATCTATGCGGATGTTTAACCTATGAAAACGTACTCTGGCTGGTAGAGCTTATCAGTGACGAACACTGTCGAATAACTGACTTAGAAATCAGTGGTAGTAAAATAGGTGATAAAGGAATGGAGATGTTGTTTGACGTTTTCCGACAAGAAACATGTAAGATTACTACGTTGAATATTCGCTCGTGTCATTTAACAGAAAAAAGCATGGTTGCCTTCGGAAAAGCTCTTAATGAAGGAAAATGTGGACTAAAGAAATTGAATCTTAGCGATAACAAGATAAGAGATGAAGGTATGCGGATCTTGTGCAGTGTTCTTGAACAAGGAAAGTGTAATCTCACCAGATTGGACGTTTCCTGTTGTTCATTAACGGACGAATGCATGCCGAGCTTGTGCCAGGCTCTCGGAGATGAACGATGTAAGCTCACTAAGTTGTATGTAAACAGCAATGGAATCACAGATAAACATTTATCATTACTCTCGGACACTCTGAAATTTCAGAATTGCAGTCTTAATTATTTAAACATTAAAAGTAGTACTACTGAAGCCGGTGAAAAGATCCTTAATGAAACCATGCGATCTGATATCTGCAAAGAACGAGGTTTAAAAATTTACTGTATGTCAAATATTACTGTATGCTAATTTTCCCTACATTTAAAAACAATTGTGAGACTATTTATAGGATATATATATATTAGAGTTTATATAGTACAGTGAATCGAAAACCATAACTTTGGTTGAGCCTCAACGAAGTCACAGATAATTATACATTTTATCAGACAAGGTTGGAAATTTGAATTAACTGAATAATTTGTAATTGAAATTTATTTAGTGTAAATATTATTGGATAAAATTATCAACGCATCACGGCATTTATTCGCCTTTTTCACGTCCTTTTTGACGTTTACGTCCTCGTGCTAAATCTCCCTATTTTAGTGTCTTTAAGGGGCCGATTACATGAACCATCTCCTATATTATCGCAAGCAATTTTTGACGTTTCGATTACATGTAAACTTTCAGCCAGGCTTGCGGGGCTGAAAGTTCGCAAGTACGGGTTTTCGCAATAAGAACAAAATTTGCAATTTTAAGAAAGCTTTTCACGCCAATTGTTGATGTTGCAAAGATCATGCATCAATAGGCATATTCCGAGAGTGGACTGACTGGATTCTGGTCACAAAATCCTTCTTTTGGAGTATGATATTTAGTCAATCCACTATTATAGGCTACTAGTAGCGTAGCCAGGCGGAAGGCGCGATACGTGATTAATTGCTTCAATACGTAGTTACGTTCGTGGCTGAATTGTCTTTTTATTTCATTGGTTTGTTTCCCGAGCAGTGTGATGAACCCCGGGAGTTTTTTACCCTAGAACCCGGGATAATAAACCCCGTCTACTCTTTTAAACTCTTGAAAACTGAAATATCAAAAGGAAACTTTAAAACCTTACCTTCGTCAGCAAAGATTCCCCTGGACGTACAGAACAGTTGCAGAATAAGAAAGAAAAACATTTTCTAACTCTTCATGGCGTCGATGTTGATTCATAAAAACGGCTGGATTCGTATGTGACTGGCTTGGAAACACGATTTTGACTGGAGTTGAGTTGATCTTGACACGATTTGACACTTGGGCGTATGACGTCATAATCGCGGGTTATGACGTTCTGAATTTAATTAGAACGCAAGAAATTAACTCTTAAAGTGCTTTTAGTAATCCTTAGATTTCATGTGTTGGGGCAAATGGAAAGATGTTTTCTGAATCACCTGTTTTCAGCAAGCTTCAGTAAGAATAAAATACTTTTAATTACGCTACAATAACTCTGCCCCAGTGAATTTAGAGCAAAAATAACTAATATTGATGATAAAAACTTTCTTAGACAAATTTTTCTCCACTAGACAAAATATCCTCCTCTAATGACTACTGAATTGCTTTATCATGCGTGACCTAATCAAACAGCAGCTAAGTGTCCTACCCCTATCATATTGACGCCAGTATCTGATAGTTTTTAGGATCAAAGAAGCAGCTCTACCGAAGTGTTGTCGATACAGGTGAAGTCATTTTGAAAAGGTGCCGGTAATAGAGTTGTTCAGTTCAAAGAGGTATGGCTATCAGGGAATAGAGATGTGTCAGTATTAGGGAGTTTTCTTTATTAAAAATGTACTAGTATTAGAATGTTGTCTGTCTTAGAGCAGCGTTGGTATTAGAATTACCCATTTTAGAGAGATGTCGGTGCTAAAGAGTTACCATATTAGAGAAGTGTAAGTATACAGAGTTTGCGTCATTAAAGAGATAACAGTATTAGAAAGTTGTCTGCATTAGAGAAGCATTGCTATTAGAGCTATCCAGTTTAGAGAGATGTAGTAATGAATGGGGTTATTATCTATATTAGAAAGTGTCAGTCTTAGGGCTTGTCCTAATTAGAGATGCGTTCTTGTTACAATGATTTCGCTATTGGAAAAGGGTATTTCTGCTGAACTGTAATTTAAAAAACTATGAAACATGAACGAAAATTTAAAGAGTACTCTGTAATTTATTTGATAACTTCATATATTAGATTACAACTAACATTTTAGACTAAAACTTTCTACGTATTCTGAATCGTCAGATTCGGCTGACTTGCACGAGGTTCTTCAGAATTGTGTGCGGTCTCGGTGATGGCAATATCGGTCGGTGACGTACCTTTTGGTTCTACTGAGCATGGCACGTCCTCGTCATCATCGAGTTCAGAATCACGAGATTCTGCATCAGCCGTTTCAGTTCCAGATGACTCGCTGTAAAGTCGATAAAAACGAATGTTAGATAAGAATCGAAGACGATTAAACGGTGGCGGAATACGGCAACTTCATACTGGGAAGCTAGAGTTTCAGGCGTTCTCGTTCGGGTCTTAAACACTTTTGCATCCAACTTCCAATCAAGTAAGATGCTTAAGAAAGTTAAACGATTATAGGTCTGAAGTTGTTAAATTACCGCAGTAACAAAATTATCAGAGTATTTTCCTTGGTTTAATTACAGCTGTCCTCACTATTCCATCTCACCTCTACTTCTCGCCCTATACTCTATCTCCCCTACTTCCCATATATCACTCCTCCTTTCATCTACACCCCCTATCTACTATATCTCGTACCTCATCATTTGCTTCTCACCATTTTGTCCCACCCGCCACTTATACCCCTTCCAGTCTGCTGCCCCTCCCCAACATTCCCTTTTTCCATAGACCACCTTCTCATCTGTCACCCCCCCCCCTAACCGTCCCTAACATCTACTACCCTAGTACCTCATCATCAATTGCTTTCCGCGGCCCCCTTGATTTCCCACAACCCCCACTTTCATTCTGAAGCCCCTAGTCTGATACATTTCTAAACTAGCCATTTCCCCACTTATCCCCCCCTGCTCCCCTCTGCTGGAGGCCCTACGAACCTCCCTCCACCCACGATTATGTTAAGATACTTATAATACCAACCTAATTTCGTTTATCTCTCGTCGTTCTTTCTCTTTTCGTAATTCAAGCTTCAGTCTTCTCGTTCTAAACAAAAGACTTCATTCAGTAATCAATATTTTACGTGAAATTGACGTCAAATACAAACTATGACGTCATTTTCATGGTTTGAAAATTCCCGAATAAAGCGCACTAAAATCAGTAAAATTTCGTTGGATTGAAAATATCTAGCGTAAAAAAATCTGTATTTTTTTAAGACTTTGCATTTTGCGAGAAAATTGGGTATTTGCTGTTATTGAGTTAGGATTAAAGTTAAATCCTAATCAGCCATAAGTCTAATCTAATACCCAGTTCTAACCCTAATTATAACCTATTCTCGAGGATTAAGTTTGTGTATTTAGGATTTACTGGGCATGAAATAATTACCAAAACTGCTACCAATTGCTACCATATAGGTAACAATTGTCTTAGTTATAAATTTTTAAACCCCGCCAACTACATTTTCTAATTTCCAAAGATAAAACATTAGACTGATCTAAAACAGGCTTTGGGAACGTTTAAAAAGAAAAATCATTTGATTTTTATTGCGGCATATAGTACATGCATTGTATCAGAAAATTATCATTTAATGACGTCACTTACCTGGTGTTTGGGAGAATTCCTTTATTCCACAAGATGCTGAAGACGACACCAGCAACCAATGCTAACAACAAGATGGATCCGCCAGTAACATCATCCGTGGATAATTTTTCTATTTTATAAAAACATGGGTGGATGTGAATTGTATAGATTTACGCTCAACCACTGACGTAAACAATTTTGAATGTCACATTTTGTTTCGACTAACTTAAAGCCATGAAAATCTGTGCATATGTAACTTTGGTTTGCAATAAAAGAACATGAACTCTAGTTCTGTCTAACTTGAAACACTTTTTAACCAGCCACAGTAAAAACGTTTTCGCTGTACAACGGTTGCGTCACAGATGTCGACATTAAAAGAGATGAAATATGAAATATTTACCTTTGTGAATATGGTCAGTGGATTCACCCGCATGCGCATGCACATGCATCGGGTGACCTGCAAAAAAATTTTTAAACGAGTCAACAATTCAATTGGGAAAACATGAAATTTGCAATTCTAATCAACTGGTGGGGGCGACGTTTAGAAATTAAAGACATGATGAAAATATGGTTTAAAATCTCGATGATAATTTGCCATCGCGCACTAGCAAGAGGATACAGAAGAGGGAAAAACTCTCATCCTCCACCACAAAGAAATAATGCCTACCTTCACTGCATTTGTAAATAATAACCGCTGGTCCAAATCCAACAGCAGTTCCTGCTCTGACTTGAAGTATATAGTGCGTTCCCGGGCTCAGACCTGAAATCTTCCATGACGTAGTATGCGCACGCATCAAATATCTTGCAATTCTCTCAACTCTTGAGCCCGCCAACTCTTCGTATACTTCCACTTCATACAAGGCAATGACCCCATTTTGGTTTTCTATCTCTGGAGGTGACCATGTGATTTCCATCCAGACCGAAGACGTGGATTTTATTTCAACCCTCGGGGGCGCTGAAGGAGCTGGGGAGAGAAGGTACCGTTGCTATGAAAATTACTTTTTTGATACGGTGAATTTGTAGAAACGAGGTTTTTGATACTGAACGTGGTGTCCTGGTTTTCAAAAAAATTTTTCCAATCTCGTTTTAGAGTTTTCAGGCTATCAGGCCATCCAAACAAGGAAATTTAATTCGTTAATGGTAATCAAACTTGAAAGACAACTTGTTGTTGTTATTTTATAAAATAATTACTCAGTAATGGTTTCTCGTGTTTGGATGGCCTGATATAAACAATTCGGAATGTTGCTTGAGTTAGGAAAGCTCGCAAAACCACTCGACTTCGCCTGGTGTTTCGCGCGCTTTTCTTTAACTCTCGCAACATTCCCGCGTGTTTGGATCTGGTATGTATACCTGCTTCCCCAGTGCGATAGTTCAAAGACTCTCCTGGACCGTAGCCTAAAGAGGTTTGAGCTTCGACGTGAATGATATATGAAGTATGAGGCTTGAGTCCGGTGACGCTGTGCATGTTCATCTCATTCTCAGGTAGGGTGACGTAATTGGTACACGGCGCTGTCGCATGCTTCTCTTTGATGCACAGTCGGTAGCCAATGATGACGCCATTTTGTTTCTTGGACTCGGGAGGTCTCCAGAATATTTGCAGAATTCGCGCCGCAACGCGAATCGCAAACAAAGACGTCGGTGGCCCGGACGGGGCTGGAAGGCATGGGGATTATATAGTCAGTGACAGAAAACCGCAATTTTGGTCTATGGGAGGAGTGGGTGAGGTGGAAAAAACTTTAATGTTAATCATACCTGCTGGAAGAGTTGTGCCATAAAGTACTGCCTTGGGGCTCCATCCGGGAACTTTAGTCGCTGCCATAGCAACAACTATGTACTCTGTGTACGGCCGCAGTCCATCAGTTATCTCGTACTGCAGGCTCGTGCCCGAAAGTGTTAAAACATTCTGACAATCCGTTTCCAAGCTCGCCTCTTGATAGCATATACCGTAAAACATGATTATTCCGTTCAAGTGGCTTGTGTGTGGGTTGGACCAGGACAATTTTATGCTCGTCGCTGTGATTTTCAACACATGGAAGTCTCGTGGAGGACCGCTGAGTACTGAATGAAAAGACAAAGATGGAGACATGGTTAATTTAATAAATCGATTCAAACAGACAACATGTACATTGCGAAAAATGCCCTGGTCGGATCTTTCGGAACTACACCTTTACGATTTCCGGAGCAATACTCTACTACGAAACAATACTCTACTGTGAAAACTCACTTGTGTTATTATTTATTACATATGTCCCGTTTGGCAAACTCGTGTGTAATTGTAAAGTATTTATTTTTTTTTTGGGATTTTTCAAGGATTTTCAAAACGCCCTTGATATTGATTCACTTCAATTTAAAGCCTCGAGAACCATCACGGGTAACTATGGAAGTATTAAAGAGCGGAACACCTTGAGCGAAATCGATTTAGAACGGTTCTTAGGAAAAGGTTGCGAGAGACTGAGACTAGACACACCACGCCCCCCTTCACAGAAAAAGCAGCACCCACCTGCTTCGCATGTTTCATCCCACAGCAGCACAGGTGTCCCGTACCCAGCTACGGTCCCCACAGAGATCTCGATATCGTAATGGGTGAATGGAATCAGGCCTGTTATATTATACGACGTGGTATTCTGACCAACATAAGCACAGCGACGTTCATCTGACGAGCTTAGTTTATGACAAATCTTGTAGCCAAAGCTCATTCCGTTGTCCATTTCCAACGGTAATGGCAGCCATGAGACCTGGATGGACCAGGCTGTCTTGTGGAGAACTGTAGCCGTTGGTTTAACAGCTAGAAAACGATAATGGACTTAATTAAGTCATTAACGAATTGATTGTTGCGGTCAACTATTTCATGTTTTCATTATTCTTAAATGGAGTGCATTTTTGTAGTGAATATATCTCGTTCTTTACACGCTTTTTCTGTAAAATTTGCCAGGGTATATGTCAATTGGTAGATTTCAAAGGTTTATAGTCCGTAATTTTAATAAACCCTTTGTCACTGCCAGAAACGCCGGAACTATGAGAAGATGCGAGAGAAAAATTATCGTGAAAGGCCACTTCTGTGTTGACACATACCAGAGAGTTTTCTCAAAGCATCGACAGTTAAACAGTTATTAGACGATTTCGGTGTCTGAGAAATGCAAACAAAATATAATATTTCCTTACCAGGCGCGCAGCCAAAGATCTGAACGCCCATACACTGATGGAGACCCGCGAAAGATAGAACTCGGAACCGGATAAATCGAGTTAAAACCGGTTCGTCTATGAAATACGTCACCATTTTCCCCTGAATCGTATCTGCGTTTCCATCAATGATCTGGAGGATAAAATTGTCAAATTAACGTGGAAAAAAAGGACGGACAACCGGGCAAATGACAAGCCGGAAACAAACAGTGGAAAATAAACTAACCTACGAAAATAACAAACTCACTCATTACAAACAAAAAAACCCCAAACACATACAATGCAGGGTGTGTCAAAAAAGTGCAAACACTATGATTTGCACAAAGCCTGGTTCTCATTTGCCGCCGACAGTCGGTGATGTATTGTTTGTGGCCTGTGACGAATGAAATTTATTCAAAATAACAAAGAACTTCAATGATCGGTCATCACCAACAATGGCCATCGCAGACCGTCGGTGACATGAGGCCTAACCAAGGCCTAAGTAGTTGCTGCAAATAACATGAGAATACGTTTTTTCCGTGTTATTTGAATAGCCACATAAATTTAAACACTCGAACGTCGACATCCCAGAACATGATGATTGTGGTTTACCCTCCCTTGGGATCAATTAGTGATCCAACTAATATAAATAAGGAATTAATACTGTTAGCTAAACTTAACTAAAATGACAGTTTTCTAACCGTATTGCCGCTGACATTAACATACTGCCAGCTCACGTTGTTCAGACTATACATAACTTCATAGGAAGAAACCCAACTCTTCCAATGCTCATCGTCACGTCGTGTAGCCACGCCAATGACTCGTAAAGGTCCGCCAAAGTCAACCTGCACGAAGGTATTGTTTTTCAGCCTGCTATCACACCAGGGTGGGTCACTATCTATGCGGGCATGGTGCGGCGCATATCCGCTGCCAAGATAACCGCTGGCAGTAAAACCGTCATCACCAATTTGGTCACCGCGGTGCAGGACGGGTAGATCACACTGACCTATGAAACATATGATTGTTCATAAATTACGAGTGGTCCAGTCTTAGTTTACATCACGGCTACCGAACTAAACTTCCACCATATAATATGTACCTTTAGTCTTCTGGACAAAAGCAGGCGGTCCCAGGCCTACAATGGTCGCGGCTCGGATCACTACAACATACTCTCTATTGGGGCTCAGGCCACCGTAAGTGAAACTCATGTCGCTCGATTCTAGAACCTGCGTGGTTCTGCCACATGCGAAATTGGGACCATATTCTCGTATGCACAAAACATAGTGGATGATAACACCATTTTGTAATTCAGGGTGGGGAGGAGTCCACATAACACTTATCTTTGATTGGTCTACATACTTCACTCCCTCCTTTCTTGGTGGCCCCCAGGGTTCTAAAACAGAAATGATATAAACAATATTGCATGAAAACATTCCTTAAGATTTTCTGCCCGAAGGGAGAGCTCTGAGTTTAACTGCTCTAAGTCAAACGCATGGGACTCGCAACAATATAGAAACCATCTCCCTTCGAACTAACCAAAAATCTTGATTAAACAACTTCAAACTTTGTGATTGTGCAGTTTGTGCTTAGAAACGGAAGATACAAGTCTATTGTCATTTGAAACAATGTGAAATATTTTTGACAACAAATATTAATCAAATCTCATCGGATATATTTTTAACTGCAAGTCCCAGTTGTCCCAGATCAAATATGGAGGCAAAAACGCAGTTGTGTTTGAAAAAGGTAACTATCAAAAACAAGTTTTAAAGTCCGTTTAACCTGAAGGAAGTCGAATACTACAACTGTTGCGAACAAAATCGTTTATACTTCTTCATTAACCTTAAGAAAGTGTTTCGGTATATGGCCTACACGAATGTACCGCGAGACCTGGGAGCGAGGTAGGCTATAAAATGCAAACTGATGGTGCTGTTCTTTGGAAAAACTCTTTCCTATTGGACCGAAACCAATCTTGGTTGCCGCTTTAATATCAATACTGTAAATGCGATACGGCCTAAGGCCAGGAAAGAAATATGATGTCTGCGTAAATGGTAAAATGTCTTCTTTCAGACAATAACTGTGGGACTGGTTTTTGATGCACAACCAGTACGCAGTAATCACGCCGTTTCTTTCCGAAGGGTCTGGTGGTGACCACGTGACGTTCATGTGACTGTGCGTGAAGTTCGAGATTTTGATATCTGTCGGAGGACCAGATGGTTCTAAAATGAATACCAGAACTATTGAAGTCTATATTGAGAATGATGAGCGAACAGAAGCTATGGCCAGCGGCACTGCGGAGAGAACCGCAGTCCCGTTGGGGAGAGGGGAGGGAAGTAACTCGTACGAGGTTCGTCAAATACTTACCCATTTCATGGGGGGAGTGGTCGAGATAAGGTTGTAAGGCCTCTAGAGGCTTTAGTGATAGTTGGGCTTTGTAAGCCCCCCCCCCCCTTCAAGGTCGCACCAGACAGGACAGCGGGAGTAAATTAATCCGCTATATAAACCACAGATATCTCTTACCAGTTTGCAACGTTCTGTTAACCACGAAGGCGTGAGGTCCATCGCCAGCTATTGTGCCAGCGATTATCTCCAGGAAATACTTCGTGTAAGGTTTCAGGTTAGTCACCGTATGCCCGTAAGTATTTTTACCAAGTTCGATGCGTTGCTGGCATAAGTCGGAGGAGGTGTTGTACACGCGGACGCAGATAATATATCTGATGATCCATCCATTGCGCAATAGCAGATCAGGGGGCGACCATGACAACGAAATGCTCGTGGCTCCCACGTGCGTCGCATGTGCGTCGTTGGGTGGGCCATCTGGAGCTATAGTTGTGAGAGTAATTTAGGAATAAGGAATGTAAGATAAACCAGGTGAAATACAAGGCCACAGAAGAGATAAAACAGAAGAGACAAATACAAGAAAGTGACCACAGAAGAGATAAAACGATATACATATCATTAACAATGAATGGATAGTAATAATAATAATAATACGAGAATGTACAACCGAGAATTTTAATCCATTAAAAGTCGATTAAAAAACTGAGCTGACGGGTTGAAAAAACATCATGAGTCATCCAAATTTATCTCAAACGTTATCACAGTAAACCATGGATCATCACCAACATTTCGGCAAATATGGTGGTGAACTAATATAATGATGAAACTAATTACTACAATAGAGTAAAATGGTTCATAAATTATTCCAAAAAGATCAGTTTTTCATTCATTTGAATTTGAATGGTCGCTATGGACGTTGTCCTTCGATAGCTAAAATACTCTGCGACGTAGTCTCAAATCCAGTATTGTTTACAGATCAGTGACTAATAGCTGGTAGAACTTATATTACATACCAGCTTGCGCAGTCCTCTGTGAAAGAACGGTCGGGGGGCCAAAGCCGACGATCGTGGCAGCTCTGATTTCAAATCTTATCATGAAATGCGGCCTGAGCCCGCCGACAAAGAAAGTCCTGTTGACAGCGATCGTTTCATTAACACAGGGACCACTATCCTCGCCTGGTTTATAGCAAACACTAAACTGATTAATGACGCCATTCCTGTGTTCTTCTAAAGGCAGCGTCCAGTTTATCATGATGGCAGAAGTGTTCACCGTCGGAAATATTTCAGCAGGACCTCTTGATGGTTCTGGTAAACAAATTGACAGAAATTAGGAGAGATTTCATTTGAAATGGACCATTTTCAGAGGTATCTAAGGAGTTGTGTCCCATGGGAAACAAAAGAGAACGCGTGTCTTGTTTGAATCACAACAGCTGCTTCTTGCCGGGGGGGGGAGATTTAAACTCAAACAGTTTAATTAATAAGGACAGAATATCAAATTCAAATTCAGTCGGAGTGAACGAAATAATCACTTCTTCGCATGATCGTCTACTTATTCCATACCTGCTTGGTGCGTCGTCGCCATCAGCGCATCTGAGTAAGGTCCATATCCCAGAGGCACAACCCCCCGTATTCTCACAATGTACTGTCGATATGGAAGCAAGCCATTGATAACAGCCTGCGAGTCATCGCTGCCAGCAGATAACTTGGAACAGCTCTCGCTAACGGGCACGTTCGACCTTTGGTAGCAAATCTGGTAGTACGAGATCACGCCTGTGAAGTTTTCCGGAGCAGTCCAGTTGAGTTCCACTGACCGAGCGCTTGTGGCGACAACGTTGGTTAAATTTGGGGCATTTTTGAGCTCTGGTGACACAAGAAAAGATTGAAGAGGTCGTCTATCGTTGAAATAAGCTGGAGGTGTTTACCTACGCTGCTGTGATTATTTAAAACGCGTTTTAACAATCATATAAATAAGGACCAGCCTTGAAACCTCTTCTAACAATTGCGCATCAAATGTGGTAAAACAACCACATAAAATTAAATGCGCAAAAACGCTTCTCGATGTTTTAACCTAAGGCCTTCGTTAGGAGAGTTTACTAGTATACCAAATTAATTCTTCTGACAAAGACACTTTGGTCCAAACGTTGAGTTATGTTTCTGTCTATTTTAGGCAGATATTATTAGATCCCATTTGCTCGAAATCATAGAAACATTTCATGCTTTCAATAATGCTAAAAAACTCCGAAGTTCACAGCTCTTTAGTTCCCCAAATAGCTTTCGTTTCATCGGGAAATTGATGGCCATAGAAAATCCTCATTACCATCGACTCACCTTTAGGGAGTAGTATATGAGACCTTATCACCGCTGGCCCCGTTTCAAAATTGGACGTGAGTGACGTCACCCAAGGCAAGGTACCAAAGCCATTGAGACAAATCATGCTCCAGGATTGTCGACTGGTGTAACTCGAAAGCGCGTTCGGACAGAGAGATAAGAGAGGAGCAGCCGTGTAATAGTCGTGAGCTTGGAAATAAACCACCATTAAAATGATCGAGGGTTTGGGAATGGTTGATAGGAATCCTGTCATTTGTGTGCTTGCAGAAGAATGGTCATGAGTGTTGAATGAACCCTGCATCGTTTGAGAACCTGTTGAAATAAACACAGAAGGCTTTAGGTTTGTGGAAGAAATTCACAGGGCTGCAAGATGTTTTGGTGCAATTCCAGATTACCTATTGTCGTAAGAACCTGCCCAAAAAACGCTTTCTTTCGTAAAAGGGTCAGGGATACCTAAGAGTCGCACCTGTTTTCGGATCAAGCACAATAAAATGCATGCCATGTTGATCAAATCTGTGCTGTTGTTCTTGAACTGTGATACTGGAATAGGATATTCCATCAAGACTGTACATGACATCTTCCAGGATACGCGAGACCAGTTCAACATAGATTATGCGTCCTCCTGCAAAGAACGATGAATTGTATAATTAGTTCAGTTACCCAGGTAGTTAGTTACCAATCAGACAAGATGTATATAGATTATTGTGTAGCATTTTGTCTGGCATTGAACGACTTACAATTTTTAAAACAAACCTTGTATCATCGTGGTGATATTGGCCACAGCTTTAGGACCTAATCCAATGTACGATTTCTCTCCAACGCTGACGTTATATTCTGTGAGAGGTTTTAAACCCGCCTTTGTAAACAAGGTAGTGTTAATTATGTCCACGCAACCATCATGCACGACAGAGCTATTGATGCTACCATTATCCGCGCTGCTTTTAATGATAAACAGACTTCCATTAATCAGCTCACAACTAATGATATATTTGGTACCATTAGCCACGCTACTGTTGGCAATCACCAGACTACCGTTAACCAACGTGCAGTTCACCATAGGTACCATTAAACCAGTGGTATTAAACTGGCTACTGCTAACCATAACAAGACTGCCATTAACCAGTCTACATTTGTCCACAACGTCTGTAAGATTCATCAAGCTTTCATTTACCATAACTAGGGTACCATTAACCAGCTTACAGTCGACCATATCATCTGTCGTATTACTAACCATGCCAACACTTACAGCAACAAGAGTGCCATTAACCATGTTACATTTGATTACAACGTCTGTAAGATTCATCAAGCTTTCATTTACCATAACTAGGATACCATTAACCAGCTTACAGTCGACCATATCATCTGTCGTATTACTAACCATGCCAACGCTTACGGCAACGAGAGTGCCATTAACCGGCGTACAGTTAACCATATCCTTTGTTTGATTAACCAAGCTACCATTCACAATAACTAAGGTACCATTAACCGAACTACAATTTACCACATTGGAGTCATAGACTGTGCTGTTGTTCACGATAACTAGGGTACCATTAACCTCTCTACAGATAAATATATCTTCTGTTCCATTGATCAAGCTATCATTTAGCCATAACCAGGGTACCATTAATCGATCTACAATTTACCATATTTTCTGAATTGTCGAATGTACTGTTATTCACGATAACTAGGGTACCATTAACCTCTCCACAGATAATTATATCTTCTGTTCCATTGATCAAGCTATTATTAACCATAACCAGGGTACCATTAATCGATCTACAATTTACCATATTTTCGGGGTTATCGACGGTGCTGTTATTCACGATAACTAGGGTACCATTAACCTCTCTGCAGATAATTATATCTTCTGTTCCATTGATCAAGCTATTATTAACCATAACCAGGGTACCATTAATCGATCTACAATTTACCATATTTTCGGGATTATCGACGGTGCTGTTATTTACGATAACTAGGGTACCATTAACCTCTTTACAGATAATTATATCTTCTGTTCCATTGGTCAAGCTACCATTAGCCATAACCAGAGTACCATTAACCGATCTACAATTTACCATATTTTCGGGGTTATCGACGGTGCTGTTCTTCACGATAACTAGGGTACCATCAACCTCTTTACAGATAATTATATCTTCTGTACAATTAATGAAGCTATCATTTACCATAACCAGGGTACCATTAACCGATCTACAATTTACCATATTTTCGGGGTTATCGACGGTGCTGTTATTCACGATAACTAGGGTACCATTAACCTCTTTACAGATAATTATATCTTCTGTGCCATTGATGAAGCTATCATTTACCATAACCAGGGTACCATTAACCGATATACAATTTACCACATCTTCGAAATCATCGACAATGCTGTTGTTCACGATAACTAGGGTACCATTAACCCGTCTACAGAATACTTTATCTTCTGTTCCATTGATCAAGCTATCATTAACCATAACCAGGGTACCATTAACTAGTTTACAGATAACCACATCCATAGCAGAGGTACCATTAGTTATGCTGTCATTTACCCACATGGTATCATTGATGACGCTGTCAGAAACGACGCTCTCCACTTCCCTCACACATACAGTGTAGTTTAGGGGGGGTTCATTCTCAGCGGAGATGCCAGGGGGGTGTGACCATGCTATTGTGAACGAAGATGAAGTCAGATCCACGGTGTTGATTTCAGATGGCGGCGCAGGTAGAACTATAGGAAAATACATAAATGATTTTGTAGGATCCCTTTGTGGTTTGGCATTTAGAAAATATGGTGGTCTGGTTAAATGTAAAGATAAAACATTTTGGTTGGGATGGGTTAGCATTGGACATTTCATTGCAAAATTGACAAATACATTGTATTTCTAATCCATAATTTCCTGAAAAATCGTTTACGTTTCGATTTTTCAATTCGACAGAGTAAGATTGAAAAGGCTGACTTCCCGGATTTTGAATAAAAGACTGCTACATCGAGAGTGCCAACGACAGATTGTGACGTCATACGTGGAACAAAAACTACATCATGACTGCTTACCAGCCGGGGCCGTTCGTCGGTAAGTAATGCTCGGAGGGCCAAAGCCAACGATGGTACCGGCTTTAACTGCGAATCTAATCAGGAAATTTGGCCTGAGCCCACTGACCACGAAGGATCTGTTGCCAGCGGTAGTTTGATAAACACAAAGGTTTCTATCCTCGGCAGGTTTGTAACAAACACCGTACTGTCGAATCACGCCATTCCTGTGTTCCTCCAATGGTAGTGTCCAGTTTATGATGATGGTGGAAGAGTTTACTGTTGAGAATATTTCCGCTGGTCCTCTTGACGGTTCTGTTGAGAGATTTGACCAACTGAGTAAACGACAGTTTCGTTCTAGGGGAACTTTCGTTTTTTAAGCGAGGAACTTTTAAGGCTGTGTTACACGGCCCAATTCTTCTTGCTGCAATTCTACTTTTAAGAGATGTAAGTTCACTGAGTTTCAAAGTGTAAGTTTAAGAGTTTCAAAATGTAAGTGTAAGAAACGTCCATGGAATGTACGTAATAAACACAACAGTTTTGCAGTTGGGAGATGTACATCTCTCAAAAGTAGAAGTGTATTTAATGGTATACTAAATGACTTTCCGTGCAGGATAGCCTGATACTGCTTGCGAGGATATTACGAGACTTTTGGAAAGCGTGAAAAAGCATGAGCATTAAACGAGTGTAGATACCCATAAAGATCGTATTTTAACTAGTATACTTAAATTGAAGTTCAGTCAAGTACGTAGTTGGAATCTATTTTTGTATTATAGTTAAAACGTTTTGTTCACACGATGGAATAAACTCTGACAAACATTTGTTTTACATTTGTTGAAATTAGGAGGATTTAGAGTGGCGTAGCCAGCCTGACAATCTGTCCCTCTATGCTAATATTTTGGCGTTCATTGACTGTGAAAACAATAAATTTCTACAGAAATGAATAATTATAATAACTCGAAATTTACATAGCGGGACAAAATGGTCAGGCTGGCTACGCTGGCAGTGATTTAAGGCTGCTTTCCATTTACGCGTTTTTCATACGGAAAATTTTAAATGCTTTTAAATTCATTATTTACTGACATCTAGGCCAACTAATGCGTACTAAAATATGCAGAAAACTAAGTTCCTTCGATTTATTCAATTCAAAGGTAACATGTATGTATAAGTATTTAAACTTTTACGTGCGTGTTCGTGCGTATGAAAACGCGTAAGTGAAAAACAGCCTTTGATTGAGGAAGGGAAAGACGACGTAAAAATGGAGTGGCATAACTATATATGGGTGCATTACGCCGTTTATATTTTGTCTTTTCACGCAGTCATTGACGTCCACGTCCACTTACGCGTCTTTCATAAGGCTGTTTTTCACTTACGCGTCTTTCATAAGGCTGTTTTTCACTTACGTGTCTTACATAAAGGCTGCTTTTCACTTACTCGTTTTTATACGCACGTACACGTACGGGAAATGTGCATGTATAAGGATTTAGACTTTTACGTGCGTGTACGTGCGTATGAAAAACGCGTAAGTGAAAAACAGCCTTAATCATAAGGCTGTTTTTCGCTTACGCGTCTCTCATAAGGCTGTTTTTCACTTACGCGTTTTTTATACGCACGTACACGTACGGGAAAATTTTAAATGCTTTTAAATTTTTATTATTTAACATCTAGGTCAACTAATGCATACTGAAATACGCAGAAAATTAAGTTCCTTCCATTTATTCACTTAGTTTTTTCAAAGGTGACATGACTAAGGATTTAGACTTTTACGTGCGTGTACATGCATATGAAAAACGCGTAAGTGGAAAACAGCCTTTACGTGTTTTTCATGCGCACGTACACGCACGTAAAAGTCTAAATCCTTATACATACAAGTTACCTTTGAAAAAACTAAGTGAATAAATCGAAGGAACTTAGTTTTCTGCATATTTTAGTATGCATTAGTTGACCAAAATATTAAATAATAAAAATTTAAAAGCATTTAAAATCTTCCGTACGCGTACGTGCGTATAAAAAACGCGTAAGTGGAAAGCAGCCTATACGCACGTTGCAGGCACGTAAAAGTCTATATACGATACATAATCGATAAAACTTAGTTTTCCGCATAGTTTAGTATGCATTGTTGACCTACATAATATTATTGTATAAAAAAAAACTGCAACCCTAATAACTCCCAGAGGCCTACGATCTTTTCTTATTGAGTAGAGCATCCTGCATCCTGAATGCAGATCTTACGGCATAAGAAAAATTTAGAAGCATTTAAAATTTCCGCGGGTGTAGGACAAACGCGCGTATATATAGGTGGAAATTAAGCGGCCTTTGGGACTTGGGAGCGCATTTCAAGTGTCTCGTTTTTTGCACGTGCAAGTTTAAAATCTTCTACGTTGTTCTATAATTCATTGCATGTCAAAAAAAACTCGCCAACAGAATCCAACCCATGAATCTATTCCACAGTTGATTGACAAGTATAATTGAAATGATCAGTGAACTTTTACGTGCGTGCACGTACGTGCAAAAAACGCGACACAGGAAGGCAGCACTAAATCTGCCAATAATCTCCTAGAAACGATTTCTCGAATTACATCTAAAGGGCGCTTTTCTTTAAGCGGCCAAAATGGTCAGACCGGGCATATTTTGAATTGAAATAGAGTATTTCGTTAAGAATATAGTGGTGAAACTGCATTTCCTTGGCTGGGAACTACAATGTAAATGAACGTTAACTATATACTTAAATGCAGAGTTCTTGAAACACACTCTATAATACTAGTAATCTGTCTGTGCTGAAATTTAACATGACTGGCTTTTACCGTATAAAGAAAGGCGCCATACGGTAGGAGTGTGGCACCTTAATTCCTCCAAAGTTAATTAATAGAATATACATGGTTTGGAGACCACATAAAACTACAATAAAAGACGAACGCCATTGGTAAATTTGGCTAAAATACAATAGACACATGCGAGAAACTAAGGAACTATTTATGTCATAAACCTGGGTCCAGTTGTATAAGTTAACCGCAGTCTCAAGCCCCGTTTACACTACACTCAATTTATCGGCACGGCACGGCTCGGCTAAAATAGGTACCCGTGCCCAAATTTATTAGTGTTCAAGCTACCAAAACAAAGGCCGGGCAGGGATGAAATGGGCACGGGTACCCATTTTAGCCGTGCCGTGCCAATAAATTGAGTGTAGTGTAAACGGGGCTTCAACTGTAGTTAAGGACGGAATTGGCCAATCAGAGAGTTGACTGGTATTTAACTATGCAAGATGCAGTTAAAGAGTTTTATACAACCGGCCCCTGGACATAAGTAAAGAGTTGTATTTTACTTTTATTTAGTCTCCAAACCATGTATATTGACTATATTCCATTAACTGTGCTTCTTCATATGTCATATGAAATAGAATAACTTCAGTACCAGGCTACGACGCTACCAGCAGATATTTGTGTTATTTCACTGAAATTAGTGAAATACTCATCTCCCCCACCCGTATAATTTCTGTACACACCGATCTCAGTTATGAGCGACGTCAACAAATGCATATCATTAAAAGAATTATCATACCTGCTTCGTGTGTTCTGACCACGCTTGCATTCGAGTAAGGTCCATAACCCAGAGCCACAACCCCCCGTATTCGAACTCTGTACTGCCGATAAGGATGCAGACCATCGATGGAAGCCTGCACGAAATCACCGCCTGCAGATATCAGGGAGCAGCTCCCGTTTTTGGAAACATTTGACAATTGGTAGCAAATCTGATAAAACGAGATCTCGCCTGTGAATTTGTCTGTAGCTGGTGCTGTCCACGTGACACTAACAGATCGAGCACTTGTGGGAACAACCTCAGTTAAATTAGGTGCATTTTTTAGTTCTGGAATACAAAGTAGATTTTAGTGCATCTATCGTTAAGTAGATCCAAACTGGACACTCATAGTACCCACCTTTAGGTAGTAGTATATGCGTCTTTATTACCGCTGGCCCCTTGTTAACGTTGGACGTGAGTGACGTCACCCAAGGCAAGGTACCAAAGCCATTGAGACAAATCATGCTCCAGGATTGTCGACTGGTGTAACTCGATAGCGCGTTCGGACAGAGAGATAGGAGAGGAGCAGCCGTGTAATAGTCGTGTGCATGGTAATAAACCACCATTAAAATGATCGAGGGTTTGGGAATGGTTGATAAGAATCCTGTCATTTGTGTGCTTGCAGAAGAATGGTCATGAGTGTTGAATGAACCCTGCATCGTTTGAGAACCTATTTAAAATTGAATATATGAGCAATTATTTATATGAAAATTATTTGGATATGAAAATTATTTAGCAGGAGACCTGATGATTGAGGGAAATTGAAAACCAAAAAACCATGATTGCATGCTATATGATTTGCTATGCTTCGTAGGACTTCGTGGCTAATCAGAATTTAGAATGAAACATTTCAACAATACCAAATACTAAATGAATAAGCTTTTGGTAAATAGTATTGCGTTTCTTAGATTTCGAACAAATATAACTGGAACTATAAACGTTTTGTTCTTAACCACTACATAGCTATAAGCATTTTGCATTATTTGCTAACTGTAAACTCGAGTTGATCGATAGCACTCTTCTGGTGCGGTGAAATTGTAAGCTGTTATTATATATTTGGACTATTTCGTTACCTGTTTTGGGGTCCAGCACAATGAAATGCATCCCATGTCCATCAAAGGTTCGCTGCTGTCCTTGAATTGCGATACTGGAATAAGATTTCGCGCCTTGACTGAACAAAACATCCTCCAGGATACGCGAGATCAGTTCGACATAAATAATTTGTCCACCTGCAAAAGTATTGAATAGTTTGACTCGGTTTTGCGAAGAGGAAATTCAAAAGTTTAGGATGGCATTTTCCAGTCAGCTGGTCTTCGGCTTTACCAGAAGCCAGTTATTCAAAAGCGCTTTGGTTTACTGATAGAAAACCGCAAACTTAAAATTACGGAACTCGAAATCTCTTCCTGATCAATGTAAGTTTTGTCTATTAATATAAGTCCATCAATATAAGTGTATCAATATAAGTTAATGCTATGAATAGCTAGACAGAAATACATAGAAAGCTTAAGTTCAGGGACTGATTGTACGAAGGCGAACAAACCTTTTTCCATCGTGGTGACATTTGCCACAGCTTCGGGACCAAACCTGGTATTCGACTGTGCTGTGATGCTGATGGTGTATTTTGTGCGAGGTCTCAGACCGTTGATGGAAAACAAAGTAACATCACCAATATCTGTGCAATTATTATCAGCCTTGACGGTTCTAATGACACCATTACCTGTAATGTTATGCACCATGGCACAATTATTTTCTATCACCAGGCTACCATTAACAAACCTACATTTCACCATCCCCTTTGCCTCGGTACCATTAACCAAGTTGCCACTTACAATGACCAGACTGCCATTAACCATGCTGCAGGTTCTCGAAATTACTCCATCTTCAGGAATTCCTGCATCGTTTACGCTATCATTTACCAAAACTAGGCTACCATTAGCCATTTTGCAATCGAGCACGATGTCGGTATCATTAACCAAGCTACTATTGAGAACAGCCAGAGTGCCGTTTACCAAACTACACTTAACAATGCGAACGATGTGATTTAACAAACTACTGTTTAAAATATTCAGGGTACCATTATTAAGTCTACAGGTGAACAAATCTTCTGTTCCATTGACCACACTATCATTCACCATGACCAGGCTACCATTAACCAGTCTACAGGTAACTTTGTATTCTGAATGATTCACTAAGCTCCCATTTATACTAACCAGGGTTCCATTAGCCGATCTGCAGGTGAATATACCCTCCGTACCATTAACCAGACTATCATTCACTAAAATAAGACTACCATTAACCAGTCTACAGTTAACCGTGTATTCTGTATGGTTAACCAAGTTACCATTCATAATAACCAGGGTTCCATTAAACGATCTACAATTGAACATACCCTCCGTACCATTAACCACACTATCATTCACCATAGTAAGACTACCATTAACCAGTCTACATGTAACCTTGTATTCTGTAGGGTTAACCAAGCTACCATTCATAATAACCAGGGTTCCATTAAACGATCTACAATTGAATATACCCTCCGTACCATTCCCCACACTATCATTCACCATAATAAGGCTACCATTAACCATTCTACAGGTATCCTTGTATTCTGTATGGTTAACCAAGCTACCATTCATATTCACCAGGGTTCCATTAAGCGATCTACAGTTGAATATACTCTCAGTACCATTGACCACACTATCATTCACCATAATAAGACTACCATTAACCAGTCGACAATAGACCATGATGGTGGAAGAATTATTAGTCAAGTTGGTATCAATCGACGTGGTATCTTTAGGGATTTCGCTGCTAACCAAGCTGTCATATTTCTTGACACATACGGTGTAGTTCAGGGGGAGTCCGCGCTGAGAGATGATCCCGGAGGGGCGGGACCATATTATTGTGAACGAAGATGACGTCAAGTCAGCGGTAATAATCGAAGATGGCGGACCAGGTATGACTATCGGAAGAGACAAGATAAAATAAACTAATTTATAAGATTAACTTATTTTAGATATAATGAATGTTCGCTTCAGAGTACTGGCACAACCAGTCCTGATATATCTTTCTCATAATGCCGTCAAACGAGGAAAGTCTGGTGTAACACGAAGTTTGATTCGCTCGTTAGTTTTGTGGAGCCAATCAAACTTCGTGTAACATCATAACGTCTTTATGAGAAAGGCCCATTGAATGAGCATAGTCATGCTCACAGGATTGATGTTCACGTGTCGATTGCGCTAAACTTACGCAAATTTCCGTAGACTTCCACTTCACAGAAGTTTAAAGTTCCGTTGGCATCGGGAATAGAAACTGTCAAAATCTGTCCCAGTAATGGCGGCATACAGTTGACGGACACCGTCTGACCAGCGCCAACATTTTGCGTATACTTTGGTCCGCATCGAGGATTGGCTTTACCGCCTTCTGTTGAATTCATTCCCACACGAATTTCAAAATTCCTGAGGTTTCCCCAGCAACAGTCAGCCCGGTTGGTGATCCGCACTCCAGTGACAAACAGTTCCTGCCCGAGATCAACTGCCCACCTGAAAAGTTCAATCAAGTTGGTTTATTTCAATCTGAACCTGTGTAGTACACTACATTTCCTCATCCCCAGGGGTAGGCGGCAGGATTTCGGTGGCTATTCTGTTTTCCCACTGTTTTATGCTGTTTCCATCTTGATAAAACAGTATAAAACAACCACAATTACCAACAGCAGAGCTACAGAATTTTCAGCGGAACGCAGCATCATTAATATTGTTCCTCTGAAGGCCTAAAAGTGTTAATTTGCTCTGAAAACATTCGGCCCCAACAGTTTTTGTTTGAGTAATTGATGTATAAACATTGGCAGATCAAGAGAGCTTGACATATTCAGAATAGGCGTGGCCTGGTTTGCATGCTGATCACTTACCAAGGTTCATACTGCAACTTTGTCTGCATACACGTGTTTTGGTCGTGGCGATAGTTACAGCCATCAACGGCGCGAGATGACACACCATCTGCTTCTGTGCTCGACTGCCATGTTGGTTGAGCAAAGGCATAGTTTACACCTGAAATAAGAAAGCGATAAAATATCAAGTAGCGACAGGTCATGTGGAAGGGCGTAGATCCTAGAGAGAGGGAGACTCAATTCCTTCACCCTTTTCTCACCTTCCAAAGATTTGTAATATAAAATAGATTTTTTGATTTATAGTAAAATAGATCTTATTTTTGGTCGTATGTTTGTGAAGTCAGGAAATTAATTAAGATCCAAACATGCTATTACTCAATTTCAAACAATTTCACACAAAGACATTCGCTCATAATGGATGTCAAAGAAACATAAATTAAGCATTTTATAATATTTTTTCTCAGGATGACCCCTGTTTTGAAAACGTAACTAAAACGTTCAAAGCGTTTTTGTGCACATTCGGATAAACTTTTACTTTCATATTGAATTTCCCGCCAATTATACTATTGGTAGACTGAAGAATCGTTAGAACCCTTCTACCCCATGATCACTAAGCGCATGGTCACGGCTGGAAACAACGCTGCCTCGAAACTCCTACTTGCCGCACCTCGGTGAGTTTTCTTTCATTGAGAGCACTGCACTGGAGCGCGAAAGGTGTGGGTTCAATTGCTTCCGAGATCTCAAAAGGACAAAGTTCCCTGTTTGTTCTTGAAATAGCCGCGTGCTTCCATCCCACCCTTTTCAACTTCTCCTAACTTGCCGCCCACTTCAAACCCCTTAACTTAAGCCTTTTTCGCCATAGATATTTCGCTTGGGTTTGCCGCTGGCATAAAACGCTTCGAGAACCACGAGTTGTCTGTTCGCGTGGGTTTGATTTTTGATAAGTTACGTCAATGAAATACCAAGCAAAGTTTACATTTTGCCGTCGGCGAAATTTTCCGGCAAGGACAGGCGAAAGCGTGAAGTGGAAAACCGGACTTTAATCCAGCGAGCTTTAACACAACCGGAACGATTACGACACAGAGACAGAGAGAGCATTAAAACAACCCCTTTTCGTTTTCCTGAGTTTTAAAATACTCGACATTGAGCGTCCCCATTCATTCTATATAGAGTTTAATAAAAAACTTTGACAAAGGGGATAATTGCCGATAATTCGCCATTTTTTTAGCTAAATCACTCAAATGGCAGGTGTTTTTCCGCTTTAAAGTATTTATGCTTTTTGCATAAGTAAGCCCATGCAAAGCCTTCAAATTTACACATTGAATAAACAATTTCCACCAGCTTCAGTTTCACTTACAGCCCCGGGGTTCGGGCTAAGTATTTTACGAAAAAACTAAAAAAGGTCTGAATTTATGGGCATACTGTTCCAGGCAATGAGGCAAATACAGGGATACTGTTCCAGTTGTATTACATAGTTCACTGGGTTGATGACAGCCAATTACATGTTCCATATTTTAGCTGACAGCAGGCACGGCATACGATTAGCCAATGACAGTGTTTTATCGTCAACAGTATGTGACGTGTGTCTAAATTTTGAAAGCGTGTTACAATATACGGAATATCGACAGAGGCGCACCTATCAACTTACCTTCATCAGCGCAGATATTCCTTGCGGACAAAAACACTTTTAAAACAAGAACTAAAATCACCTTGGTGTTCATTTTATTGGTATTGTGACATGAACTTTGTGTGACACCTCGGTTTGCCAATCAATTTTGTAGGGAGCAAAGTTGTATTCCCGTTAGCGTGTGTGACATCATAGTTGTTGTTTATGACGTTCTTTATTAGGTTGAGAACACGCATGCTAAACGATTTTCATAACTATCATGTTCAATAATATTGCAACTGCCGAGTTTATGAAATAGCTGGAATTTATTTTCCGATTTGGCAATATAGACGCTCGAGCTAACATCATTTTAGTGACGTTTTGAAGAGTATTTCTCGACCGCCAGCTTTTCAAAGCCGCACGAGATAGTTGTTTTCAAGCAGAGCATTCTAATTTGCAAGCACGCGGAACCTTTGTAATTGCTACATTTTCATTACAAAAGCTAGGGAAATTTCAGGCAAGATTGCTGATATGAAATAACCTCTCGAAGTAAAGGCTTTACATTAATTTCCTTTTTAGCAAAAACAATTTTACTTCACAAAAGATTAAAAATACATGTTGCTGTGAATTCCCCGCCCATTTCAATCGAATTACCCGTAAATACCGACGACATCCGGCCCGATTTTGATTGGCTGAGCTTTCGAAGGAAATTGAAGGAAGTAAATAGCGACTTTGTTAATCTCACTGTATGATATAAAATATAGATTGTACCCGACTTTTTGACGATTTTTCGTAAATATAAACAAAGATATGTACCGAACCTCGTTGGTGTAATGTGAACTCCGTTCTGCAGTGTGATACGATGGGGCAATCGCTATAAAATCATTTGATTTTGCCCCAAAATGGACGACGATATTATAGCAGACACGAAGCAGAAGTTCTCGGTAGCATGGAGAGAGCGTTTGCCATCGAACGATTTGCCTTCGCTGGATTTCCTCAACGACAGCGATCAAGCATACCGACAATTTCGGCACAGCATAGAGGTTTTAAACGATTGTCTGGCTACCATCAAGCTCGAAGTATTTATTGTAAAGTTTCTACGTACGCATATTTTATCGGAGAGGAAGTGTTCGAACGAGCTGAAAGTTGGCTTCAACATTGACGAAGTTTTGAGGGATTTGGAGTCGATTTTCTCGGGAAAAACGCGGCCGGACAAAGGAAAGTACGAGGGCAAAATCGAGAATGGCACTTTAGAGGATACTTCGGCAAAAGGCGGCCGTTCAACGGAGGGAAATAAAGGCAATATAATAGACAAAACATCGACAACTGATACAAGTGAAGACAGCGTGAAACGTGATAATCACGATGGACCAAACGAGAAAGTATCAAAGAATTCTATTGGGCATGACCACGAACCATCGGGGAACGTTTTAACGATTTCAGCAACCGATAATGAGGTTAACGATATCAAGAAAAGCGAAGGTGAAAGCAATGTGCCTCTTACGAGCGAAGAGCGCCCTTCAACTAAAAGGGATTCTCAAACAGCGCACAATGGGAAAGTAACTATTTTTACACCTATATCAAATGAGCATGTGAAAAATAAAACTGGCGAATCGAAAAGTGAAAGCAGTACTTCCCCGAATTTATCGCCAGTCGAAAAGGAAACATCGGATCCTTGCAGCTCGCCCGAGAAAGCAAGTTCCAGTATGGCTCGCGACGGGGATGCAGCAGAAATAGGCGAGAGAGATGACGACGTTAGATCAAGTGGAAATGAACTCGACAATACAGATACTACATTCACAGACGATCCATTCTCCTCCTGTTCCAATTCGCCCGACCCCGTTCATGAAGCAATGTTCCTACAAGATGGAGATCAAAGCTCGGACGAAATTCTCAAAATCATGCCGTATTCTGCACGTACAACTTTCTACTCTGTCGATCCTTCGTTGGAAAGCACAAATTTTGGCATGGCCGAACACATCTACGAAGACATCGATCGATACAGAGCTAGAATTGACGAAGAATACCCTAGTGAGGCAAGGCGGCATCTATCCCAGTCTGAGATGATGATGAAAAAGACTTTCAGCGTTGGAGCACTTCGTAAAGACAAGATACAAGCAGATGACGAAGTTTTCGTTAATCGTCCGAGTCAACCTGCAGGTGAGTTGGTAATCGCATATTTTGAAGATTAACTACATTTATACGAATAGTTTTCATAAAAAAGTGCATAGATGTTTATCTCAAGGAACTGCGTGATGTCTCTAATGAATATGAAGCGCTGTGTTGCATAGACTATTTATGTAAACAAAGTTCATTGTTCATTTTCCGTCGACTAAATTTCGATCAAATTTGAACCTATTTCTCTGAACTTTCGTTCTTTATAACCGTGTAATTTTGGGTCAGAATCAAGTACATTATCGCTTGCAAACAACGTATGTATTCATTCCAATCAAATGATAATTATTTGTCATACAACTGTCAATAGTCAATAAATTCCCGGCAGAATCTCGTAATTGTGAATTTTCGAACAGATATGAAATTACCGCAGTTCTAATTAGTAACGAAGTGTAACAAATTACAGGCGAAATGTAGCAATTGACGATAACATAACTTTTTGGAACGGAAATAAATTGCTGGATCATTTGTATTTGTATTCTTGTTTACACAGAACTCATTGCCTTATATATTGTGTGTTTTTCTAAAATGTCTGTGGGGTGTAAACTGTACAAAAGTGGATTTAACCAACCTTAATTCCAGTGTCCATTAACATTTGACAGTAAATAGGAATTCGTTTTAGTCACGTGCATGCACTGACAGCACTGTTACAGGCATTCCACACTGGCTAAGAGTTTGATTTATTGTTATGTGTCATGTTTAGGATAGTTAATTACTGTTTAAAACCATATTGGCTATTGTGTTCTATTGAATTACTGCTTTGAAAAACTCCTAAATCATGACAGGTTTTAGGTATTTCTACCTTTCTCATGCTGTTGCATCTTACTCATCAGTGTAGGTGTCCTTATGATTCTCTGGTAGCTTTTTTAAGAACATTCATTGAGAAAATGCATTGATGCATGTAATATCTGCCTGTTCCATTTAAGCTAATAACTCATGCAAAATATTTCCTTATATGTGCCAATATTCCTTAATTTTCAACATCAACAACAAAACACAGGGTGCTAGGATAATTAAAGCATCAAATTCATCAAGTTCGAAGCCAGAAAAATGATGTTCTTTCAAGGGGCCTGCCCCACATTTTTGTTGTTTATATTTTCTGTCCAATATGCCATGGACTTAATCGAGCGTGGGATCATTGTAATTTATAGAGCAATATTCTTTGTTATTTCTAGGAGATGCTGAAAAAGTTGACCACAACACATCACCCCAAACTCTCTCAGTTTCCACTAATCCTGTGCACAAACGAAGCTCCAGCGATGCTGGTGTCTCTTACAATGTTCGACCCAGCAGAGATCGAAAGGCAGTTAGGAATAAGAATATGGCCTTCCAGATTATCGATCAACATAGTGTCTCGATTGCAGATGGCCGCAAAAAAAATATTCAGAGTGTTCTTGTAAGTATAAGACAATATTAGCTGCCTTGCATTGGCTTTGCATGTTGTAAACTGTGATACAATACAAAAACCAAAATAATGACTAGAATTTTCAAACACCCATATATTGTGTAGACCAGAATTGTTAGAAAGGATACCATTGACTTAAAGTGATTCAGTCACAAATATCTCCAAATAGGCAGTTGCCCCTCTGTCCCCAACTACATATTATATGTCCCTGGCCGACAAGCCACATTATTCCTCAACATGAATGAATTTGAGTGAAGTGCACCAATTTTGAGTGTCTTTTTTGTGTTTAGGAACAAGCTGTTGATGATGAACATAAGCTACACATGAGAAAGTGGGTTGTGGCTGGCCTTGTTGATAGCGAGAGAGGTTATCTTGAAGCACTGGAGAAATTGACTAAGGTACTGAATCAGCCTGTATGACTCAGCTTCAGCTTAAAGAGTAGATCTGGATTGAAATGCACAAAGTTTGATCACCCAAGCTTCCAACTAGCAGTGAAAATGATGATTATTACTTTGCTTTTTCTTATCTAAACTTCAATATTCACAATGAATTCAGATTTAATTAAGCTCAGCCAATAGAAGCTTAGCAATTTAAATACTATTAGCTAATACGAGAAAAGCATTTTTATTTTTATCTTAATAAATGAATCCGCTCCAGGATTACTTTTGATATGTGTAATACCTCAAGTTTGTAATTAAATATATGTCATATGAAGTAAAAAAAAATAAAATAAATGAATTCTTGAGTTGTCGTATAAAAAAGCTCTTTTCCTCATGCCAATGTTTCTACTTTTTCAGCCCATGAAGCCAATCAAAGCATCCCTCACAACATCCTCCCCGCTTTGTACTGTGTTTGAGTTTCACCGAATTTATGACAAAGTTGAGGAGTTGTACAAAATGCATTCACAATTCTTGGTTTCCATGGAAGAGCGAATTTCAAACTGGAGTTTGAAGCAGATCATTGGAGACCTGTTTACATTATTGGTATGCAAAAACTTCTCATTCTTGGCCCACTCAATATTCATAATTTGAAGGGACAGCCTTTGAAATTACTCTAGTCTGTATATTGATTCTCAAAAGTCAAATCTCAACATCATGCCAAACCTCAAAAAAAGCAAACAACCTCTGCAATATTGCAATTCATGTTTTTTAGTGATATTGACCACAACTATTGCTGCAATATATAAAATGCTTCAAAAAAATTTCTTTGCCAAAAATAGAAAACGAAATTCAAGCCAGGCCAGAAACAGATGGGTTTTTCTAAAAAATTCAATCTCAGAGTGAAATAGAAACTGGGGCCACGCGCAGAAAGCAATATATTACATCTGTTAAAATTTGTCTGCGAAATGACGACAGCATGTTCTCACAAGAGTGAAACCTCTGGATTTATCCATGGTTTGCTAGCATAACAAAGCGCCGACTAACCACTAACCATTTGTAATTTTAAATTAACGGTTAACCATTTACACCAGAAATAACCATCGACGATCTATTTATTTTGATGATGTTGATCGAATATTGTGCGAAAAGCCGCTTAAAGTCTTAAGAACTATCATCGGTATTGCTTTTTTCTTCATATGAACAGCCTAAAAGTGTTTAATTTGCTAAACTTTACAGACACACAGGCCAATGCAATTTACATTTCAACAAGCTTAATCAGAACTCGTTTTTTTACACACTAACACTGGTATAAACTTCATGAACACACCTGACACTAAAAATCTTTTCTGGTATGAGCGATAGTTCTTGCGGTAAAATAAACGCCGTCAGTATTCCCCCAAACCAAATCAGTGTTCGCACCTAAAAGAATTTTTACAGCACCTCGTGATGGTGGCGAGTGAAATCAGGCATGGTGATTTTAATATATTACCATGCAAAACAATATCTAGCTTCCTAGTATAGTCCCTTTTGTTATGGGCTGGCTGGTTGTCACTTGGGACTTGAGATAGACAAGACAAAACAAAAGAACCCTCAGGGCCCAGTTAATGAAATGTACAACGTGGACATATAAAGCATAAGCACCCGCGTTTAGAAGGCAAGTCACCATAACAAAGCACTGATAGACTGTCCTTGAAAGTAATGTCAATATATCTAAGGCTGTGTTCACACGGAACCTGACGAGTTTAGTACCGTGCTCGAATTTGTCTCGTTTTCTCCTGCATGTGAACACGTAGAAACACAATTCTAGTCCTGTTAAAAAGCATATCTATCGAACTAACAGCAACGACACGCAAATATGTAAAACAAATATGTATGAATTAATAAAAATGTACTATTTACTGAGTAAAGTTACACCAAATAAGCAATTTGACATTTATGCGCACGTGGAATTCACTTAAAAGCTTATAAAAAATCACGCAATACTGAATCATGCAGTCGTTAGAAGCAATTCAAAATGCAAAATATACGTATAGGCTAGTTTTTTATACACACTGTAGTTCGGTCACATATATGAAACGGCTAGAAATTTTTCATACCACAGAAAATATTATTTCCCTAGCCTGGCAATTTCAAATGACAAATACCTTCTATAAAATCATGCATTAGTAGCATTTTTACATTGCTACGTCATTACATCCTTCTGGAATATAATAAAAAAGCGTTTAAAACTCCTTGCATGGGAACTAAAATCTTTTGTGCGTTGACATTGTTGTGTTTTTACACATTTGTGACGGTTCAGATTGCAGTTATGAATTTGGTTCGCCTTTGAGTCATGATCGAGAAAATTGAATGTACTGTATCGAGCCTGGAGAAATATTTTTAAACATCTTTCAGTTCACTTTTTATAGCCTTTATTAAGAGTTCTACCGACAGGAATAGTTTTATTTATTTTCAAATTTATTTCTTTGCGTGTCAGACATCATTTAGGGGCGAAACTAGACATGATAACTATGAAGGTGTATCGATATATTAATACTCATATAATATGGTTATGTTTAAAAACCGCGAAAACAATTGTTTTCAAAACAAATAAGTCGGCCATGATCATACGAATTTGTTATATAGGTGCTGTGTATTTTAAATGTGATTGGTTCATTCGTCGTAGTCACATGACTTTAAATAAATGCAATAAAAAAGAGAAAAATTGTTGCCCGCATACATATGTATTGCCGTAACAATTAAAGGGTTTTTATGAAATGAAATTGTTGTGTAACATGTATGTTTTTGTTCCTAAATAACAAAGCACTTAATGTACACTTATACCTCGGGAAATAGTGAGTTTTGGTTTCCCTCGAGTCTCAATGTTTCCTAGCTTGTATAACATTGCACGTCATTCTAAACACTCAAAGCCAGGCTTATTTTATCCGCATCTTATTCGTATACCAAATTACAAATTTGTTCGGTGCGCTGATAGTTATTGCTATAGAAACCCTGCTTATATATAGACCCGTAAGCCGTATACCGACGAGCAAGCTTTTATTGATGCAAGTTCACTTTCTTGTATATTCGTTAAGTATATTTTTGTGGGAACTTATTTATTCGAGTGTTCGCCAAAGCTTTCTTGGTTAATTTTTAATTCTATAAAAGCATTTACTTTTATTCTTGGCAACTTAATCAAAGTCGCGATTGGCGCATCCTTCGTGTGGAACGAATGTCTTAACCATGAAACTTTCCCATTTTTAGATGGATCAATTCCCAGTTTACGAGGCGTATATTCGTAACAACAAGTATGCCATGGAAACGATCGAAAAATGCAAAAGCAGTGATACGTTTAAGAGTATTTTTACACAGGTATGACCTTATAGGCCGTAAAATACGTGAAAATTGAGGGAAAATGGAGAGAACAATAACTTCTATGTCTATTTCTCGAAAATAGTTTCAAAGGTATAGCTTATTTGCATTAATTGCATGACTATATATGTTAAACTTTATTGGGCTTGAAAATTGTTACAATTTATGCATGTAAGGTTACAAATTTAGGAACCCTAGCTATTAAAAGACCATTAAGAACGTACCCAAAATTAGGAACGTATTCCTTCAAAAGATTTTGCAACCATTTACAGTAACTCGCAATGTAAAAAAACCTACTTTGCGAAAAAAATCTGTCATTTATAATCTTATAGATAACTATAGTCGATGATTGCGGATGACGTTTTGAAAACATGCGATGCATGATTCTTTTCAACAGTTATAAATTCGCCAAGAAAAATTAGATACATGATAATTTACATACATGTCGCATGCACGAAAAAGTAGTGCGATGATTTATTCTGTTTTTAAACTTTATTTTCAAGGATATTACCTTGCTATCAACACAAGAAATAACGACTTATGAAAGTAAGATATACTGCATAGTGCTATATTGGCAAAAATAATCCCAGCGTTGTGTTTTAAACCGTAAACACACCCGAAATAAGTTAAAATAAAATTCCAGCCAGAAGCATTCTAACTCATCTCAATTTTTTACAGGTTTGTTCCGGAAACCTCTTGAAAGAATTGCAAGATATATCTTAGCAATGGACGTAAGTTTCAGAATTTTGTAGCACCATTTTAAAATTTTAAATCTACATGTATGTTGGATTGCTGTGTTTAATTAGCCTTTCTCATGAAATATGCCGCCATTTTGGGGTACAACTAGACCACTAGCCCCATTCCTTTCCCGCCATTTCAGATCACCCGGTTGTTATCTCATTATCTTTGTCTGAATTGCATTTGAGGCGTCAAAAATGCGATGTATTAAGCAGGCCTTATATATGTGTTAGAAGGTACCCTAGAGAATAGATATACTTTTCCATAGGACGTTTTAAGCTATATACCTTTTACTTCTCTTAGGATCTCATAAAATATACCCCAGAGGAACACCCCGACTATGAAATGTTGCAAACGTTCATGAAACATGCGCAGGAATTCTTGGAACGGAACTACAGTCAACGACCTGAAGTCGATGTAAGTAAATTCTTTGAAAATTCGCGGTTTTATACCGATGTCCGAATGACATCAGAGTGCTTTAAGACATGCATATAGCGAGTATTTTCTGATAAATCAAATACATTTCTTTTGTTCAGGGCATTGTGAGAGCCAAGCGAACAAGGGTTGAAAGAAAGTTGTTTAAGGATGCTTTTGTTGTCGAATTAGTAGGTTCGTACAAAGTAATATGTTATAAAACTAGTGTTTTACTAAGACTTTCCCTTTCTTTGTCATTCAACTGTTTGCAAAGTTTAGTTCAGTTCAGTTTAGATCATTATTTCGTTTACATGCCAAAACGGTTTTAAACACCGTCAATTTACCCCAGAAATTGAAGCTACTTTGTATTTTTACTGCCATGAGCATTTTTTTCCTTGGATTGTGTGGACAGGGCGTCAAACGTAAAACACACAGTAGCTGAATACCACGAACTTTATGTAAAACGGTTATGATTTAACAAATATGTTGCACACTCCAAGATAGTACAGTTAAAAGTTAAAACACAAAGTTCGTTAGCGGTTTGGCATTTCTTGTAAACGCCATGCAGTCCTATAAGGTCTTTAGTAATAGTTGATTACCACAATCTCGTTCCCTAACTCCAGTTGCATTTATGTTAGATCAGGTCAGTTCAATTCATTTCATTTTACACCTTCCAGTTCAAGTCATATCAGTTTAGATTAGTTTAAATGATTCAAACCTGTAACTTAAACACACTTAAATACGCGCCAGTTTTGGATTCATAGAGGTTAATTTTGGATTGTTGCATAGATGGACAGCGAAAGTTCAGGCATCTATTCCTGTTCCAAGATGTGTTCGTATCAGCGAAGTTGAAAGTGTCGAACAGGTGCAGTATAGAGTCGAGTTCTTTGTTCAAAATCGTTCCTGAACACAGCAATAGCACAAGTGAAAGTGATTTTGATAATCAACTACCGGACGCATTCCACGCTAGAAAAAAAGGCGGGGAGATATCTAAAAAAGTCCCTGTAGTCTTTTTATTCCCGCCAACACGATTCATGAGTATCAGCGTTTACGGAATTGAAATTCGTATGCCTACACCCTATATATGTAGAACTCGCACACCCTTACACTAAACTATTTTACTCTTTTTTTTCAGAGCGGAACAATATGCAATCAAATGGTGTTGTTCTCTCCACGATATTCTCTTTTATCCAACTGCGAATTCTGAATGTAAGAACAGCATGCAATTAATAACATTTACGGCGAAGTTTCCTCCCCCCCTTCATGGGAAACTTAATATAGGGCACCTAATCAGAGTGTCTCAGCCTCGCGTCTCATTCCCTTCAAAGTTTTAGACTGGTTGGAGTTTTTGTAAAATTTTACTTGGATTTTGCCAGTCGTTTAATCCTGTTTCAAGACCAATTAATTACTTGAACTTTCAGAAACTACTGTCACGCAGTTATTCTGGGGCCGGTTGTTCGGTTAAAAGCCGGTTAGCTTAACCCGGGCTAAAGCAAATCTTCACATCAATATGTTTACTCGCTTGTTCACAAAGTTGAATATCTTTTTCCATAAATATTTTCTGGACCGACAAAAGGTATATTTTGTACAGGTTTTAAAACGAACGGTGATGCAGAAGCACTTAAACCAAAACGGTGGATTAAAATTTAACCCATGCAGGGTTAACGCTAGCCCAGCTTTGAACAACGGTCCCACCCTGGGCAATAAGTTCTCGTTCGACACGGATATAGAACATCGTCACATTACCCAAACTCTAACCTCAGTCATTTGCCGTCTCTCATAAAGCAACATGTCGACAATCTTCGTTAATCCTCGACAATATTTCTCTCAATAGCTGCACAAACCGTACCAGTGACGAGCAATATCGACATCGATAATCTCAAAGCAAAGATCGCTGCCATTAAAGCTGACATTCGCTCGGAACAGGGGATGTGCGAAGGAGTTTCCTCAGAAAAATTGGAGGTACAGTATTATATTTTATTCATGATTGATCGAGAGGTCCGTTTCTGAAGCACCGTCAAGTTAGATGCACAGGATTAGATATATTCATCTAATTGATAAACGCCTTTGCATACAATATTCGCATCTGCATGTGTCACAGCTGTATGATCTGATACAAGTCGTAAAACACCGGCGTCCACTTATATATTGTACAGTATAACACCATTACCAGCAGTAATGCTTATGTAATTTAGTAAAATAAAGCATATTAATACTACTCTGGAAGAAAAACGTATGCGAAAACTTGTAAATCCAAGATTTGAGCTTATAAGCGAGCCAAGTTTAGGATGATATTTCTATTTCAAAATCTATTTCAAAACCACAAAGTTTGGTTCAAAGTCTAGTTTGACAATCTCATTGACTTTGGTATACAGTCGAAAAATATCACCGTAAATCTGTTGTTTCGTTTTAAAGCTAAAATCATAGATTTACAAGATGTTGTTATTTGGGATATTTTGTTTCTTGTATGTATATTGCGCGAAATATTGTACCACAATGATTTTGCTTCCAGCTCATCTGGAAATCTAGTCGCTCGCTCTTCACTACTCTGACATAGTCAGACGTAATCGGGCCTAGGCAAAACCGTCCAGTTCTGACCCAGTATTTCGTCTGATCCATCGTCACATTATCTGTGATTTTTCCAGAAGAAACAAGTTCCTGGTGGAAGACACCTCTCAACAACGTCAACAACGTCTGTTGCGTCATCACGACCGGGGGTCCACTCGACCAAGAGCATGGATCGATTGAAAAGGAAACTTGCTGAACAGGTTTGGATATAGCGAAATGTTTATTCACCGGCTGATACATAGACATTAATGTGATTCAGTCAAACCAAACCGGTACTTGCAAAATTTCCGGCCACGCTCTCCCGTAAACCCTACATACCAGGAGTTAAAAAAATATTCTTAATGGTTAGGGGTGGGTTTATTTCAAAAAGATTGTTAACTTTCTTTAGTGAGAAAATTGGTTATAAAAACAGTTTATTTGTGTGTTAATGTACGATTTAACAACCTAAGATTTAACCTAAGAGCAGAACCTAAGGCCTGAATTTTGACCCGGATTATTTTATTGTCTGAGATGTTCCCTCTGTCAAATAGGTACAAAATTCCTTTCACGTCTGTAAAAACCTTTGCGTGTTTTGTTGCTTGTTAGAATTTGAACGGTCTAACGGCCTGACAACCTCGTACCCAGGGTCTCGACGGCCTGACCGTTATTATTTAAATACGCTCTTATAGAAGGCTGTTCAAATTGTTAACCATGCATACAATAACCCGAACTCTGTATTTCGTGTCTAGGAAGCTGCCTTATGGCTGGCGTTACCCAGTCTACCGCTGACTATTTATCGCAGATCTGGCAAGGTGGGTAAATGAGTTAAATAACTGGTGTTGCAGGTCATCAACTCTTAGACCAAAACGTTTCGACATCAAAACACTATTTGATTGTCTACTTTAATTTATTTAGACACACAGGTTCCTTTTCTCATCAGACGTCGCGCGGGGGGATTGGAAGAGAGAAATTTCAACCCAGCAAAAAGGCGGTAAGTTTTGTGTGCCACCACTGACCTGAACAATGAGCTGGATGTACAACATCCCGATGATAGATTTCTTTCAAAGCAATGGGTATATTCCCTTCCTACTATAACAATGAATTTTATAGAAAAAGGAAAGAATGCCATATTCAAAAAATGTCGCGAGCAAGAGCCGTCGCTATTTCTTGATTAAACAATTTGGCTGAATTAGTGCATGCGCAACAAATCTCCAATTTTATGTAATAGAAAATATTTTCTGTGTTTCTGTGGAGTTATAGAAAGTAAAAACATGCGCATTTTCTGGTTGGAACAGTGAACTCAATTTTTGTATCGAACGATAACGACTTTGTCCAAGATTTTCGCGTTACGATATCGCTTTAAATATTTACTTCTATTCACTTTTAGCAACGGCATCGCTGGGTCAATTAAGCCCTCTCGAGATCCAAGAACTTGCGGAGACATGTCTTGAGGTAATATATTACGGATCCTTTAATTGGGACGAGTAACGATTAATATAGATATATTAGGGTATATTAGGGTATATTAGGAACCTAAAGGCCTTGTTTCTTTTCGGCTATAATGACATCATGCTGACCGATGTTACAAAGTGTTTATATATTTCTTGAGCGTGTAGAGATCGTTCAACCAGACAAATCCGACTGATTTCATGCAAAACACACCAAAAGATGAACCCCGGGCTGTTTTCACATCTTCGAACTTAATTGCGGCTATGAATGATAGTCTGGCCTTATTTTCCCTCAACTTGTCTAAACGTTTTATAACGTTAATTCTATTTGCTATTGCAGAAGCGAACTATTCGGAGTCTGGGCAGTGTTAACTTGAAAGACGGTGGGTCTGAATGCATGAACGAAGTTCTTCGTCTCTTAACCAAACTAAATGTCCCAGCCATTGCAATAATGATCCATCTAATAAATATAATTTTCCGTCCCTTTTTCAGACGATAATGTCTTTACTGGCGTGCTTTATGTTGTGGTCAATTCGGGGAAAGGTTTCTTTAAACAAAATGGTAAGAAAGCTTTTTTTACTTTACTCTAAATAGAGAACCAGTTATACAGCAGTTTAACGTGGTGACAAAAAGTTTGATATTAATGTTTGTTTTGCCAGACATACGGCATCGTTCGATGCAATACAAAATACGAGTCGAAAGTCAATCATTATTTTAAAAAAGTGTTGCCAAACTTAAGGGTCATAATACTGTTGAAATAGATTATTTTAACTACAGACGGAACGCTTTGAACCTTGTCGGTGCGATAATCTTGATACATGTAAAATGTTATAGTGGACAAGCAACGTATCTGTCAAATGATGCTTTATAATCGTTGCGTCTTCGGTTATATTGTTTATTATTAGACGGCTAATTGGCACGAATCGGAAATGTTTTTGATTGTAATTTGAAGTACTAATATTTGTGTTCAGACTGTTACGTGGTTCTCGAAGTTGATTATTACGGCCATTACGTAAGAAAAGCAAGAACGAAAATTTGCAAGGCCTCCCAAGATCCTTTGTGGGAAGAGGTACTCTTTTTACTTTTGTTTATTTTTGCATCCAATGGGGATCCAATATATAACCAATTTTTAGAATCAAGTCTCCCAGTTCATGAATTGCCCTCTAACATATTAAATGCTTTACGTAACATACAGTATCATACAAGGATTATGTTTGTCCAATTGGTCCTTGAAAAATTGTATATTTGAACTGAAAATAGTCATCACAGTTTATGAAAAATATTTACGTAGTGATAATGTGTTTGTTTTACGCTAAACCAGGGATTTCACATCGAAGTGGAAGGAACCCAGTTCATCAGAGTTCTGTGTTACAATCGAGCCAGAATGAAGGGAGACGAACTGTGTGGTCAGGGTACTATCAAGGTAAATCATTTTAAAGTGAATGAAAGATTTTTGAGTTTGTATGTTATTAAATATAATACCATGTTTTTTAGCTGCAAAAAGGCGACTTAGAGAATAGTCATTACCACGACTACACTGTCATCTTAGATAAACAGGTATGCTCTTCTGTTCTCTTGTTTATTCGTGTTTGTATGTGTATTTAGACAGTTAATACGCATTTATTTTTAAATAAGAATCTAATTTTATGCATCAAAACATATTTATTACCGTTCATTCTCGTCGCAATTTTTTAATGCACGGCTCTGAGATATTCTTTCTAAAAGATTTTCCCATGTGTTTAAAATGAAAATGTCCTATAAAACTGTTTTAAATCGTGTTTTATAAAGCCCGCTCAAAATATTTTGACGCCATCTTGTTTTTAAGCAAATTGCCGCCAAAATGGCAAACGGCAATTTTCACTAACAACGTTCGCCAATCAAATTCCGCAAACGGCATTCTAACGTAATCACTTTAAGACCGCACGCGATGCGGCAACGCGACGCGAATTGTTATAAAAATTAAATTCTGGAAGCAAAATTTGGAATCTATGGACGCCAGAGCAGTCAAAGAATGTTATAACAATGAATGTTATTATAGCTACAAGAATGGTATGATAGGTTAAAATTTATTTGCTTTTGGAAAATAAAAACGTGAAAAAATCGCGCCGCGTTGCAAAATTGCGTCCTGTCTATGTGGGCCTTTATAATCAAGAGCAATCCCGCTTTGTTCTTCCAATCAGTTTGCATAAAATACTTCCCAAAGTATATTTTATCAGCATGCGTAAACCGGCCTCCATTACTTCATCTTATAATCATTATTATTATTATATTATTATTAGGGATGCATAATGGTCTCAATCCAGTACTCAACAACACTGGAAGGTATCCACCACAGACGTTCTGTATCATCGAGTGGTGTCTTTGGCGTCAGTTTGGACGCCGTCGTAAAGTAAGTCGCTTTTAATGTGCGCATGCCCATTGTGTAAAATATGTTCAGACTTTATGAAATGGCGTTAATATAATCTTCATCTTTCTCAAGGCGGGAAAAAAGCGAAATTCCTCTGGTGGTAATAGCTTGTTGCAACGAGATAGAGAGACGAGGTGAGTTTATTTCTGTGTGGTTGTACAGTCAGAAGGTGGGAAATGTGGAAAGTATAAAACCTGATGAAGTTTTGTATACTTTCGTATAACGTACGGGGAATTATAAAATGTATCACTTTTACGGCCTTTTAGCACTACCCAACTATTCATAGGCCTAAATTTATCTACCATATTCCTTTATTCAGACTGTTTTTATGGTAGATTTTTTCGTCGCTGGTTTGAATTCGGCATCTACAAATATCGCCTTCCAAACTTAGTCATTTTACGGCTGAATTTGGATTACTCTTTAAATAAATAAGTTTTACAGACTTTCGTTCAATATGCAATGGGCTCATCCATTGTGCAGGAGATCAGTTTTGTTATTTTGTATTGTACAGGCATCGACGAGTTGGGAATATATCGTGTCTCGGGAGTCTCTTCGGATGTTCGAAGACTAAAGGAGAAATTTGACGAAAGTAAGTTTTTGCTCTTTGCTTTTCTTGGAATACAAGTCCATGAAAATACAGGAATTACGAAATTAGGAATGTATAATACGTGTAGGAACCTATATGCTTAGGTATAGTTATGCATGCAGACTCTAGCTATACACAGAGTCAGTCAGTCATTGCAGTCTTCGCTATACTGCTCCTATCAATCCTTTACATAGTTAGGTCTGACGATATCATGTATATTTTTTTTTTTTTTTTTATTTTATGTATGAGCATCTATCAACTGTATTTAAATTATTAAGAGAAATAGATTATTCCAACATATATAGATTTCTCAGGAGTAGATTTTAATAAGGAAAAAAAATCTCGCCAGAAACACAAAATTGCGTTAGAAACACTTAAAAGCACCTTAGAATGAATTAAATCTCAAGGCTTAATTGCAAGGTTGCAAGATGTAGAAGATATTGCCCTGAAAAGCTTACAGATTTTTTTAGATTTCGGTAAACTACAACGTTATTGTACTCATTTTTTTTGTTTTTTTTGCAATCTCACAGACAGTCAAGAGGCTTTGGTATATATCTCTGAAGCGGATATTCACGCGGTAGCCGGGACGTTGAAACAATATTTCCGAGAACTGCCTGATCCTTTGTTTACGGCAAATCTTTATCACAAGTTTACGGAGTCATTAGGTAGGGTATTCAAACATTGCCTGATTGCTTCATACTCGCATTGATTACAAACGGTTCATTTTTCACATCGCTATTGATGACCCTTTTTCGACATATCAGAATTGTTAGCCCGGTGGGAAACTCAACCGAAGTGGCGCCTGCACCCTTTTGCGTGGGGGGAGGGTTGTGTGGCGCCTTGCACCGTATTATGTGCGGCTCCTTAGTTTTCAACTGATAAATATAATTTGTATTTCATGTCTAGGGATGACTGACGAACAAGAGAAAGAGAAGCATTTATTGGATCTACTGGATCAACTACCACCAGCAAGGAAGTCCACCACCCTGTTTTTAATCGAGCATTTACGAAGGTACGGTACATGTGTATTATTACCCGCTGATAAAACTTCTATATATAAGTAGTTACTTCTGAAATTGGCCGAATATAAAAGTCGACTTAATTGAAATTTTAATCCTCTTACCTTGAACGTGGTAACGGTTGACAACTTTTTTCTTTGTTTCATTCTTCCTCAAAACTCTGGCAGGTGGCCGACTAATCCGAAGTCACCAGGAAAACATTGCCTCCTGCAAGCGAAGATATCCCAAAAAATTAACATTAGATTTTAAGCCACTTGAAATGCAGCACAAAACCTGACATTCGTCTCAAAAGTGTTGAATTGTTGTGGGGAAGGATACATTTATTTATTCTCTGGAGTATATGCCGTTTCGTCGAGAGGGGACAGGGTAATTACCCCGGGGGCAAGGGCAAAAGGGATCGGGGCTCATCGTGAGCTTTTGAATGCGCATTTCAATCATGTAGGGGGCTTCAATTTCAATTTAGGCTCGACACATCTGTCTCCATTTTCATATCGGTGCCTACTTTTGTGTATACACGTGCAATTTCAAGTGCGAGTTTCTCCTTTTGACGAATGTGAACGAGCGAGTTATTGCCTTTAACAGAGCAACTTTACAGTCTTTACTAACTGTATGAACAATTTTGATCTATCCACTCGTTTACATCAGCTAGAATCACACCTAATTTTCCCGCTTTTTCTAGGGTGAGCCAAAGCGAGGCTAGCAACAAAATGTCCCTTGGTAATCTCGCCACAATATTCGGGCCGAATCTCTTACGGCCACCTCCGAAGGAGAAGACTGACGAGACGTCGAGCACTTCCGAGAGCATTGCCATGGAGATGGCCTCTGGAACGTTCAACGTGATGTCGCAAACGTCGATTTTCTACTGGTACTTGAGGTCGAAAAGTAGTAAAGTGAATTTGCCTGCAACACCCGAAATTACCCGCAGACTCTTCCCGAGCAAAAAGGAGGTCGTAATTGCTCGGCTGTCATCTCAGTCCGAAGATAAATTAATTTAAAAAATATAGTTTTTGAACATATTCATATGAGATATAGGCATTTCATGCATTCGCGAGCCCTTGGGAAAAAAAGGATATTTTATAGCATAGTTAGAAATTTACAAGAGTAACAATATACAAGAAAGGCTTAGCAACTTGAAATAGATTTTAAGACTTTTTCATAAAGAACCAGATCACGAATGCTAATTAATTGATTTGTACAGCTTTGTAGACAAAATTCAATTAGCAATCGAGTTAAATTTGCCTAATGAGTAATGTTTAGTGATATGTCACTGAGTGGAAGCCCTTAAAAAGTCTGTTTAATGCATATGTTCCGTTCATAATAAACTATAAAGCAATATTGAAAACTTTCCATCTTTGATTTTGATTGAATTTAAATACCAAAACAAGTCAAAGCTTGTACATAATAATATCCAACTATAATGGGATGTTGTTCAGCTTGTTATCAGCAGAAAATATGTGCAGACAACAGACTTGGCCTTATCATTATTAAGTTTTTTTTTATTTCACTTCCAACATGGTCAGGTTAATTTTTCAGTTGTCCAGTTGGTAACTCAGATAACATTATTATATACCATATTTAACTGTGTAATTCATTGTTTGCGAAAGCCTTAAAAATTTAACACTAAACTAGACATTTCCGTTGTTCTTCTGGATATATACAACACAGCCTTTAGTGCACTCTGCCCCCTTTCCTGAGATATTCTTCCAGTTCAAAAATGTTTTCTCCACCAAATTTAAAAGCTAATAAAATCACAGCTTCATAAAATATTTGGAATTTGTAGACCTTGTGGCATATCAATTTGTCCAGATACACATTTTTCAACCTGTCTAGCTTGTTTATGCAGACCAGAAGCCTAACTTGACATCCAGATATCTATCTTTATCTGTTGACCCTTTATATTTTTAGTTATCATATTAATTTATATTTTTTATTAATATATAGCATATTAATTTATCCTAAACAACTTCAATTCCTCTCCACCAAGTCGGGGGTGGCCCTTTTCCCCCACTCTGCCCATGAGCCATCGTACACACTCACATCTTTGGCCCCACTCTGATGTGCAGCCAATGCCACCATGCAGGCAGTGATCCCTGAACCACAAGTGGTTGTGATCGGCCGATTTAGATCAACATTGTGTTTAGCAAACACTTCCTTCAACTGCTCATCATCCTTCATCAATGCTCTCTCATCATCGAGCAATTCCAGATAGGGGACATTTTGGGAAAAAGGAATGTGTCCGACAAGCATACCTGGGCGTGGCTCAATGCCCTCTCCTAAGAACCTTGCTCTTCCGCGAGCATCCAGGACAGTCTGTGCTCCCCCTGAATTCACATTGGCAACCATGGCCTCGTAATCCCGGACAAGGTCTGGATTCAGTTTGGCAGTGAATGGTTGGTCAGCTAAAACAGATTACATTTGATAGTGAGCTCAGATGAGAAAAAATTCAAAATAAAACCTGAATGGTTTTGCATATTATAAAAGAGTTTCTGCTCAAATATTACTTCAGTAAAATTAGATTGCACTTAACTTCACAGGGACACAGTCTGGAGAGTGTAAAGTGGTGTATTATAGGTTTTAGGACCAAATATTGAAGTATTTAGTTTGCATTAATTGCAAGGTGGAAAACCTTAGGGAAATCATATAACCAAACAGCAGGATGAGTTTGATGTATTTGGAGGCTCTTAATTAATATTGGTGTAATCTTGGTGACTAAAGCTGATGCGGTATTTACAGAAACCTATATCGAATTTTTTTTCGGCATTGATGTGTGATTCTAACACTAAAATTCTATATTATACAAAATAGCAAATGAAACGAAATAGGGAACATCAAATACATTTTCAATGCAATTGAAGTAACACTTTCCAAGAATTGTCGTGCCAGAAAATCAATATTGATATTCTGTGGTATATATTTCTACACCACAAAAACTTACAAAGTCTCCCTGTGCACCCTCCTTAAAATATCTACCACTTAATTAATTTAAATAAATAATTGCTGTTGTATTGTTGCTGAACACCAACAGCTTTTTTAATCGGTGTGCAATATATACTGTAAACACAGACAAAAACTATATGAAACCAAAATTCTGCTTACATTTGATGGGCTTTGCTTCACCAGACTCCACAGGCAATCCGGCAGCCAACCATTTGTGGAAACCACCATTTAGAATGGAGATTGCTTTGTGACCAAAACATCTGAATGTCCACCAAACCCTTGGACTTGAAAATACACCATAATCGTCATCGTTATCATAGGCAATGATGTGACTGTCATTTGTTATACCTATAAAAACACACTGATTTAAAATCTACTTTATGCATATAACAATGAAGCCAAGGAAAATTAAACCAAAATTTGTCAATTTGCCTGTGACAATGTACCTAAATGCTGTACATATTCTGTAAACAGTTTTTCATTAGGTAACATATGTGGATACATGCTTGTCCTGTCGCAACATTCATCAACATTGAAGTAAACAGCTCCTGGTATATGGTTATCGAGAAAATCCTGTCCATCAGTACGGACAGTTGTGTGAACAACACTGAGACTCTTCAAAGGCTTTGTCTTTAAAATAGTTTGGGCAAGCCAACTGACAGAAACTAATGATGGTAGCTTCATGATAAAATAGATCACAGAACAGAAACTTTAGAAAATTACTTTCAGAGAACTTCCTTCAGAGAAAATTACTTTTTTCTGAGAAACTTTAGTCAACCAGTAACAAGACAGAACACTGACTTTCTAGCAACATACAACTCATTTGAGCTTTTATATCATCGTAATTCTTGCATGTACTTGACGAAACATGTTCAATTGCATGTACTTGCATGTACGTGCATGCAATGACGAAATTTAGAGAAGCAGTTTCCTGGATTTCAATCCAAGTTTTAATGACTGACAACTTTGGCTGGGGTTTTTTTAAGAAATCCGTTGAAATTCTGGGCTAGAACTTATGAGAACGGTAGCCTTTGGTGAATTATAAAGGCGAATCATAAAAGCTTTTTAAATTGGCCGCTTTTAGCGCCAAAATGTTTTTTATTCCTTGTATATAGTAAGGCTGTACAGCATTTCTATGCAATATGAGTCAGCGAATCTCTCAAGTATTTGCGTCATAGACTCATACCGTACCTAAATGTTCTACATATTCAGCAAATAGCTTTTCGTTCGGTATCATGTGTGGATAGGGGTTAGTTTTGTCACAGCATTCATCGATATCGAAGAAGACTGCTCCAGGGATGTGCTCGTCCAAAAAATCCTCCCTTGCCTGGACGGAACCATGATCTTTTAGGCGCCATGTGCCATCCAAAATTCGCAAGGATTTTGAGGGTTTTGTCTTTAAAATAGCTTCTGCTAACCATTTCACGCTCACTACTGACGGGATTTTCATGTTTTAACCGCTTTTGCTATTCGAAAGATCTTTTTAATGTAAAAACGTTTAAAATAAAACGTTTTACTTGACACGTTTCAAGAGCAAAGATATCTAAGTAACATGCAATATATTGAATCTAACACGACGTACTTCGTCATACCAGAAGTAATACGCGGTACGTCATGTTACACGCAATGAAGATTTGGAAGAAAAAACTAAAAAAAGATATATTTCCATCAATTTTAGATCCTCGAAAATATTTCCCTTGTTTGTGAAAATTCGAAAATCTCCTCCTTCAACTTTAACTGACTTGCTGACTCTCTGAGCCTATTCTAAATTTCAGCTAATTTAACCCAGCCTCTGACATGTCCAGAGCGAGGCATTGCCAACTCACTAATGCAGATTTGAAATTATAAACAATAATTTAGCATTTCCTTACTACATCAGTTTTTATGGCGTATAACATTTTAAAAATCATCCCGTTTTTAGACTTTGAAGTGGATACAAGTGGATACAAGTTGATAATGTTGTTATCACCCTTTGTACTCTACAATTCACAGTTCACCCCATTTTCAAGATGGCTGCATTGTTACGAAAATTTTCGGGTAAGAAATTTAAGATTTTTTCCTGAAATATTCTGAATACTTTTCCAAAATACCTTGAACACGCTGACCACACATTTAGCCCAATTTATTGTAAAACTTTCTTTGACCCATCAACTGTCACTTATCAAGTGTTCTTTCAATCAGAAAACATGAAATCAGAAATCGGTGTTTATACCGATCAGGGTGAATTTCAGGCACTTTAATATGCTTAATCTCCTGCCATTTGTGAATATTTTTAGGGCTTTCTGGCACCAGAAGCGGCATACAATGCTGCAGACTGGCTCCATCTCTGACCTCAGTCCGTTTTGTTTATAGTAAGTACGAGTAGGACTGTAGGAGTGTTAAATAAATGTCTCGACTAGAAATATTTGCCGTTTTGCAGAACTAAAGTATGAGATGTTGGAAGCTGAAATGATGTGGGAATAATAGTTGATACTAAGGCTGATACCAATGTTTTGACATTTAGAACAAGTAACTCGTGAAGCTGGTGATATTGACATGAGCAGTGATGCCATTTATGAGCGTAATGCCAGCACTCTGTTTTTCACAGAGCTATTCCGAGGTAGACGTTAATATTTTTAACATTTGACTACAAACCTTAATAAACCTTCAAGAAAGTTTTCGTACTGTCACTACTGTGTAAAGGCACTTCAACCTGGTCTGAGTTGGGAAAACTTGACTCACATGTTGCACTGGGCTCAAATTTCATGTATTGAATGTATCTGATTTTGCCATGACAGGTCTTGCAATGACATTCAGCATGATGTTAAGAGAACCAGCAACAATCAACTATCCATTTGAAAAGGGGCCACTCAGCCCCAGATTCAGAGGTGAACATGCGTTACGTCGATATCCCTCAGGGGAGGAAAGATGCATTGCGTGTAAACTCTGCGAAGCTGTCTGCCCCGCCCAGGTTTGATGTCTCTTATTATCTATTCAGTTTGTTTCAAAATACAGTAGAATTGTCTTTACATATGTGTCTATGATTTCAGGCCATAACGATCGAAGCAGAACCTCGAGCTGATGGCAGCCGAAGGACAACCAGATATGACATTGACATGACAAAATGTATTTATTGTGGATTTTGCCAGGAAGCTTGTCCTGTTGATGCCATTGTGGAGGCATGTATTCCACCAGATGTGAAAATAGCTTTTCATAAAAATTTCATGTTTATACAGGCAGCCAACAAATACATCATATTCTGCTTATATTTTAATAATTATTACTAAGGGGGAATGTATGAGTGTTTTTTTTAGACTTGGTGCAATATGGCGGTTTTTTATCCTATCAATGCAGCTTTCATTTGGCTATTTGTGCCCACAACAAAACTGTTCTGTAGTTTTTATTCTGAAATGCTTTGTTTAGCAAGCCAGGTGATCTGAGAGGGCAGGAAAGGACTCGGACTAGTAGTGAAATAAAAATTAATTTCTGCATTGAAAAAACACATCAAAAATACTTTATTTTCGTTTCAAATTTATGTCAGAACTTTACTTCTTATAACAAAAGATAATCACAAAATTTTGACTAGTTCCATAAAGAATAACAAAAGATATTATGGATTGAATACTGCAGAATGCATTTTTATTTCGACAAACTTCCTGAGTGCTGATTGACTAAAATATGAGAGCAAGATGACTTGAAGGATATTGATCGACTGCATTTGTTCATATGATTGGTTAAAAAAGCCCACTGACTCACACAATTAAAAATGACATGCCTGCCAACAAGATATTGACTGAATTTTTGGATTAGGTGGTCATGTGCTTACCTTGTTTTCTTCCTTGAATTTAGGGACCAAACTTTGAATTCTCTACAGAAACTCATGAAGAACTATTGTACAACAAGGAGAAATTATTGGACAACGGCGACAAGTGGGAGGCAGAAATAGCTGGCAATATTCAAGCTGATTATTTGTATAGATAAATACTGAACTGTGCATATTTACTTTGTTGGAAGATGTTGTAGATCGTGAGCTGTATTTTCAGCTAAATTACGCTTTGTATTATTAAAGTAAAATAAATTTTAAAATAATATTTCAGTTTACCTCTTTTGGCATATTACATCGAAGGATTTTCAAAAAATGTTCCTCAAAACAGGATTAGTGCGTTCACCTGCACAGAGTACTTATTTTGCTTCAGAGTTCAGAAAATTCTGAAGTTTGTGTACATTCTGGCTACAGATAGACCAATCAGATCATTAGAAAATGGCGCGAAAACGGCGGAAACTTCCTCAACAATGCCATTGGCGGGTTAGGATTTTCTATTTGATTTCAACACGAGCCAGAATATTAGGTTCATAATTACGTACCCCTGGAAGTTCCGTTTCATGCTTTTCTTCCCGAATTAGCTAGCCCGTACCATTCGAAAGGTCATGTCTGATTGGTTGTCCCTAAACAGCTAAATGATCAATTGACTGGTACTTTGTAATAAATGTGTAACAATGCGTGGTTACTGATTACCAGCGATCGATTACTATTTACTGATAGAAAGCGTGCTACGAGGATAGTACAGGATTACTCTGCTTCCCAAATTATTGCAGGTCCGATAATTTTTACATGAACGCATAAAATGCAAATTTTTGCGGTTAATGCGAGGGCATTCGAGGTTAACATGACAACATAAGTCAACACTGACTTTCATCTTAATCATTTCGAAGCAACTGATATATTAAAATTTTTTCAAGGGGGGGGGCGGTTAACGGATGCTACGTCCCCCTGGCTACGTCGCTGGTTGGAAGCATGTCTCCGGCACATATACAAACATTAAACAAATAACCATGCTTTGGTTATGATGTAAAATATTTTCAGATGGATAACTGTTTTAATGGTCAAATTCATGTCCTATGTAAAGTTGCAGCATGTCAGGTTCTGATATACAAATATTGAACAATATACCATGCTAAGATGCTTTGTGAGATATTTTGATATGGATAACCACGCAGGAAGTCGCAAGCATGTTTCGTGCTCATATACAAACATTAAACAATATCACCACGGCTTTGGTTATGATGTCAAATATTTTAATGAGGTTATTCAATAACCAAAGTTAATAGCGAGGAAACCACGCGTGATCCGGAAGTTAGGTGTTCCTGTCGAGGTGCGCTGCGTCAGCCCACGTGTTATATTGCGTGCTCGCTCGCGTTGCGGTCATTAGTTGCTCGGCACGCAAAGTGTAACAAGCTTACGTTTAATCGTCAAACGTTAAACGTTTAATCGTTAAACGTTTAATCGTTTACAAGCAATACGTTTAATCGTCAAAGCCGGAAAAGGCGCGTTGATGGCAAAAGTTGACATTCAAAGCGCATACCGCATTGTTCCGATCCACCCTGACGACTATTACCTTTGCGGAATGAAATGGCGCGACCATTACTTATGATCTCGCGTTGCCGTTCGGCTTCGCTCTGCCCTTACATTTTTAACAGTTTGGCGGACTTGTTTGAGTGGATTCTTTTACTAATTACCTAGTTCGGGATCTCTTGCACTACCTGGACGATTATTTACGTTAGCCCCTCGGCGTCACCCATCTGTGCAACTCGTTACAAGCTATCAACGGCAGCGAATGCCACGGCATCCCCCTGGCCCCGGACAAGATCGAGGGTCCTACGACGTGTTTGGTCTTCCTAGGAATCGAACTCGATTCCCTGCAAATGACAGCGCGCTTGCCTCCGGACAAGCTGTCTGATCTGCTCACGCTATTCGGCGGTGGGCAGGAAAACGTATTGCAAGCGCAAAGAGCTAGAATCTCTGATCGGCAAACTCAATCATGCCTGCTACGTTGTCCGGCGGCCGAACATTTTGCGCCGCCTCATCAACCTACTTCGAGACTCAAACGTTATTGGAAGTCTATTCGCATACCCCGAGATTGCCAACTAGACCTACAATGGTGGTCGGAATTTCTACCATCCTGGAATGGCCTTTACTTTTTGACCTCCCTGATTGGGCTGCCCGATTTGAACTGTCCAGCGACGCGTCGGGAAAACAGGGTTTTGGGTATTCAATAATGGCGCGTGGTTTTGCCAACATTGGCTACCCGCTCAACAACCGTTGGGCATGGCGTACAAAGAGCTCTACCCCATTGTAGTTGCGTGTCACTTATGGGCCAGCATGGGCCAATAAGCGCAAAATTCTGGGTGATAACCAGAGCGTGGTGCACATACTACAGTCAGGCACGTCTAAAGATAACAACATCATGCACTTGGTTCGTGCCCTTTTTCTGGTCTCCGCAAATTTAACTTTCGAGTTTGTGCAGCGCATGTCCCGGGCAAGACCAATGCGATTGCTGATTCTCTCTCCCGTTTTAACTTGCAGGAGTTCTTTCGCCTCGCGCCCGACGCTCATCCCACCCCAGTGGAGTACCAGCGAGTTTGCGAGCACAGCTGACCTGCTATCTTTAACGGATTACACCAACTCCTTGCTATTTCACGGCCTCGCCAAATCTACTCGACGGACATATTCAGCTTCGCAACGCAGATTTTTGGAGTTTTGCTATTGGTCGCGCCTTATTCACGACAGCGGTTCACCTCTCCCAGCCAGTGAGCACACGCTGTTGTTCGCCGCGCACTTATCTCGTTCTCTTAAAGCCAGTTCAATTAAAGTATCTCTCTGGAGTTCGGTCTTTGCACATTGAACACGGTTTCAAAAACCCCCTAGAGAACTGCTTTCGTCTGGAACGAGTGCTGCGGGGCATAAAGAGATTACAAGGGACTGGGACTCAAACGTTTACCTATTACGATTTCGGTTTACGAAAACTTCACCAGCTAATCGACCAGACAAAGTATATGGACGCGTTATTTTGGCCGCTTGTTTGACAGGCTTTTTGGCTTTCTGCGGTGCGGCGAATTCACAACACGCTCATCGCGCTTTGATCCTAATCTCAATTTGTCCTTGAACGACATCCAAGTTGATAAGCGCATTAACCCTACAGTGGTATTAATCAATATTAAAGTGTCCAAAACGGATCAGTTTCGTAAGGGTCACGCTGTGCGTATTGGTGCGTCCCGAGCAAAAATCTGCGCCGTGCAAGCCCTGAGTTATCTTCATCTTCGGGCAATAGTCCAGGACCTTTATTCGCCCTTCCAAACGGACACCTTTATCGCGTGACAGTTTTGTACTTGGCTCAAAGATGCGATGTTACGTGTCGGCGAAACCGGACATTATTCCGGACATAGTTTTCGAATTGGCGCCGCAACCACAGCCGCGCAGTTGGCATTCCCGACCATTTGATCAAAACACTTGGCCGCTGGATTAGTGACGCGTATCAATTGTATATAAGAACACCTGCGGCAACCTAGAGGGGTAGCTTCCCGTTGGCAGTTTAACACGCACCTTGTCAACACCTTTTGACAAAACGGGAGTTTATATATGCACTGCACTAGTTGTGTTCATGTATTCTTTGGGTTATAAATAGTAATAATTGTGTATTAATGGAAAAAAAAAAAAAAAAAAAAAAAAAAAAAATCAAAACACAAACGAATCCTGTCTAATCGATCGTCTTTTCCGTTAGTATGCGTCGGTAGTTGTCGTGCCCGACGTTGTCTTTGGCCGCCAGCGCCTCACACCATATAAATTCGGCTAGTAATTTTCTCGGTCGTATCGCCAGCCAACACCATCATTTTGAGCCTATATCGAGTGCGTCTGCGTTTGTCCTGCGGTGAGTCGTTTCCAACGATAGCGCATTGTTAGCAAATCTATCTTGCGTTTCCGCAGATAGCACAGTTTGTCGTTTGTATCTCACGACAGCGCATTATTTGAGCAAACCTATCTTGCGTTTCCGCAGATAGCACAGTTTGTCGTTTGTATCCAACGACAGCGCATTATTTTCGCAAACCATCTTGCGTTTCGCAGATAGTACGTGTGTGTTTGTACCAACGACAGCGCATCATTTTCGCAAACCTATCTTGCGTTTCGCAGATAGCAGTTGTGTCGTGTATCCAACGACAGCGCATCATTTTCGCAAACCTATCTTGCGTTTTCGCAGATAGCAGTTTGTCGTTTGTACCACGACAGCGCATCATTTTCGCAAACCTATCTTGCGTTTCGCAGATAGCACAGTTTGTCGTTTGTATCCAACGACAGCGCATCATTTTCGCAACCTATCTTGCGTTTCCGCAGATAGCACAGTGTCGTGTATCCAACGACAGCGCATTATTTTGGCAATCTATCTTGCGTTCCCGCAGATAGTCCTGTGTGTCGTTTGTATCCACCGACAGCGCATTATTTTAGATAATCTATCTTGCGTTTCCGCAGATAGTACGGTTTGTCGTTTGTATCCAACAACAGCGCGTTATTTTGGTCAATCTATTTGGGCCTTCCTCTGGCCGGCGTCCATAGCTCGCGCTTCGCTTGCGAGGTACTTGGATGGGTGATGCTTGCAGCATCTCTTGGTTGGCAGTTCAAGATACCATTGGCATGGATCTTTCCCTAATCCAAGTACCAGTGCTAGTTCCCAGGCCACCTGCGACCTTGCTTCGTTCCCGGGCCACCTCGGACTACAGCTTGCACCTAACCTTCCAAATTGGTAAGTAAGCAGTGGGGACTAGGGTTAACCTAGATATTAAATGAGGTTATTCAATAACCAAAGTTAATAGCGAGGAAACCACGCGTGATCCGGAAGTTAGGTGTTCCTGTCGAGGTGCGCTGCGTCAGCCCACGTGTTATATTGCGTGCTCGCTCGCGTTGCGGTCATTAGTTGCTCGGCACGCAAAGTGTAACAAGCTTAACAAAAAGTTTAAAAACCCGCCGTCCCACCCTGTTCAAGAAAGGTAAGCAGCATTAGTTACCACCAATTACATTGGTGTGATGGGTGCAAGCTATCCGAGTGTGGTTGGCAGTTCAAGATACCATTGGCATGGATCTTTCCCTAATCCAAGTACCAGTGCTAGTTCCCAGGCCACCTGCGACCTTGCTTCGTTCCCGGGCCACCTCGGACTACAGCTTGCACCTAACCTTCCAAATTGGTAAGTAAGCAGTGGGGACTAGGGTTAACCTAGATATTAAACATAGACAACCACGCTGGTTAAATGGTCAAATGCCCAGTTCCCCAAATGAAAAAACAAAGGCCTGCTTATAACAATGCTGGGCTTATTTATTAGTTATTTACCATGCAACCAGTTTGAGACTTCATTTGGGCGCTTGTCGTCAAAGCATAAAGACAAGTCACTTCTAATGCTCAAAATTTCATCTGAAATCGTTATTAATGATAACGCCTTTCTGCAAAAAAGAAGTTTGAGTACCTCTGTCGCGCTGTCGTTGGTGTAAAAACATGTAATATGCCTTTTTCTTTACGAATATTTGTTTGCTTTTGTGCGAGATTTGGGCAAATATTTCTGCCAACTTCACCACGTGTAATGCCCAAAAATCCAGGTTTAAAATCCAAAGTTTTCTTATAGCACTAACGTTGCTTTTTATTCAATTCAGACAAGATTCTGACGACTTAAAGCCAAGCTTGACGATGAAATTCGTGAACAAGCTAAGGCTGAAATGGTTGAAATCAATGAAATGGCTCAAGATAACTCGCCTTTCAAGAGAGGGCACGACTAGCTTTTTCTCGGAGCTTATTGGCGAAATGAAAAAGGTAATATATACGCGCTAAAATCTGTGTGAATTTGCGGATGTTTTGATGTCGTGCGGTCCAGCTGCATCCTATAACCACCAACTTTCGTTTCAACTAGAGTAAATTATATCTTTCAATTAAGTTCTAAAGGCTTTGCAGAAAACTAACACTGCCTTCTACTGTTTTCAGGCAGAGTTATAAGAGCTAAAGTCAAACTAAAAGAATTACCGTGGGAAAGAAATTCGCCATCGATAAGACGATAACGGCTGAAATTGTACGAGATGACTCGCGTTTAATGAGACAGCTGTAACGGATATCACAAAATAGATTAACATTAAAAATAGTATACAGACAAACACTAATGGAATAAGGAAAGGTAGCTTGCCGCGGACGTACCATTGCAAGTGCTTCCGAGATTAATATAAAAATTACCGTCAATATATAAATATAGCTTTTAGATAAGTAAAGGAAGCGTACACGCCCTATAGAACGAGAGTATAAATAACAAATGTAAACTATTGAATAACAGAGTTGGATTTAGACCTGTTGTGTGTTTGTGTGTGCAAAGTATAAGCTCGGCTCGTTACACAGCAAGTCCGAAGCTGCTCGTCTGGTAGTTGCTAAAATGAACAGGTAAATATCTATTCGTTTCTATTTAATTCACATACACGAGGATGGGAGAAGTGGGCAAGTAGCTCCCAAAAATATCATCCAAAGTCCAAACCCACCTTCCCAGTTCCCTGGCCATCCCCACACCATCTTGAAGAGGGATTACAGCATCACAGTGACTTCAACGCATCTGTTCTCCCCATAACAATGGGCATGACACTTGATTGAAAATTGATTAGTGGCAGGATTGGCCAATTAGAATCTTGTATATTCGAGTTAACTATCATATAACTACCCAAAATCTATAGTAATTAAGCTTGTAGGTACATGCACCACGTAAGTATGTATAATACTGCAAAACTTTCGGTCCGTTAACCCGAGCCTGAATCAGTGGAATTATCTGAATACACATTCACACGTCACTTAATTATCACGTTAGTCGTGATTTGTTTGCTCGCGCCATTAATTAAACGGTTTCACTTACCAAAGATGCAAGCATTTTAGCGAATGATAAGTATACCGTCTCTCGTAAAATGAGAGAATCTATTGAAATTTATAAACATCAAACTATTGCCCAAGAGGGTAAAACTATTGCCCAAGAGGGTAAGCCTCTCAATAGCACGTGCTCTTTTCAATGTCTGCTAGCTAAATACTTGTCTAAGACACGCGCATTAATTATAGAACTGTATCTTTTTCATAATTATTTCCATTTAATGCGATGATCATAAGTCCACATATGGTGAGCTACAGCAGACTTATCTAGTTTACCTTTCTCCCAGTTCGTCTTAGGTTCTTTTAGATGTATTGAGAGATTTCTACCGGTCTCTCCAATGTAAACCAAACCACATTCACATGGAATGCGGTACACACCAGGTTTCGGAAGTTCATCAACGCCATCCTTGTGCGTGTAAAGAGTGCGAAACAATTTGTTATTGCTTGAATGGTATACTTTCATTCGAACTTCTCTTAAAATCCTTACGATTTTATACAAGAATAAAAATATTACCCAAATAATATTACCCAAAATATTATTAATATTATTATTACATACAAGAATATTACCCAAAATCTAGTTAAGCATTTTATACAAACGGAGCCAGGACTGAAACTAGGGCGCATATTATATATTCAGCTCTGCGCAACAGATTTCTTTTGAAAACAAATATGCGTACAAAAAGTTCGTCGGCAAGAACTGAATATATGAATATGCAACAACAGGTTGTTTTGATTCAAATACAAGGAACACGCGACTGCACACGAGATGTGAACAAATTCTGCACAAACGCACAAAAATATGGTTAATGAATTATATTGTCTCAGTCGTTTAGTCTTCAAACCGTGTTTTACCGGTGACCTGGTACCTGAACAACATGATATGTGAAATGCTTCACCTTCCTTACTGATAATCAATACTTGTTTATAAATACGTGTCGCGTATTTCAAGGTTTCTGTTCACCAATGGCAGCGAAATAATTAGTTTGATCAACCACAAAACATCATTCTCATGACTACTTGCATGCAGGCGATTTGTTTTCGCCCAACATTGCCGCTCCCGACGCTCGTGTGACTCGCTTCAGGCGACATGTTCCTGCGACTTGTCGCTCGGTGTGACCGAACCTTTTAAAGAAGAGTAAATCGCTTTCTGCCAAACATCAAATACAGCTTTCGAATCGTGGTCCTGAGGCATCTTTAAGCAATCTCAAACCTTCATCAGTAATGCGATTTGCCTGAATATCCAAATGAACATCTCCGACATAACATCTCCGACGTTTAAGTGCGTCTGCGAGTAATGGTAAATGTTTATCTGTGAATCCATTTTCACTTATATTCAAATGAGTGAGCTTACATCGTTCATCTCCGAGAGCCTGGCACAAGCTCGGCATGCATTTGTCTGTTAACGAACAATATGAAATCGTCAACTGGGTAAGATGACATGTTCCTTTCTGAAGAACAACGCACAATACACGTACACTTTCATCACCTAAATCATTATTTCCAAGGTGCAATGTTGTTAGTCCACAATGTTCTTCATAAAGAGCGGCGCACAACGTGGACATACATTTCTTTGTTAAAGAACAGCCAGAAAGATTCAAGTCAGTAAGGAGTCCAAGAACACTGCACAAGGCACATAAGCCTTTATCCCCTATAGCATTGTCAGCAAGGTCCAAGGATCTTAATCCACAATGTTCTTCATCAAGAGCACCGTACAACGTTGACATGCATTTTTTCGTTAAAGAACATTCGCGAACACTCAACTCAGTAAGGTCACATGTTTCCTTTCGAAGAAAACTGCACAAGTCACGAAAACCTTCATCTCTTATAGCATTCCTACCAAGTGTCAAGGATCTTAGTCTGCAATGTTCATTACCGAGAAATTTCACAAGCCAAGGCATGCTCCTAGCGGTCAAACCACAGCAGGTAAAATTCAGAGTATCAAGTTTTAACTGCCTTTCTTGCATTGCGATAGATAGAAAATGAACACCTTCATCACGAATAGGATTGTAGCTAAGGTCAAGATCTGTCAACTGATTATAAACCTGATTATCTAAAACACGAACCATACCAGCAGCAGTAATATCGTTACCTCCAAGAATCAACTCAGTCAGCTTAGAACACTCGTGATTCACCTGGCATTCAGATTTCAATAATGCACCAAGACGCTCCAGACACCAGTCACCAAAATGACAACTATCGATGGTCAGTGATTTCATGCATCTTCCTTGGAGTAATTTAACTAATTCTAGCAAACAATCCGAACTAGATAAACTGTGCACATTTAAAGTATTTAAATACTTCATATGCTTGCAAAGAAACACAACTGCTGCTGCATCGCTTGGAGAAAGCAATTGTGCGTAAGACTGTGAACATGTTATCCTAGTCCTATGTTTTAAACTCGATTTTGCAACAATTTCCTTGGCAATATTTTCATTCTGTGTTTCTCTTAAACATTTCATCACTAATATTTGATCAAGATCTGGGCAACACACATCAGTTCTTTCATTTTCACTGAGATATTTTTCAAACATCAATACGCAGCTTTTGTATTCACGAGATGTCCTCATTTTCACTCCCAATAATCCAGCAAGAAACTGAAGCACAAGATGCCATCTGCCATGTTTGATATGAGAAGATATAAATTCGTTTACTTGTTCGGGTGTTTTTTTTTCCACAATATATTTTGCTGCGAGAAATTCTTGTATGGTTAAATGAATAAAGCAAACCTGCATTTGAATTTGAAAACTTGGTTTGGGTAAAGAATTTATCAATCCTGATTGTTTCATTTCCTCGTTAACAAGCTTGCCACTGAAAATCAGCACGTTGTTATTCATACCATTAAAAGCCAACTCTTGAAATTTACTCAAAACTTCTTCTTTGTTTTTGTTTCGGTCAAGATATGTGTTGAAGTAGACTAAAGCTGACTCGTACAGTTCAGTCAAAGTAGTGGGTAGAGCACCAATTTCACTCTCTGAGTCAATGAGACATTCGAACAGAGAAACACAAACAATAAAACAATTCACTGGAATGTAGCATAAATTCATCAGTTCAGATGATGATTTGATATGACTCAATATCGTTGCTTCTAGATCACACCTCTTATGATTAGCACAAAATTGTTTAACATACTGTTCAATTTTATCTGAAGTGAACCCAATAATCTCAACAGTTCTGTCAAATTTCATTTTGCACAAAACATCATTCACAGTTGGCCTGCTGGTAACCAAGACTGTTGCTGCTGGTAACATCTCACCAGACAAGATTTTGACAAAAAAAGCCATGGCTGGCATTTGGCAAGAAACCTCATCATTCGAATATTTTTTTGACTGGGCTAGGACACGCTGATAATTTTCACCAAGATTGACACTAAATTCATCCAAACCATCAAAAATGAAAATAGCATTTTGTGGTTTTCTCCAAATTTCTTCAAAAACACTTTCAAAGTCATCTTCACTCAGTTCAGTTCCAAACTGTAGAAATTTTTTAATTGTTATGTCTTGCATCTCATTGAAATTGAATTCTCGAAATTTAAAATAGAAAGCAACCTTTTTGTGATAAATTTTATCATTATGTTCTTTTGCCCAATTGTACATAATTTTCCTGGTCAAAACAGTTTTTCCAATCCCTGGACGCCCAATTATCAAGATGGTGTAAGGGACATAATTGCCAGTGTCTTTGTTTGCATAAAATAGATCTTTAATCTCCTTCAGATGGATTGCATTTTTAGGAATTTTTGTATAAACATCATAGATCTCATGCCTAGACATTCCTGTTAAAAACTTTTGTGGTGCTCGCTCAGTATGGATAACAACATCAATAAACATATCATCCAAGCTTATATCATTCAAACCGTAATTTATATCAGGTGTCAGACGAGGCTTTAAAACCTTTTGCTTGTAAATGTCACAACTGTTAGCTACATATTGCTTTCGAAGAAAGTGTTTATTAATAAATTGCCAATCACATGACCAAGTAACAGAAGATTGAGGGGTGACACTGGGAAATCGCATCAATAGTAGATAAACAACTTCTGCTAATGCAATTACAGCAAAAATGAGATTACAAACAGACACAATTGTCAACCAAAACTGTTTATCTTTGGCAGCCGAGTTCGTACATTTTACACTGGATAAGATAGCACTTCCATTATTTGCTGGTGTCATGTTAGGATTAACTGATCTCAATTCGGGATAAAAACAAGTGAATTGTGAATTAAAACCACTCGGATACAATACGGTATGTTGTAGAATTGTGAATAATATACAGAGCATTGAACGAGCCACAAGGTGGAACAAATAGAAATTGAAAACATAAAAGGTTTTTCTACCTTGTTTAATGTTTCTTCTCGCGACTGTTTGTGATTTATCACTTCGGCTTGAGAGTCTTAATTCTGCATCTTCGATACGATTGCCAACAGCAAGCGAATAAATGACACTCACAACAACAACAGAACCAAAATTGAACAGAACGAAGGCAGAGAATTTCACGGGAGAGTTGTACTCGTCGTCGTAGATTGAAAAACACGTTTTTTCGACATAACTTTTGTGCGTTGCATGTTTTGTATCAACAGCACAACTGAACTTTTCCATCTCGCTGAGTCTCAGAGCCGTGGTAATTGTTGTAAATATCACTCCACACTGAAAATGGATGATCACACATATGTAGGATAAAATGCTAAATCTCTTGGGTATTAAGTAATCCATCATCTTGAAAGAGATAAGAATATTTACTTCACGATATATATCTTAGCCGAGTCTGTTTACTGTCGCGTCTCTCTCGAATCGCTCGAATTTCGAATAATCTATGGGGCGCCAAATGTAAAAAAATTATATGCATATTTTTCGTAGTGAATTTTTCATTATTTATGAAAAAAATCATGATATACCTAATTGTTTGCAAATAAGCATATAATACATTTAGATTGTTTATAAACAATCACTTTCGCATAAAACGTTTATTTGTAATAATCATTTCCACAAAACTGCTTATTTATAAACAATCATTTCTATAAAATTGCTTATTTATAAATAATCATTTCTATAAAATTGCTTATTTATAAATAATCACTTCTACAAAATTGATTATTTATAAATAATCATTTCTAAAAAAATGCTTATTTATAAATAATCATTCGTTATTTCAGAAGCGGTTTAGCTTTTATGCGCAATTTCAATGCGCAATGACAATCCCAACTCCCAAGTCCTAACTTCCGGGGGGGGGGTGTTTCCCGCCCTTTTATCTCAATTATCTGGATTCTGGATGTGTTTGCATTGAATTAAACGAGTAACCTTTCGTCTTTGGAGGAGAATCATTTGAATAATGAATAATGTAAATCCGGAGGAGTTGGGAAGAATCGTTGCCAATGCCGTTGCAAGCTATTTGCAGCCTAATGTCGTTAACAGCGAAAGACCACAACGAAACGAAGGCAATTCTACGGTTGACTCCGCGAGACAATCTACCTCGAGTGCTACGGGTCAGGTGAGAATAATTGCACGACGCTATATTCGTAAAAACTAAAATCAAAATCACAATGCACAAACAACCATTTGTTTTAAAATAAAGTGCGTATGGGCGTTAGGGTTTGCTACATCAGCAGCGTTGGTTGTGATTAAAGGCCCTTGTTACTCGGTGCAATTCTTCTTGCAATTTGCATTGCGATTCCACTCTTGAGGGATGTTAATTAGTGAAAAACATTAGTTTTGTTAATTAAGAGAATATAACATTAGTTTTGTTAATTAAGAGAATATCAGACTAACAAAGGCTTTCAGAGTAAAATGAAGTTGCAAGTTGGAAGAAAAGTTGCACCGTGTAACCACTGAGCTCAGTGTGTGTAACACCTTAAAAGCTTAACCTTAATATTAAATGGTATTTAACAGCTTAGGAATATCTCCAGTGGGTCTTCCAATGTGGCAAATGTTAAAAGACCAACTCAAATCAGATTGCCTACCAGATATCAGACAACCTCATTAACCCCTACATCAAATGCCCCCACAAAAAGACGGACTACCGGTGGTGTTGGGAAAATAAAAACCTGGAGCAAAGATGTCATCTGCTTGCCTGGCTATGGCAATAAGGAATTGACTGGTGCTGCACCAGTTTTTTTTTCAATCCCCAGAGGGCCAGCTCGAGCTAAGCTCACTGAGGATGGGCTTGTAGGAAAGATCAGAATTGTGTCTACTTGGACCCCAAGACAGGTTGGACTGTTAGAAATAAAGAACTATACAGCATGAAAAGTTGAATATCCACAGATTTAATTGAAATCATTATATATGTTTTATAACTGAGAAGTGTGCTTATTAAAATTTTGCCAAAATATTTAATTTATTTAATTTTAACTTACTAAAATTATTTATGGTAGCTACTAAAATTTTTTTCTGATGTAAAAAAATTTCAATATTTTTAAAACACATTTTTTTTTTCAATTTTGAATTGCTTAAATGTCAATTTTTATAATAAAATTTTATGAAAATCAATGGGAAACAAAATTTAATCCAATAATTAACAATTGCATTTGATTTGTATTGTAAATTATTTTGCAAATTTTTCTTACATTTATTTACATTGCAAAGTTTAGTATTTCTAAATGTTTATTTTATGCAATTGTAGGTTGCAATAGAGCTAACATCAATCTTTGGAAAGCGTTTTGTTATTGGAGAAAATGGCCTATTAGAGTATAATTATTTGTCAATGGTTCCAGGAACCAAGCGACTAAAAATACCTAATGTGTCCACAAGCTTTACCTGGAATGGCCAGGAAGTAGCATCACTTGCTGGACAAGGATGTTTGTACATTGTTGCAAAGTCAGAATTAATTAAAAATGATGAAGATACAGAATTGCAGGTCAGTCACAAGTAGACATTATTGCATCATGTAGTAGTTGAATAATTTAGTTAAAGAAATAAAGGAAGGGTATTAATATGATGACATAAATTCTTTGATAAAAATTTATATAATAAAATTTGTATAAATTTATATAATAATTAATTACATAGGTTGATTTAAGTGATGATGAACCTTCACATGTACAGCCACAGATACCAAATTCTGAGAGGGAAACAATTACCTCTGATAGTAAACCATCATCTTCCTCAAGTAATGAAATTCTACAAAGATTGGAAATTGATTTATGGGGGTCTGCCTTATCTCACAGGTTAATTAGCAGCTTATCTTAATTGTGCATAATTTGTTTAATAATTTATAATAATTATATTGAATTTATGATTATTTATATTAACATTTGTTCGCAGATCATATGTATCCCTGCTTGATGATGATTGTCTCAGCGATGATTCTGATGATATTCTTTTGCATGCAGCCTTGGAGGAAAGTCGAAGGTGTATATATCAGCTAGACTTTTTGTTGAAATTTACCCTGAACATTACTTGTCTCGATCAACATGCTTTTGAAAAAATTTACGTCAGTTACATGGGAAAAACATGTATATGGTATCAAATTTGTGGCATGTACTGTACGTAATAAATATTTTGCACAACTACCCTTGTTTTACACAGTATATCGCCAAATTTTATTGAAAACTGACTTATTTATTTTAGAGAAGTTGTTGTTCCATGTCAGTCAATTAAGGACATTCTCAAAGCTCATATCAATGATGTAATGTCCAAACAAGAAGGGAAGAATTATATAAATGTTCGACGAGCACATGTCCTTGAAGATAGTATAGCCAAGATTCGAAAGACGAAATTTAACCCAAAACTTCCAATCTCTGTGAAGTTCGCTGATGACGAGGGAAACAGTGAGGGGGCAGTTGATACAGGTGGCCCGACCAGAGAGTTTTTTCGCCTGTTAACAAAGGAAATGTTCAGTAAAAGCAGCATGTTTGGGGGAGCAGATGGAAATAAGGTGTTAATTCACAATATCCAAGGTATCTACATTTTTTAATTTGTGGGCCATTCTGTAGTCCCGTTTACCCTACACTTGACTTGAATATTCGTACCCAATTTTCTCCTTGCTTGGCCTTTGTTTTGGCAGCCTGAGTACGGGAAAAATTGAGTTAGGGTGCCAGTTTCAGTAGAAACAGGCTTATGTATACAGTAAATTCTATGCACCGTCAGGTCCATGGCCATTGGCGTACGTTAGGTACAAGATGTACAATAAGAGATGTACAATATTGTCAATTTTTAATATTTTCCACTTATTTTACATCCCCATCTAAATATTCTGTAATAAGTGTCTTGGTCATCTCTTATGAAATTTTAACATTTAGCCCGAGCTCAGGGATTGTACAAGAGTTATGGAATGTTACTGTCGTTATCGCTTTGTAATGGTGGTAATGCGTGTCATTGCCTTAATGAGAGTGTATACGACTTTTTGGTATATGGTGAAGATGGCAAAATTCTACCAACTATCGATGACATTCATTATCACGAATCTAAGTCCATCTTGTTAAAGGTAAATGTAGGACGAGATAAAATTCTATGTTTAGCTTGCATCAAATGAGATAGAGATCAGTGACATTGTAAGTTTTTTTCGAGAAAGCATTATTTATGGAAATGTAAAATGAATTATCGTCGTGTTATTGTACTGGGGCAGGTTGAACCAAGCCCGTATACCTTAAACGGCTGTAAATGAACCAAAAATAAATAACACTCTGAAACATGATGTGATTCATGTGAACAATTTAAGCTTAATTTATTGAAATGTTCGTGTTTTTTAGGTTCTAGGAACAAAGACGGAAGAAGAGTTCCTCGAATTAACCCAACAAGATGATTTCCTAGATATGTTGAGTGCTTGTGGTTATTCCGCACGACCGTCCTTTGGTGATAAAGATAAGCTTCTGAGTATGGTTGCTCGATATTTTGTATTAGACAAACCCCGAAGTGCATTAGAACAATTTAAAGAAGGTCTGGAGACGCTTGCTATCCTTGATGCAATGAAGAGATATCCAGAGGAGTTCAAAGGACTATTTTGTTTCCAGGCAACTAAATTGACTGCGCCTTTCATGCAAACACTGTTTTCCATAGCTTACAGTCCAAATGGAAGTAATTCTCGCGCAAAAGAGGAACTCATTGTTATGCACTGGAGAGACTTTCTCCAAGATTGCGAAGGTCAGTAGTCTCTGATTAATATAAGCAACTAGTTTCAGCTAAGACTACAGTTATTTTTTTATTTTGTAGCTGGGGAAGCAAGAGTCTCTTTAGAAGACGTGCTTATTTTCGCAACGGGAGCAGGTGTGATCCCTCCTTGTGGTTTTGAGCCACAAACGAGTGCAACATTCTGGGATGATGTGCGACCACGTGGTAACACATGTGCGAATACAATATGTTTACCAACTTGGCCTACCAAAGAAAGTGTTTCCTTTGAAGAATTCAAGGATCTCTTTGAAGATGGCATATTAAACTCCCCAGGTTTTCAACGAGCATAATACAAACAGTAAAAGCTTTACCACTTACTGTCTTACTACAGGGTGTCCCAAAAAAGCGGACGCTATTGAATAAGATGAACTAAGATGAACGCAGAGATGCGTAAAACGACGTAATTTTCCTGGCTGAAACAATCGGTTTATTCGGTTCAGCTTAGTGTTGGGCCACTCAAAGTTCAAATTTTAACATGAATAGGTGAATTCAATAGCGTCCGCTTTTATTACGACACCCTGTATAACTCGGTAATTACCATTCTTTTTCAACAATGAAAAACTTATTAGTGGATAATGATGCAAATTTAAATTTTAGATTGCTCTTTCTTAAGGAATACTGAACTGTACATATATTTCTTGTTGGAAAGCTCAGAGCATTTTTTCAGTACAACATTTCTCAGGTTGATATTTTCCACATTGCCCTCACTCTCAGTAAGAAAGAAAGTTGTTATTATTCTAATAAACAAGATGCAACAAATTCAACTGTTTGGTTGTACAAGTCCTTTCCTTTGACTAAGGACACTGCAAGTGGGTCAATTCTTTCTTGTAACTCACAAAGGTTTTCTGCTGATAATGGACAGCTTCGTGTTCTGACTTCTACATGTGGCAGAGAACAACTATTTAAAAGATCTTGAACATTAAGTGCTGGATAGGGATCTATATGAACTAATGAGCTATGTAGCTCTGTGAGGTGCCTGTAAGCATGGAAAAGTTGAAGTGGTGTGGATGAACCTTCGGTTGATATAACATGATGATTATGTGCAGAAATAAACTCATGTAGCACTTTGTTGATCCGTGGAGTATAGACATATTGTAGGCAAAACAAGTCGGTATCGTTTGTAGTACTCAAACTCTCCTCAAATTCCAATTCACGGAAAATGGCAGCAAATTGTCTGGTGACATTTGCATTAATGTCAAAATTGAACCTTTCAACACGTTGGTTCCGAACTGAGCTCCCCACGATCACACTATTCTCTCCGTTTGCAACAACCATGTTTCTCCACACATCTGTATTTTCACCTCCATGATCTGTCCGCACTCGTAAAGGCCGTCCAAATGTTTCAACAGCTGATAGAAAGTGATTCAATACAGTTCTTGCTTCATTATTGGTTGATGTTTCTGCAAATGTCACTAGTCGGCTAAACCCATCTATTGCGACATGTATGACAAACCCCCACTTCACAAGTTTGTGGTTCCCATCCATGTGCCATACATAGTTAGGACAGGGACAGTCATATACTCGATGTCTTAGACGTAAACGACGTCTTTCTACAATGCCATCAGGATCAACTCTGTGTAATGCAGCTCTTAAGTCAACTCGTCTCACATGGATGCCTTGCGCTCGTAGATGTCCCGCAGTCATCACTTCTCCCACATTTGGGTGACCAACTTTTACTCGAGCTATTTGGCCATCAAGCTCACTAGCTGATATATTGGAATAACGACCTTTATAGTTGATACCTTGCTCTTCCAATAATTTGTAAACAGTTGGCCGAGAAACCCCTAGAAGAGTAGCTATTTGGGTAATTTTGTAACCTAATGCAACCATTTCCTTAAGTCTGTCAGGATCAACATTCTTTTTAGGTCTGCCAATTGCCAATCTGTGAATTCAAAAACCAGTTGTTTAGGTATATAAATATCATAACTACTCTCATTGTTAGAGGGAATTGTCATTACCATGCAGGTACAATTTTTCTATAACATTGTTATTTCAAACACTTATTTTGAATACATTCTTATTTCAAGCACTGGAGACAACCCTTGATTAGTCTGCACATATGTTCATGATATAAGGTGTCAAAGAAGTCCTAGTACGATGTTGCAAAACTATAGAATGGTTCCAACAATATTCAATATAATTTATTGAGTGATCAACATTATTGGCTATTCCACAATTGCAGTAGATGACTAGGAATAGTCAGATAGAAAGCTGTGCAACACAGCTAGGGCTGCATCTGCAACAAAATGTTTGTTTATATATCCCCAAAAAAGTCATGTGATCCATATTCAATTTTAAAGGTAACTTTTAAAAAAGATAATTATTTTTACTTGGTAAAAATATATTGTCAGTTTATGTTATAGATAACAATTTAAATTTAATGATCTGAAGTGCTGTTTACAAGGTATCCTAAGCAATACAAGTAAATATGTATCTGCACCTGGATTCAGGATTAGAATCTAAATCCAGTTCACAAGGCCATCCACCAGGGTCCTCAGCCTGTTAAATATAGATTACATATGCATAGGGTAGATTGTCTTATTTTGATAAGGAGAATGAATGTAATTTTAACAGTTGCGCAATGATGTTTCTAGGGCGTGGCTTCAACGTTCTGTTACAAAATAATACATTGATACAATGACATTATAACCCAACATTGTTTGCTGGGCTGCTATGGCAAGACATGTGACTTCTGATGAAAGGCTAGACATGTTTGAAGTCATGAATGTCAAAAGACTTAAGCCCAACGCCCATACGCATTTTATTTTAAAACAAATGGTTGTTTGTGCATTCTCACCTGACCCGTAGCACTCGAGGTAGATTGTCTCGCGGAGTCAACCGTAGAATTGCTTTCGTTTCGTTGTGGTCTTTCGCTGTTAACGACATTAGGCTGCAAATAGCTTGCAACGGCATTGGCAACGATTCTTCCCAACTCCTCCGGATTTACATTATTCATTATTCAAATGATTCTCCTCCAAAGACGAAAGGTTACTCGTTTAATTCAATGCAAACACATCCAGAATCCAGATAATTGAGATAAAAGGGCGGGAAACACCCCCCCCCCGGAAGTTAGGACTTGGGAGTTGGGATTGTCATTGCGCATTGAAATTGCGCATAAAAGCTAAACCGCTTCTGAAATAACGAATGATTATTTATAAATAAGCATTTTTTTAGAAATGATTATTTATAAATAATCAATTTTGTAGAAGTGATTATTTATAAATAAGCAATTTTATAGAAATGATTATTTATAAATAAGCAATTTTATAGAAATGATTGTTTATAAATAAGCAGTTTTGTGGAAATGATTATTACAAATAAACGTTTTATGCGAAAGTGATTGTTTATAAACAATCTAAATGTATTATATGCTTATTTGCAAACAATTAGGTATATCATGATTTTTTTCATAAATAATGAAAAATTCACTACGAAAAATATGAATATAATTTTTTTACATTTGGCGCCCCATAATAATCGAATTCACTACATTGACTTCAAATTTGTATTTTCTTTTTCCAATTGTAAATTTCTTTGAGTCAGAAAGAAATCTTTTAAAGTGGAAACACTAGATTGGCCCAATCACTGAGCTATAATAGGGAACTTAAGCAAGTGACGTTCTTCGAGCCAACGGCAACGTCACGGTCGCAAAAAGCCTGGAAACTGCTATGCCGTTCCCCGCGAATTTCAAAGCATTTAAGCAAACTGCAGCGACGGGAGATGTCTTCGTTTCGAGAAATTAGAGAGTTTTGTTTAGTACTGTTTGAAGAAGGTGTTCTGACTGAAGAAGAGTTTATTTTATTGCACTTAGCGTACGATTCAAGGAATCCAGAGTTTCCAAGCAGCAATTATTCGCCTTTTTGTCTGGATGACATGAACGAAGCCGAATGTTTAGCAGAATTTAGAGTACAAAAGCGCGACCTTGTATTTCTTCAGAAAACTCTACAAATTCCCGATGTAATTAAATGCCCACAAAGAACAACCTGTTCTGGACTTGAAGGACTGTGTATGCTCTTGAACCGCCTCGCATATCCATGTCGATACTCCGATATGATTCAACGCTTTGGCCGATCGGTTCCGGAGATGTGCATGATATCAAATTTGGTTACTGATTTTATATACGATAATCACGGACATAGAGTAAATCAATGGAACCCACACGTTCTAAGTCCTCAAAATCTTCAGATGTATGCAGAAGCCATTCACGAGAAAGGGGCCCCGCTAGAAAATTGTTTTGGCTTCATAGACGGAACTGTGAGACCAATTTGTCGACCTGACAAACATCAGCGAGAAGTTTACAACGGTCACAAAAGAGTTCATTCCTTGAAGTTTCAGTGCGTTGCATTACCAAACGGAATTATTGGTCATATATTTGGTCCTGTTGGTAAGTTAATTTCTTTAAACATTTTTGCATAGCAAACACGTTTTTTAAGAATTTTACAGATTTTCCAGATCTGAATATTTCGAATTTTTTAGAAGGCAAGAAACACGACGCAGGGATGCTCGCCCAATCAAATTTCTTACAACAACTAGAAGAGAACGCTTTTTCTCCAGATGGAACTCCGATGTGTGTTTATGGAGACCCCGCTTACCCTCTTAGAGTTCATCTGCAAGCTCCGTTTCGTAATGGTGATATCACAGAAAGAATGAAGGAATTCAATACAAAAATGAGCGCTGTTAGAGTTTCTGTTGAATGGTTGTTCGGAGACGTGATAAATACATTTCGCTTCATGGATTTTAAGAAAAATCTAAAAATAGGCATGAGCAGTGTGGGAAAATCTTACATTGTTTGTGCGTTATTGAGAAATGCACTCACATGTTTGTATAGAAATAACACATCTGAGTTTTTTAATATTGATCCCCCAAGTTTAGAAAGATATTTTGCGTGAGGACAAAACATATCATCAGACATAGAAAGATGATTAATATCTTTTTTTTTATAAACAATGCAAGTGGCATTATGCCCATGAGTAATAAGTAAAGCAATGTAAATATAATTGTCAACCTTCATGATAAAATAAATTGACATATGTAACTGATTCAGAGATCAAGCAATGGGCTGTTTCAGAGATCAAGCCGAGTGGCATTCTGTGCATTCGATGATAAACTAATTTTTTTTAAAATCTTTGCTTGAAAATTGTCTTCAATCAATAGAACTATATTCTAAAACAATTACAGTAAAGCAACTCAACGATATAAGTATAAAAATTCATATGTGTGTATATACTACAGACATATCGGGAAATAGAGCTTCTTACAATTTCTCCATAAACTTTTGCATTGTTGACAAAAATGCCATCGACATTTGCTGCTGTTGCTGAAGCACCAGTGCTTGGCTTTCCATCATTTTTTTGTGTTGATCTTGCATCATTCGCATCATTTCTAACTGTTGTTCTCCTGTTTGTGATGCCGATTGCTTTTGGATTTCCTGCTCGTTCTTTTTTAGCGCTATTTCCTCTCGACGAAGTTCGCTGTCTGTGCTCGATTTTTGTTTAAGGTATTCGATCAGTTCGCTGCTTCCCCTACGTGTTTTTTTTGGTCTAGAATCCTCATCCTCAGTCGTGCCGCGTTTCCTCGTTTCTCCCATACGCTCTAAAGCCTTCATTCTGACGTCTTCCGCATTTTCTCTTTCTTTTTGTTTACGAGCTGTGTCGACATCAACAAAACTGTCCTCTTTAGCACACAGCTCTTCGATCATACTTTCTCTCTCAGTAAGGTCATCGACATCAATACCACTGGCAGCTTCCTCGTCCCTGGTTTTCTTTTTGTGTTTAGTCTTTAACAGGTTCCATCGGTCCCGCACACTTCTTTTATCTTTCAATCCAAATACAGGGTTTTCGATTCGGTTTAGATTTTCAACGATGGAATCCCAGACTACGCCTCTGTTAGGACTCCCCTTCTTGTAAAGAAAAAGATCACTAACCATCATTTCTCTCATTAACAATAAATCGTGGTCTTCTGTCCACTCCATTGGCTTTGGTTTCGAACTTGCAGGCTTAGTTGCCATTTGTAGACGAATTTTATAGCTTGTTTGCGCCACGTTTTAGAGACAACGGCAAATTAGCCCATTACAGGTTGGCGCCGAGTCGCGACGGCAACAACTAAACTCAAAAAATATTCACCGGAAGTGAAACTGACTTCCGGTAGCCGTCGCCGCGTTCAAAAACGTCAGTGCTTAAGTTCCCTAATATAATTCCTGGAGGACCGGCTCGCCATCATAGAGATTATAAATAACACTAGAGGAGGAGGCATTGGTATCAAAAACATCAGTCGAAAAAGGGAGCGCGATAATGGGGGGCAAATTCAAGTCCCGGATGCTAAGCCAAGCGCTGATTGGCTAGATCAATGCCTCCTTAGCAACCACGTTAGCAACAATTTTAAAAAAACTATATTCGTTTTTCAGGTCGCTTTGCCGGTTTTTTAAGGAAAAACAGTGCTTTTTGAAACTGGTTCTACTAATTTAGACATCCTGAAACGATATTTTAGGCAAAAAAACTTTTAGAAATAAAAAAAACTCGTTAAAAACGACTTATTTTGGCCTCGGACATCGTGAATGAGTGAACATCCGGGACTTGAATTTGCCCCCCATTAACGCGCTCCCCAATTTCTCCTCGATGACTCCTCTAGTTTTATTTATAATCTCTATGCTCGCCATCATCAAGTGAAGCCAAGCCAAAAAGATGGCGGATTTTAGGCTTTGCTGACGCCACATGGTCCTAAATGGCCTGGGTAGTTACCGCTGACAAACCGCGATCCAAAGACAAAAAATAAGTCATCTCCCTCCTGGTTTTTGATAAAAAATACTTTTGGTTTTCGGTGAATAATTTTTTCCTACCTTTTTGTTTTTAAAATAATAAATTAAAATTGTTTCTTCGTTTCCGGGCTTTCCCTGTTTTACAAATTATCGAAGCTGTGGTTTCTTGATCTACTTGTGATGTAGTAAATGTTTTATCGGAAGAGAATCAGGTAATCTTTTTGAAATATTTTCGTTTCTTCCGTCTGGACTTTAGTATATAACTAGTATACGACTCAAAATTAAAGCTCAAAGCCAGTAAGTCTATCAAAACGTCTGTTATGAGAACTGAAAAGAAAAAATGTATGCCAACAACATATTTTAATTTCATAATTATTAATTCAATAAAAGTTTTATTGCTATGTTACAGTGTACTAGTTTTTTTATGTCAGCCTTTTTGGTAAATTTTCATAATGCAATTTTTTCAAACAGCCAAACTTTTAGTAGAATGTATACAAGTTATAAGTTTGTGGGTATGTGGCAGACTGTATATTTTTAGCTGAACAAGACATACTAGTCACTTTATATTGATTTATTTGCCTGACCTGGCAGGGGTTCAGGCAGGTTATTTAACAACCACTGGAGTCAGTGGAGTGGCAGTTAAAGCCTAATATTTTCTTTGACAGGATTTATCATGGTTTACTAGCTATAATTGCTGTACCTTGTACTCACTTTGTGAAAGTGAGACTTATCAGATTTCTCTTATTTTGCAGGAATATGATGCTAATTGGAAAAAAAGCAAGAGATGGCTTGCATCCTTTCATTCCTTTGTTCTGAACTAGGTTACCCTAAGGGTAGTAATGCTGCCTTCAATAGCAAAACACAGAGTTGTCACAGAAATAAGACAAAAAATTGTACTTATCATTATGTTAAGCAGATTTATATAGACGCCAAAAACGTATGCTTGCATGGAGATAGAACGTCATTTTTAAGTTGACATTTGACGACCGTGAGGTCTTTTTAAATCTGCCTAATACCGAACTAAGGGGTAAAGATACGTTTATAGTTCGCCGCATAATCTTGAAAAACAACAATACAGTTATATTTAGTGTTTCTGCCTAAAGTAATTTATATAAATGGTTAAATAGTAAGGCATTGGAGAAACATTCTATTCATAGAAAAAATATTTACACTAAAGAGCGTTTCTGTGGAATTTAAAATGTCAGAACAAAGATAACAGAACAAAGATAACAGAACAGTACATGCAAAACTTCTAAAAAGTGGTAAGAATGGCTGAAATGTTTTCGGCTACAAAGTCATGCACAATCTAATGTTGACCGTCTAAAGAATATAGTTTATATAAGCATGCTGTATATATATGTTATGAAGTAGAAAGCTTCTCTATGGAGACAACATTTCTTTTGTTGTTAAAGAGTACTTTCGCCTCAACAGTTAAAAGAATTTCGTCGTCAGTTCCCTCAAACTCGGTATCGCAAGTGCATGTTTTGCTCTTTGTAGATGTTGAATAATTGCTGTAGTTTGTCGTCAAACAGCTGCAATAGGGTGGTCGTGGATGTGCCATCCTGAAATAGCACAGTATAGTTCTGCCAGTATATTAAAACCTAAAATGGTGAATAACTTAGGATTAAACTGTGTCAAAAATAACTTTTTGAAGTCTTTATAAACGATCCTGTCGGCAAAGTAGAATACAAATGGGCGGAAATTGAAAGCTTCTGTGTAGACGGCAGCAATGTCACAAACATGCAACAACACGAGGTCGAATTTCTTCACAAGTCTATAAAGTGCGCATTATACAGCGCGCTTATACACGCAGTAAAATATCAAGTACTATGACTAACAAACATTTTTGAGTTAAAAGTATAAATAAGGTAAGGGCTTTACAAAAAGATAATCCGAATGAAAAGCGCGCAACATACAGCGCGGTTATACAAAGTACCAAGTACCATGACTAACAAAATATTTTTGAGTAAAAAACATAACTAAGATAAAGCCTTTATAAAAAGATAATCCTGAATGGGCAATGCAGAATGAAAACGTGAAATTAAAAACTTTCGTGCATGCATAGGCGGCAGCAAGGCCACACAAACAACTACACGACTAACACGAGGTAGCTTAAAAAAACTCACCCTTTTTTATATAGTATGTTTTCGTTGAAACGTTCTGCCAGTATATCAAAACCTAAAACGGTGAATAACTTACGATTAAACTGTGTCAAAAATAACTTTTTGAAGTCTTTATAAAGGATCCTGTCGGCAAAGTAGAATACAAATGGCGGAAATTGAAAGCTTCTGTGTAGACGGCAGCATTGTCACAAACAAAAACACAAGGTCGAATTTCTGCACAAGTCTATACAGCGCGCATTATACACGCCCATGACTAACAAAATAGTTTTGAGTAAAAAATATAACTAAGATAAAGATAATCCTGATAAGATAAGATAATCCTCAATGGGCAATGCAGAATAAAAACGTGAAAATAAAATTTTGGTGCATGCATACGCGGCAGCAAAGCCACACAAACAACTACACGACTATAACACGAGGTCGAATTTCTTGATGTCAGTAAAGCGCGCAATATACAGATACACAAAGTAAAATACGAACGACTATAAAATAAAATATTTTTGTGTTTAAAGTATAAGTAGAGCCGTAGTAAAACAAGACCCTTTCTACGGTATATAGTAAACTCCCAACTCGTGAAATACGGAAATGTGACGCCAACGTAAAACGTTCAGACTGTATAATAAATTAAAACCTAAAACGATCAATAACTTATATTTAACTCGTAGACATAGAAGTACATCGAGAATAGGCTTTAGAATAAAAAATCCTGATAGCATCGCAAAATCCGTACACACAAACAACTACACGAGGTCGATCTTTTTTAATATGCCTAAGCGCGTGTGAATTTATATTACAGCGCGGTTATACACTAAGTAAAATACAAAGTAAAACGAAATACTTTAAATTCACTGTAAATCCAAAGTATATTAAAATAACTTATAAGTTGATCAGTAATATCGAACCTAAAAAACTCACCTAAAGTTAAACTCCAGACGACGCCAGTGTATTACAATCTAAAAGGATACGACTGCATGTTTACCACACGAGTATAATTGTGTAAATGTTTGACAAGGGAATAAATAGGCTTACCTTGGTCTTTGAAACGTAGACGTGAAAGAGCAAACAATTGCGACCACGAAGGTTTTATTCAAAGAACCGAAATGCATTATGGTTGAAAAAAGAACTGCGAAAAGTGTGACCACAATGCATCGCTCTTGGCAAAAATCAAGATTTCGCACGCTATTTCAAATTTAGGACTGCTGCCTTGCTCGGTCGCTCAGGCGACCTCGCTGCGGCAGCAAATATTGAATTAGAGCAAAATGCAATGTATCATACACATGAGCTGCTCATTGATTATGCCATATTGATTTAATTTTAACCTTTTTCTTACAGTTTAATTCAAATAAATGAATACAAACATTGACTCATTGTGTGGATTGTGTCTCAAATCAATAACAAGTAACCTTTCTTAAATAATTTCCTAAATCATCCCCCCCCCCAAGAGGGCTAGTTAATGGGGATAATTCAGCATAATTGAGAGTGAATAAGCCCCATTTCATTGTGAAAGTTCCTTTGAAACATGAAATCACTGTAACTGCAGTAAAAGAAAACCTACACCATTTGGTAACATATCAGCTATAAATTCTGAAATACAATTCTCAATATGTTGGCTACTAATCATTGTCACAATGGACAATATCACAGGTATTAGACTGTATCAAGGTGCATCCATGGTCAGGAATGCTAAATGAGCAATGCTATAAATCAAATATGACTTAGCTGAAATTGTATTTTCTGCACATAAAATGTTGATCTCCATAAAAGATCCAAACAATTTCAGGCATACAAAAAGTTAAGAAATTCTTAGACGTTTCCTCTAGAAGTTCAAAAATCAATTGGATTTCATGCGGATTGTAAAATATTAAACATGAATAAATCAATGAAACTCGGAAAAATGAAAATTACCGGTGAGGTAGTTGACGTTTTTTTCCATATTTTTTGAAGTTATAATACTTATTTGGCCTGGTATTGGTAAAAACAACGTGTACGACTTGTATACATCTTGAAATAATTTTTTTTCGTACTATAGTTAATAAAATATATCGAAAACAACAAGGTTTCGCACAAAATAAAAATTTTTTAAAAAATCCAGGAGGGGAATGTTTTCGAAGCGGGCTCAGATTTGAGCCTGGTCAGTGGTAACTACCATGGCCATTTAGGACCATGTGGCGTCAGCAGAGCTTTTACGCATGCGCAGAAGGGCGAAGTCCGCCATGTTTTCGGCTTCAAAAAGATGGCGGCGAAGTTACCGAAAAATGAGGAGCCGGTCCTCCAGGAATTATTATATAGCTCAGTGGGCCCAATGGATTGGCCCCACTGATCTGAAATTGGCCCCGGCCCAAATTTTTGGTAATTTTTCGGATGATTGTAGTAATTGGAAATTTGTAGTAATTACTACAGTAATTTTTCTTAAAATTACAGAAACCTTTTTTCAGAAAATTACAGAAAGCGATTCTGTTAGGGTAAAGTAGGGATATTTTGGAAAAAAGATTTGGAATTACCAATGATAATGCGGGATAAATGTGTGCGTAGTTATGTTTTGTCTCATGTAGTTATTTCTGTCACCTAAATTGGCAATTGCCCTTCAGAAAACCTGGTCACTCTGCTTCGGATGACTACACACGTAAAAATATCATATCTTGTAACAAGTCTGTTCACAAGCTAGCAAGAAGATTTGTTCGCACTGCTTGTCCCAAGCTGTTGACGTTATGGCACAACTTGTTAACAAGTTGTAACGAACTTGTTGAATCAAAAGACTTGCTACAAGTCTGTTCCAACAAGTCTGGTAAAAAATGATGTGACAATATTGCTACAATCTTTTGCTGTCAAGTTCGTAGCAATGTTGTTGTATCATATCTGAAAATACTTGTCAGAACCGACAATCTTGTAACAAGTTTTATAGTGCCATCGGACTTGCTACAAATTGTTAACAGCTTGTTGCAAACTTGTTACAACGAATTAGAGCAAGCAGTGCGAACAAATCTTGTTGAAAGCTTGTGAACAAACTTGTAAAAAATCTGCCGCAGACTTGTTACAATTTGTGCGTTTTCACGCGAATACAAATGCGAGGGCATTCGAGGGCACTCGCGTATGAATGCGACTATGCGAGGGCACTCGTGAACAGGGATGTAGAGGAGGGGGTGGGGGGGCCGTGAGGCTAGAGTTTCAGATTGTCTAACATGACAACATAAGTCAACCAACACTGACTTTTAGCCCGGACTGAATAAAACAAGCATACTTGAAAGACAGAGTAGATTTAATTCTTCTTAATAATTTCGAATCAACTGATATATTAACAATAAATTTTTCAACGGGGGGGGGGTAAACGGCGGCTACGTCCCCCTGGCTACGTCGCTGGTTGGAAGCATGTTTCCTGCACATACACTGAAACATTAAACAAAACCATGCTTTGGTTATGATGTAAAATTTTTTCATGTGGATACCCATGCTGTTTTAATGGTCAAATGCATGTCCTATAATTATAAAGTTGCAAGCATGTCAGGTGCTGATATACGAACATTAAACAATATACCATGCTAAGATGCTATGTGAAATATTTTGATATGGATAACCACGCTGGAAGTTGGAAGCATGTTTCGTGCTCATATACAAACATTAAACAATATCACCACGGCTTTGGTTATGATGTCAAATATTTTAACATAGATAACCACGCTGGTTAAATGGTCAAATGCCCAGTTCCCCAGTTAAAACAAACAAAGGCCCGCTTATCACAATGTTGGGCTAATTTATTAGTCATAAGTCATCTACCATGCCACCTGTTTGAGGCTTCATTTGGGCTCTGGTCTTCAAAGCATAAAGACAAGTCACTTCTGATGCTCAAAATTTCATCTGAAATCGTTATCAATGATAACGTCTTTCTACAGAAGAGAAGTTTCAGTATCTCTGTCGCGCTGTCGTTGGTGTAAAAACATGTAATATGCCTTTTTCTTTACGAATATTTATTTGCTTTTGTGAGAGATTTGGGCGAATATTTCTCCCAAGTAGTCCAACTTCACCACGTGTAATGCCCAAAAATCTAGGTTTATTCGCTTTGTGTTCACTTTGAAATTTTTCTTATAACACTAACGTTGCTTTTTATTTAATTCAGACAAGATTCTGACGACTTCAAGCCAAGCTTGACGATGAAATTCGTGAACAAGACTGAAATGGCTCAAGATAACTCGCCTTTCATGAAGAGAGGGCACGACTAGCTTTTTCTCGGAGCTTATTGGCGAAATGAAAAAGGTAATATATACGCGCTAAAATCTGTGTGAATTTGCGGACGTTTTGATGTCGTGCGGTCCAGCTGCATCCTATAACCACCAACCTTCGCTTCAACTGGAGTAAATTATATCTTTGAATTAAGTTCTAAAGGCTTTGCAGAAAACTAAAACTGCCTTCTACTCTTTTCGGGCAGAGTTATAAGAGCTAAAGTCAAACTAAAAGAATTACCGTGGGCAAGAAATTCGTCATCGATAAGACGATAAAGGCTGAAATTGTACGAGATGGCTCGCGTTTAATGAGACAACAAGTCCGAAGCTGCTCGTCTGGCAGTTGCTAAAATGCAGAGGCACATATCTATTCGTTTCCATCTAACTCACATGCACGATGATGGGAGAAGTGGGCAAGTGGCTCCCAAAAGTATCATCCAAAGTCAAAGCCCCCCTTCCCAGTTCCCTGGCCCTCCCCACACCATCTCGAGGAGGGATTACAGCATTACAGTGACTTCTGATAACAGCATTTATTTACAGTGACTTCTGATTACAGCATTACAGCGACTTCTACGCATCTGTTCTCCCCATAACAATGGGCATGATACTTGATTGAAAATTGATTTGTGGCAGAATTGGCCAATCAGAATCTTGTATTTTCGAGTTAGCTACCATATAACTACCCAAAATCTAGTTAAGCATTTTACACAAACGGTACCAGGACTGAAACAAGGGCGCATATTTATATATTCAGCTCTGCTCAACAGATTTCTTTTGAAAACAAATATGCGTACAAAAAAATTCGTCGGCAAAAAATGAATATATAAATATGCACCACCTCCCAACCAATTATTGGATATAATAACGTAACTGGTTGCTTTTGTTTCAAATACAAGCGACACGTGACTGCACACGAGATGTGAACAAATTCTGCACAAACGCACAAAAACATGGTTAATGAATTGTATTGTCTCAGTCGTTTAGTCTTCAAACCGTGTTTTACCTGCGACCTGGTACGTGAACAACATGGTTTGTCAAATGCTTCACCTTCCTTACTGATAACCATGCAATACTTGTTTATAAAGTCTTTAACGATTTAAAGTTCAAAAACACGAAGCGAGAAGTCACCGTGTCGCAGGACAAATATCTTCCCCGGGAGATATGACCTGAGATTACTATGCGCCGTGTCGCGTATTTCAAAACATCATTCCCATGACTATTTGCATTCAGGCGATTTGTTTTTGCCCAACATTGCCGCTCCTGACGCTCGTGTGACTCGTTTCAGGCGACATGTTCCTGCGACTTGTCGCTCCGTGTGCTAGAACCTTTTAAATAAGAGTAAATCGCTTTCTGAATGAAACATCAACCACAGATATCGATTTGGAATCGTCCCGAGGCCTTTTCAAGCAATCTTAAACCTTCTATAGTAAAGTTATCTCTCTCAATACACAAACAACCAACATAATCACATCCCCGACGTTTAACTGCGTCTGCGAGTAATGGTAAATGTTTATCTGTGAATCCATTTTTACTTATATCCAACATAGTGAGCTTATATCGTTCATCTCCAAGAGCCTGGCACAAGCTCGGCATGCATTCGTCTGTTAACGAACAACTGGAAATCGCTAACCTGGTAAGATGACATGTTCGGTTCTGAAGAACAACGCACAATTCACGTACACTTTCATCACCTAAATAATTTCTTTTAAGGTCCAATTTTGTTAGTCCACAATGTTCTTCATCAAGAGCGCCGCACAACGTGGACATAGATTTCTTTGTTAAAAAACAGCCAGAAAGATTCAAGGCAGCAAGGTTACATGTTTCCTTTCCAAGAACACTGCACAAAGTACGTAAACCTTCATCCCCTATAGCATTGTCAGCAAGGTTCAAGTATCTTAATCCACAATGTTCTTCATCAAGAGCGTCGCACAACGTTGACATACATTTTTCTGTTAAAGAACATTCGCGAACACTTAAGTAAGTAAGGTTACATGTTTCCTTTCCAAGAACACTGCACAAGTCACGAAAACCTTCATCTCTTATAGCATTCCTACCAAGTGTCAAGGATCTTAGTCTGCAATGTTCATTACCGAGAAATTTCACAAGCCAAGGCATGCTCTCACTGGTCAAAGCACAGGAGATAAGAAACAGAGTATCAAGTTTTAACTGTCTTTCTTGCATTGCGATAGATAGAATACGAACACCTTCATCACGAATAGGATTGTAGCTAAGGTCAAGGTCTGTCAACTGATTATAAACCTGATTATCTAAAACATGAGCCATACCAGCAGCAGTAATATTGTTATTTCCAAGATTCAACTCAGTCAGCTTAGAACACTCGTGATTCACCTGACATTCAGATTTCAATAATGCACCAAGACGCTCCAGACACAAGTCACTAAGATGACAACGAACGATGTAGAGTGATTTCATGCATCTTCCTTGGAGTAATTTAACTAATTCTAGCAAACAATCCGAACTAGATAAACCGAGCACGCGTAAAGTATTTAAATCCTTCATATGCTTGCAAAGAAACACAACTGCTGCTGCATCGCTTGGAGAAAGCAATTGTTCGACAGACAGTGAGCATGATATCCCAGTCGCATCTTTTAAAATCGAGTTCGCAACAATTTCTTCGGCAATATTTTCATTCTTTGTTTCTCTTAAACATTTCATCACTAATATTTGATCAAGATGTATCCAATAATAATTTATTTCATTTATACTGAGATATTTTTTAAACATCAACACGCAGCTTCTGTATTTAGGAGATGTCTTCATTTTCTCTCGCAACAATCCAGCAAGAAACTGAAGCACAAGATGCCATCTGTCATGTTTGATATGAGAAGATATAAATTCTTTTACTTGTTCGGGTGTTTTTGTTTCCACAATATACTTTGCTGCGAGAAATTCTTGTATTGTTAAATGAATGAAGCAAACCTGTATTTGAATTTGAAAACTTGGTTTGGGTAAAGAATTTAATAATCCTGATTGTTTCATTTCCTCGTTAACAAGCTTGCCACTGAAAATCAGCACGTTGTTATTCATACCATTAAAAGCCAACTCTTGAAATTTATTCAAAACTTCTTCTTTGTTTTCGTTTCGGTCAAGATACGTGTTGAAGTAGACTAAAGCTGACTCGTACAGTTCAGTCAAAGTAGTTGGTAGAGCACCAATATCACCCTCTGAGTCAATGAGACATTCGAACAGACAAACACAAACAATAAAACAATTCACTGGAATGTAGCATAAATTCATCAGTTCAGATGACGATTTAATATGACTCAATATCGTTGCTTCTAGATCGCACCTCTTATGATTAGCACAAAATTGTTTAACATACTGTTCAATTTTATCTGATGTGAACCCAATAATCTCAACAGTTCTGTCAAATTTCATTTTGCATAAAACATCATTCACAGTTGGCCTGCTGGTCACCAAGACTGTTGCTCCTGGTAACATATCGCCAGACAAGATTTTGAGAAAAAAAGACATTGCTGACATTTGGCAAGAAACGTCATTATTCGAATACTTTTTTGACTGAGCTAGGACACGCTGATAATTTTCACCAAGACTGACACCAGATTCATCCAAACCATCAAAAATGAAAATAGCATTTTGTGGATTTCTCCAAATTTCTTCAAAAATACTTTCAAACTCATCTTCACTCAGTTCAGTTCCAAACTGTAGAAATTTTTTAATTGTTATGTCTTGCATCTCATTGAAATTGAACTCTCGGAATTTAAAGTAGAAAGGGACCTTGTTGTGATAGATTTCATCATTATGTTCTTTTGCCCAATCGTACATAATTTTCCTGGTCAAAACAGTTTTTCCAATCCCCGGACGACCAATTACCAAGATAGTGGAAGGGACGTTATAGTTAGTATCTTTGTTTGCATAAAACAGATCTTTAATCTGTTTCAGATGTATCGACTTTTCAGGGATTTTTGTATAAACATCGTAGATCTCATGCCTAGACATTTCTTTTGAAAACCTGTGTGGAGCTCGCTCAGTATGGATAACAACATCAATAAACATATCATCCAAGCTTATATCATTCAAACCGTAATTTATATCAGGTGTCAGACAAGGCTTTAAAACCTTTTGCTTGTAAATGTCACAACTGTTAGGTACATATTGCTTTCGAAGAAAGTGTTTATTAATAAATTGCCAATCACATGACCAAGTAACAGAAGATTGAGGGGTGACACTGGGAAATCGCATCAATAGCAGATAAACAACTTCCGCTAATGCAATTACAGCAAAAATGAGATTACAAACAGATACAATTGTCAACCAAAACTGTTTATCTTTGGCAGCCGAGTTCGTACATTTTACACTGGATAAGTTGGCACTTCTATTATTTACTGGAGTCATGTTAGGATCAACTGATCTCAATTCGGGATAAACACAACTGAACTGTGTATCAAAACCACTCGGATATAATACAGTATGTTGTAGAATTGTGAATAACATACAGAGCATTGAACGAGCCACAAGGTGGAACAAATAGAAATTGAAAACACAAAAGGTTTTTCTACCTTGTTCAGTGTTCCCTCTCGCAACTGTTTGAGGTTTATCACTTCCGCCCGAGAGTCTCTCTGCATCTTCGATACGATTGCCAACAGCAAGCGAATAAACGACACTCACAACAACAACAGAACCAAAATTGAACAGAACGAAGGCAGAAAATTTCACGGGAGAGTTGTACTCGTCATCGTAGATTGAAAAACACGTTTTCTCGACATAACTTTTGTGAGTTGCATGTTTTGTGTCAACAGCACAACTGAACTTTTCCATCTCGCTGAGTCTCAGAGCCGTGGTAATTGCTGTGAATATCACTCCACAGTGAAAATGGATGACCACACATATGTAGGATAAGATGCTAAATCTCTTGGGCTTCATATATTCTTTTATCCCATCCATCATTCTTGGTAAAGGAAGGATATTTGATTTGAAATAAATATTTTAGCAATTTAGCCGATTATGTCGCTTCTTGCACAGGGCGAATTTTTTACGCAAGAATTTGTAACTTGATATTGCTGATGGTCATGTGCCTTTAGTGGTGTTTCGATTGGTCTGTATTTTATACTTCGTCACATGAAAACCAAGCGGTCCAACTTGCTCAGTTGCTCTGAGCCTTGAGAAAGGACATCCACAGAATACAAATTCATCCCAAATTTTTAAAATGTAAAATTTTGAGTACTACAAAACCGCGACAATGACAAATTGTGATGTCCGGATTTTGTTACAAGACCTGTCATTTCCAGACAGATTACAGAAATACAAGCCAACTGAATAGGGTTAGGGAAAAACCGCTGTGCAGTTAACCATGAATTAAGCTTCTGATTTGTCCTCAAATTGGGCTGCTAGATTTTTTTTGCGTTGAAACTGGAGATAAAATAAATAATGCTTGTGTGTTCATTGCTTGACTCTAGGCTCGACTCTATAGTATAAAAATAAAGCACTAATTTATCTATGCTGTTAAAATTCAAAAGAAAATTTGGAAATATTTCGCTAGCGAACGATTTCGCTGTAAGTGGAAAACCGCCTTTATAGACGTAAACATAAACGGAATTGTTTTGGATTACGATTTCTCTATAAGTTCTACATACACAAATCACGGTCGCTTTGAAAATCGACATGCATATTTTAATAATTGTACCCGTATTATTACACAGGGTGTCCCAAAAAAGCTCCCCCCTATTGAAATGAAGGCAGCCCCGGCAACGAACACTGCTGAAGGGCCGCCCACGCAGAAAGCTATGTGAAACATGATATTTGAGATGTTTTTAACAGCCTGAAATATACGTAAAAATGTACAGGAATTGTGGATTGTACAAAAACACACCAAACCACGCCAGACTGTACATGCATAAAATATCATGTTATTATTTCATATAGTTATAGTTAAAGGAGTATTAGAGCTAGTATATATGCTATGATTACTACGCGGGCCGGTTGTATCAAGCCCGTTTAGCTTAAACAAGGCTATCCTTTTATTCAACTAGCAAACTAAAGGTTTTTAATCTTAATACAACGACGATATCATAATGTTTAGAACAACATATTTGGTTCATAATATTCGAGTTGACTGATTCAAGAGAACTGGGAAAGTTTTATTTTATTTTTCTGTCAAAGCTAAACGGGCTTGATACAACTGACCCCAGGTATTTTAATCTTTATCTAATTATTGCCTCTTAGTTCTCGGTTTGTGGAATGTTTTAGATTATTTTATTCTTTTTCTTTGCTGGTAGACCTTTTTAAAATGTTTTAAATATTTTTTCTTTCTTTTCTTCTGTTTCTTGCGCAGTGGCGTAGCCAGCCCGACAATTTAGTCATGCTATGCTAATATTTTGGTGTTCATTGACTGTGAAAACAATAAATTTCTAAAGAAATGAATAATGATAATAACATAAAATTTGCATAGCATGACTAAATCGTCAGGCTGGCTACGCCACTGTTTTTGCGTCCATTGTACATGCTGAACCTGTAGTTTGACCATCCAGGGTGCTAACTCGTAGTTACCTTGGCCATGCAATGCTCTTCTGCAATCTACCTGTTGCAACATAACAATTTTATGCAGTCTGTCAACCAAGTCAGGCAATTTCATGGTTTTCCAGTTGGCAGATAGTTTTGTCAGTGCTGCCTCCTCGTCGGACCGAATGACAAGTCGCAATTGAGTCCCACCAATGTCCATTCCTAATTTATTTGAAGATGGGCAAAAAATCTGTGGTATGTCTCGTATGAACCGTCCCAATGCAAATAAATTGCCGCAAGCATAATTGGGGAGTTATTCGTCCCTTTTCTTTTCAAATTATTGTGCTGGTACACCAATGTTGTCGCGAAACATGCACCAAGATTAAATGTTCTAGCTATCTATCCCAAGAACACTTGGATTTCTGGCATTCGACGAACAAAACTGTTTAACATCGTTCAAATTGTCTTCTAAATAAAGTACAACGCATGGGGGTTTCCCTTTGGTTTGCACGATTTCCTGGATAAAAGGGTGGCTATGAATGTCAGTTAACAACGCCTGTACCTCGTCAGCGACGTTATTCCTGTAAACATGACCTTTTTCAATTCTCGTTTTTTTCCCGGTATTGTATTTAGCATTCTGTACCTCTTTCAAATCTCTCGTCGCAGAACTTGAACTATCAAGTGCCATTTCCTCGTATATTTCACGTGGCTTTTTATTTCTTGCTGTCATGTCTGCCAACTTTTTTTTAACTGAACATGAAGTGCGGACATAATCGCCAACAGATTTTTTACTGTTCCCGTGCGGTAGATTTTGTTCTGGGTAGTTGCCTACATACTCCACTATATTAACATTCTTAATGTTACTCATTTCATCGAGACCATGTTTCACAACATGGTTAAAATAAAAGAGTGCTTTCTATGTTTCACTGTCATTGATCGGCGATCTTCAGTTTCTACCTTAACTAAAGGAATCAACATAGCAAACAATTTGCTTTTAAAACTTTATTTCGAAATGAGCTTTTGGCGGGAAAATGTTATTGTCAACAATCAAATTTGAAATTCGTTATACGATTATATACGCCGAGTTCGGTGTAATGTAAAGATTAACAAGTTAGTATATATGTTTGATCAGTTTGCGCTACGGCTTCTCAAACGCAATATCTCTGTAATCTTGTGTCGGGCTATCTATAGTATAATTTGAACCTATTATGGCATACATTTAGTAAGATATATTTACCACCTTAAACTAATCGAATTCAATAACATAGCTGTAGCTCATAGAGGATGCAGTGTGGCAAGTTCGTCTTCGATGACAGCTTTTGGTCAATTGATTCTGTAACTGCCAAAATATACATACAAAAAGTATATACATTTTTATGTATATTTCAGGCTGTTAAAAACATCTCAAATATCATGTTTCACATAGCTTCCTGCGTGGGCGGCCCTTCAGCAGTGTTCGTTGCCGGGGCTGGTTGAAAATCACTTTTAAACATTGTTTTTGTTGAAAAAAAGAAGTCAAAAGTCTTCAAAAGGGATCACACATAGATTTATTCACCCTTGCGTTCCCCCGGGCGCTCTCAGCTGCTCTCAGCGGCTCTCGGGCACTCCCGGGCGGTATTTAGTAGGACCAGAGAGTTGTACTCGTCGTCGTAGATTGAAAAACACTTTTTCTCGACATAACTTTTGTGAGTTGCATGTTTTGTGTAAACAGCACAACTGAACTTTTCCATCTCGCTGAGTCTCAGAGCCGTGGTAATTGCTATAAAGATTAATCCACAGTGAAAATGGATGATCACACATGCGTAGGATATGATGCTAAATCTCTTGGGTATTGAGTATTCTTTAATACTGTCCATCATCTTGAAAGAGATAAGAATATTTACTTCGCGATATATATCTTAGCCCACACTGTCGCGTCTCTCTCGAATCGCTCGAATTCATTGACTTCAAATTTGTATTTCCTTTTTCCAATTGTAAATTTCTTTGAGTCAGAAAGAAATCTTTTAAAGTGGAAACACTGAATTGGCCCACTGGCACTGAGCCACGATAGAGCTTCGGGATCAGTGTGACCAGACGTAGTAATTTTAATTGCTTTTTGTAATTTTTGGTAATTTTTCGTAAATTTGTAGTAATTACTGCAGTAATTTTTCTTAAAATCAGAGAAAACTTTTTTGAGAAAATTACAGAAAGCGACTCTGGCGTTAGGCTAAAGTAGCGATATTTTGGAAAAAGATTTGGAATTACCAATGATAATGCGGGATAAATGGTGCGTAGTGATTTTTGGTCTCATGTAGTAATTTCTGTCACCTAATTTGGTAATTGCCGTTCAGAAAACCTGGTCACGCTGCTTCGGATGACTACACGCATAAAAATATCATATCTTGTAGCAAGTCTGTTCACAAGCTTGCAAGAAGATTTGTTCGCACTGCTTGTCCCAAGCTGTTGACGTGATATATGAGGTGTGATATCCGCCAATATTACCTCATTCACTTTTGAAATTAAGTGTTCAAATTATTTAATGCAGACATTCAATTACACGATTTAAAGATGCGTTTTTGCAATGAAAGCTGTTTTCTGTTCAGAATTTCATTCAGAACAATTTCATTCTGAGCAATTTCATTCTTGAGAATTTCATTATGACCAATTTCATTCGGAACAATTTCATTACGAACAATTTCATTATGACCAATTTCATTCGCAGCAATTTCATTCGGAGCAATTTCATTTGGAGCAATTTCATTTGATTTGGAATGGCAATCAGAAACTCATAAACACAAAAAAGATGGCGGACGCTATTCATACGTGAAACATGGCGGAGGCTTATGCAATCGAAGGAAATCGCCAGCAAATAAGAGCAGAACTCTCAAATATTCTCAACTCAACAATAAGGCTTTTGCAAGGTAGTATCGATGAAAATGTGCTAGATAGAATTGAGCAACGTTTGGATTGGATATACAATATTGTTGTGAGATATTTCGATTCACAAATCTTAAACGAGGAGGTGGTTAGCTGCATACAATTGGCTAAAGAATGTATGCATAGAAATACTGAGAATTCAAGGATAGTGGCAGCAGAAAGAATCTTCAGTGGTCAGAGAGGAAGGCCACGGTTTGAAATCCCGTTTGAACAGCTTCAATTTTTAATAGAGAAAAAATTCAAGGTGGCGGAGATTGCTGAATTATTCGGTACGAGTAAACGAACTGTAGAAAGGAAAATGCATGAATTTGGATTATCTGCTGCCAACTCTTACTCAGCTCTCTCTGATAATCAACTAGACGAAGTGATATCGAACATTCAGAAAGACTTCCCTAACGTTGGTTCGAAAAGAATGATGGGTCTTTTAAAATCTAGAGGAGTGTGCATCCAGCAAACACGTGTTCGTCAATCAATTCGTAGGGTAGATCCTGAGGGAACGCTTTTACGAGCTCTTGAAATGCGTATAATTTCTCGACGGAAGTATTCTGTGGCTGGCCCTCTTTCCTTGTGGCATATTGATGGGAATCACAAATTAATACGGTATAGTGAGCATATTATAAGGCTACGTTCAGACGAGTGCCCGGAACCAGTGCCCAAAGTCAAAAAGGGTTAAAAAAATGTTGAGCACAGTGCCCTTGTTGAGTACTGCCTCAGGTGGTAATACCCGTTCGTAAGGCCGGTTTACACTAGCAAAGTGTGAGCATAGCGTTCGAACAGAACTGCAGACGTTTACACTGTCACAGGTCAAAGCGCAGTGTTTCCTGTCGCACAGACAACAGATCAAACATGGACGGCCGTAAACGGAAAGCGCTTCTTTGTTATTTTAATTTTTATCAGCAAAAATGAATGAAACTTTGGTAGACATTTTGATGTTTGACTTTATCCCCACAGATACCGCTCTCTCATTTCTACGCCATAGTCTCTCCAAACCGACGAAGTGGCGTCTTTGAAGTTCTGTGTTCAAAGTTGAACACGCTCCACTTCGTTCAAAGCCCTTCAAAGTCTTCGGTCAAAGGCTTTGATAGGTGTTTACATGTGCATACACTTCGTTCAAAGCATACTGTGCGCACAGAAACTTTGCTAGTGTAAACCGGCCTTAGACAACGCGCCCAGTTTATTTGGAAGCGTCATGTTCAACTTAGGCCCCAGAAAAGTGACGGGCACCAGTGCTGGGCACAGCTGTGACGTAGTATTACCATAAGAGCGGACTAGAATGGCCACTAAGAGGTGCAACCTGCCTCGTTTATTTACGCAAAAAAATACATTTTACTTGCCAGAAGGCACGGCAGCCAACCCATATATCGTGGCCAGAAAATAGCATTGACTGGCGAGATGGCGGACAAGTGAATGCCGCATGCGCGGGAACACACACATTAAAGGTTCCTGACTCAAGTGAAGCTTCTAGTGCTCTCGTTATTCTACGCATGGCTTTACACTGCAAATAATAAACGTATAATTCCGATTCGACCCCAGCATTTATAGTAATCTTTTTATTAGTTGGAGATTTGTGATCCATGGGGGAATCGACGGTTTTTCGCGAATGATTGTCTATCTTGCTTGCTCCACAAACAACAGAGCTTCAACAGTATACCAACTGTTCCAATCGGCAGTGCAAAAATTTGGGTTGCCTTCTCGAGTTCGTTCAGATAAAGGTGGAGAGAACACAGAAGTAGCTTGGTACATGCTGTCTCATCCATTAAGAGGTCCGGATAGAGGGAGCCACATAACTGGAAAAAGCGTCCACAATCAGCGCATAGAAAGGCTCTGGAGGGACCTCTTCACAGGGTGCACGTACCTCTTTTACCAGTTATTCTATCATATGGAAGACGAAGGCATTCTCGATCCATCTAGCGAGCACCATATGGCTGCATTACACTTTGTTTACCTTCCAATAATCAATAGACATCTGCGATTATTCGCTGAGGGGCACAGCAAAGGACCAATTAGCACAGAACGAAACCAATCACCCGAGCAATTATGGTTGAGAGGAATGCTTTCAAATCCTAGTAGAAGAATTGCTGAAGAATTTGCATGCCAGGTATAAAAATTTAAGTATAGCTACTGTTTTTTTTATCTACATTTATTAACAATCATAACTCAGTAAAATCACATCAGCGTTTCAATTGTACACTGTATATTCAGGACTATGAAAATTATGGAGTTGACTGGGACAGTCCATGCCCAAACGAAGATGCTCAAGTAGTTGATGTACCTGAAACGTATATGCCTATAGATGAAACAGATGTAGAAGAACTTCGTAGATCAATCGACCCACTCCGTAACTCAGTTCATCATGGTGTTGATATATACTTAGAGGTGTTAAACTTCCTTGAACATCGTTTAGACAATACTGAACAATATGAATGACGAATAAAGTCAAAGAGTTTTATATGACTCGGTGCTTATATAAAATGCAATATTGCAAACAAAAAATGTTTTAACCTTCACGTTATGTCGATACTAAGTTCATAGTTAACAAAACAATTTAAACTTTTTCCATGTTTTATAAACGAGATTAGTTTTGAATGTACATAGTAAGGAACGGCTGATTAAATTATACCAAATCCTTCTTTTTGGTTATCAAGGGCACAATTCATATTTCTCCGGAACTCCTCATACGTAGCAACAAGCCCTGGAACTTCCAGTTCCATTGGACACGTGTTGGCGTTTGGAAGCGACGAGCCATTCTGCAGCACGGTGATCGTAGATGGTTTAGAAAAGCCCATGGGTGGAATTACCGTAGATCCCGTAGCGAACATCAACAATTCTGACAATCTCTCAGCTAAAAGTATTAAACAATTTTTATCAATTTCTATAATTGACTAAAACGAACAAAAAGACTCGCGGGTACATACATTCTTCAGTGACATAGCGTGTGAAAAACTCTTTGTGTTTATCATCAACATCCTCAAACTCCACCAGAGCCAAAAACTCCTTTTCAGTTGGAGGTTTATCGTTTCCAAATACTAGAAGCGGTTCAGTTAAGTTTGGATGATTTCTGATCAAATTCAATAATGGACCCAAGCCAGACATGAATTGATCCAGCTCTGCTTTCCTTGATAGGATTACAGAATGGAGGCATAACGAAGTCATCGCCTGGAGCCGGTTTTCCACTGTAAGAACATGAGGGAAACCAGCCTCTATCAGCCGTTCTTGATATTCAGCGGCTACTGAGGGCACATCCTGGGATTTTAGGCCATCTAACTAGATAAAAAAAGTTGGTATAAAATTTCACAGCGAATTATTACATTCCGTGTACGCGCGAACTATAATTGCTACTGTATACAAAATACTTCACACCGCCACCGGTTATTTAGGGTACAAGTAACGAAGTGATCAGACATTGACGGTACCTTTGCTAACGTATGAAGGATTTCTACATCGATAACGTCGTCTTTGCTGACGTGTTGACCAATTTCATCGGGGTTCCCGTGCTGAAAGTATAGATAAACTGCATGCGAAAATATTGGCAAACCTGGACCACCTTGGATAATTGACGAGGTTACCATTCTTCCAGCTACTTTGAACAGATTTGAACGTAATGCGTCCGTGTTGTGAATAGGAAGAAAACACGAATCATTCCCCTCGAAAAGACGTATACTCATAGAAGACAACAACATTCTCATTAAAATGGTGAAATATTCTCGAAGTGGCCCGCCGCCATCTATTGCTGGCTCTCCTTCGAAGGTAATTTTCATGGGCTTTGAAAAATCAAAACTACGCTCCTTAAAAAAGGCAATGCTATCTTCAAATACTGAATCTCTGGCAACAGTTAGCCGCGTAGGTGCTTGTCCACTCGTCGGCCGTATAAGCCGAAGCACATCGTCAAGACTGTCAACAATACCGACACCGACGGTAACTTCTTCGGAGTTATCAACTAAATTAAAAAGATGCATGCATAGTTTAAAAATAAATCCATATACCACGTTAAGTTTTAATCTTATTACAAAATCTGTCAATAATGTTGATTAACAAACCATGTAAAAGTAAGTTGACTGCTTCTTCAGTATTGCCATCAGCTATTTCAAGAGCGGATGATATTTTGGATATTGTGTGCATGGGAAATATAGCTTTAATAGTGGTGATGTCTAAGAAGAGATATTTAATATTCATCAAAGGTCCCTCAACATATAAAAACAGTTTTAACACTTCTACACACAACAATTCAACACACATTACCAGATGCAATTGGACTGCTCGTTCCTGCAACTGAGTGAGAATTCTCTGTACTGAGAAAAGAATGGACATAGGAAAAATAGTATCAGAAATATATTAGTTTTCCACTACTTGTATAAGTTATATAACACATAAAGAATTTGAGAAAATATTTCTAAGAGTTGAACAACAAGGATTATGGTATTTGAGGATGAAAGCCCAACAATGTTACAATATTCTGCTGTAGAAGGTCTAGCTACCTTTCTCCTTCACCTCCTCCTATTGAATATGCATGTGATGTTCATCCAGGACAAACATTTGCATGTTCAATAGTTTCATCAACATGAATCTCTTGATGGCAATCATCACACCTTGTTGTGCGGACAGTGATAGACAATTCATCCTTTAGAACAATCAGTAATTTATAAGAATTCATTAATTTATAAAATTAAAAACAATAATTAATAGCAATGAGTTTTCTTAAAAAAAATTTTAACATGCCTGATTACCCAATCCATCATTATTTTGTTTACTTGTATCATCTTTAATTACACTCTTTATTCTAAGGATAGAAATATCAAAACCAGCAATTTCATTTGTAAAATAAAACAAATATTAGCATGCAAGATAAGTATTATTACTCAGTTTGATCTTTGTGCATGCTTTGAACATTAGTGTTGGGAACTTAAACTTGCTTTACATGCTTCATTTCCTAATTTCTTTGTATAGTTTTTGGATTTTTCTTTTTCCTGATAATTCATAGTTTTACAAGTCCAAAATAATGAATCAAGTGGACCATTATTCCACCATTAAAATTATGAACTATGCCAAAAAAATTTATATTAGTCTGTAATCCATCAAATGTCATAATCATTCTATACTAATATAAGTATCATTTAAGTGTCTAAAACTGCAGCAAAAAACCTTCTAATGGTGTGCTGAGTGACAACACATTGCACCTTTGCATTTATCAATTGTATTATTCACTAAATCTGGAAGGGCTACAGCTCTCCAAACTACCTTTGCTTAATGAGTTTAACCTGTTTATCAAGATAAAACATAGGTGATGGGTAATGCTGTATTTATAACAAACTTTATCTTTAAACATAAAATTAATACATACATTTCATCATCATCATTACAGCATTGTTGATGTTGCCTGATATCATTGATAGAAACATAAAGTTTGCAGTTGAAACACATAACAGTGGGTGCAGGATCACAATTTCCCTTGGAGGAGAGAGGTTTGAGATAAATAAATACACCTTTGTTAAAGGTCCTGTCTTTATAAATTCATTCAATAAAGAAAAAGAAACTTTTTCTTTCCATATCTCTTTAATTATCTATTACAAAAATTTAATAGAAACTACTTACATCATCTTCACTCAAGTCAAAATCTACACAAGGTGTCATACTCAAATTGCATTGGATTGGTCTGATAAATGCCACAGCCTGTCCTAACCCCGATAAATCCCTCAAAAATGGCACGTTATATCCAGATCGAGGTGGTTGGATTACGATCAGGTCACTGGCCTGCACACCCCGTCTCAAAATGTCAAATCCTCCACCATCTTTTAGGCCCCTACAAGTTGATCTTTAGTTTCTGGTCCGCCGCCCGCATCCGTTATTTGGAAATGATTATTTTAGGACTATTTTAGTGTTAACAATAAATTTCGGGTACTTGAAAATTTTCGTTTGAGATGTTTGTTTCTGACATACGGCATGGCTCCAAAATCACCCGATGTAAATACAAAATACTGTTATTGGTGACCACGCCTTCTATGTTAAAAGCAAACATTATTTCAACGAACTCTTGTGTTGGGGGTTCGTCAATCGCGTGAAATTGCTGTATTAAAGGATACAAAAATCTACAAAATGCCATACTGTAATTTATGTCCTATAGTCCTAACCGCCCGCCCGCCCGCGTCCTTAACGAAAGTAACCCCGGACCAGAAACTAAAGATCAACTTGTAGGGGCCTTAGTTTCGGATACACCTCTTCCAGCTTGGCTTTCACATCAACAGCATTTGCTCTTGCTTGAAAGCATATTTTTCTTTTCCCCAGCCCCGCTTCTTGAAGCTGCTGTTTGAGGACTAAGTTAGGGGCAGCGTACTGCTTACAGTTAGCCAGGCAGAAAAAGGTATGTGTCCAGGTCTCACGTTTGTATTGAGTTGCACTTTGAGCTTGTTTTCTTCGCTTCGGTTGGGAGGCAGATTGATTAATCGAGTTTATACTACCTCTCCTATCCCTGTACGGAGCAAAAAGATTGCGAAAATTTCCCAAAGCACGTTGTGCACTGTTCTCGTTTGAGGGTTGTGATGTGACTGGTGACAACATGCATGTTGTTGTAGTAGGGGTCGCTTGTGAAAGTGGCTGTACTACACTTGAACTTGAAGACGATGAAACAACCTGAGCTCTATTATCTGTGCTGGAATGATTTGTTAAATTGTTTTCTGAAGATTCAACATGTTCAGCAATCAATCTTGTCGCCTCTTGTAACAACGAAACAGCGCGGCGCCGATCAAAATTTCCATCTTCGGAGGCCATTTTGTCTTATAATCATATAAATATTTCGCGCCAAAGCCGCCAAATTACCATGGCGTGACTTGCCCACGTGGTCACGTGGTCACACTAATGATCGTTTGCACCCAGTACCCACAATGTACCCCGTTCCCCGTACCTACTCGAATAATGAAATTGCTCCAAATGAAATTGCTCCGAATGAAATTGGTCATAATGAAATTGTTCATAATGAAATTGTTCCGAATGAAATTGGTCATAATGAAATTCTCAAGAATGAAATTGCTCAGAATGAAATTGTTCTGAATGAAATGCTTTCATTGCAAAAACGCATCTTTAAATCGTGTAATTGAATGTCTGCATTTAATAATTTGAACACTTAATTTCAAAAGTGAATGAGGTAATATTGGCGGATATCACACCTCATAGTGATAGGACAACTTGTTAACAAGTTGTAACAAATTTATTGAATCAAAAGACTTGTTACAAGGCTTTAATTTCCAAAAAGTTTGGTACAAAAATGATGTGACAATACTGCTACAATCTTTTGCTGTCAAGTTCGTAGTAATGTTGTTGTATCACATCTGATAAGACCTGTCAGAACAATCTTGTAACAAGTCTGATAATGCCATCCGACTGGCTACAAATTGTTAACAGCTTGTTCCAAACTTGTTACAACAAATTGGAGCAAGCAGTGCGAACAAATCTTGTTGCAAGCTTGTGAACAAACTTCAAACAACTCTGCCGCAAACTTGTTACAACTTGTGCGTTTTCACGCGAGTACGAATGCGAGGGCATTCGAGGGCACTCGTGTACGAATGCGAGGGCACTCGTGAACAGGGATGTAACTTAAAGAGGGGGAGGGGGGAGAGGGTTGCCATCAGGCTAGAGTTTCAGCTTGTTTAACATGACAACATAAGCCACACTGACTCTCAGCCCGGACTGAATAAAACAAGCATACTTCAAAGACTGAGTAGATTTAATTCTTCTTAATCATTTGGAATCAACTGATATATTAGCAATAAATTTTTCAAGGGGGGGGGGGTAAACGGCCGCTACGTACCTCTGGCTACGTCGCTGGTTGGAAGCATGTTTCCTGCACATATACAAACATTAAATAAATAACCATGCTTTGGTTATGATGTAAAATATTTTCAGATGGATAACCACGCTGGTTTAATGGTCAATGACATGTCCTATGTAAAGTTGCAAGCATGTCAGGTTCTGATATACAAATATTAAACAATATACCATGCTAAATTTGTCAGATATTTTGATATGGAGAACCACGCAGGAAGTCGCAAGCATGTTTCGTTCTCATATACAAACATTAAACAATATCACCACGGCTTTGTTTATGATGTCAAATATTCTAACATAGACAACCACGCTGGTTAAATGGTCAAATGCCCAGTTCCCCAGTTAAAACAAACAAAGGCCCACTTATAACAATGTTAGGCTAATTTATTAGTCATTTACCATGCAACCTGTTTGAGACTTCATTTGGGCGCTGGTCTTCAAAGCATAAACACAAGTCACTTCACATGCTCAAAATTTCATCTGAAATCGTTATCAATGATAACGTCTTTCTACAGAGGAGAAGTTTCAGTATCTCTGTCGCGCTGTCGTTCGTGTAAAAACATGTATAATATGCCTTTTGTGCGAGATTTGGGCAAATATTTCTGCCAAGTGGTCCACCTTCACCACGTGTAATGCCCAAAAGTCCAGGTTTAAAATCTAAATTTTTCTTATAACACTAACGTTGCTTTTTATTTAATTCAGACAAGATTCTGACGACTTAAAGCCAAGCTTGACGATGAAATTCGTGAACAAGGCTGAAAAGGCTGAAATGGCTCAAGATGACTCGCCTTTCAAGAGAGGGCACGACTAGCTTTTTCTCGGAGCTTATTGGTGAAATGAAAAAGGTAATATATACGCGCTAAAATCTGTGTGAATTTGCGGACGTTTTGATGTCGTGCGGTCCAGCTGCATCCTATAACCACCAACCTTCGTTTCAACTAGAGTAAATTATATCTCTCAATTAACACCGCCTTATACTCTTTTCAGGCAGAGTTATAAGAGCTAAAGTCAAACTAAAAGAATTACCGTGGGAAAGAAATTCGCCGTCGATAAGACGATAACGGCTGAAATTGTACGAGATGACTCGCGTCTAATGAGACAGCAAGTCCGAAGCTGCTCGTCTGGTAGTTGATAAAATGAACAGGTATATATCTATTCGTTTCTATTTAATTCACATACATGAAGATGGGAGAAGTGGGAAAGTAGCTCCCAAAAATATCATCCACAGGCCAAACCCACCTTCCCAGTTCCCTGGCCCTCCCCACACCATCTTGAAGATGGATTACAGCATTACAGTGACTTCTGATTACAGCATTTATTTACAAAGACTTCTGATTACAGCATTTATTTACACTGACTTCTGATTACAGCATTTATTTACAAAGACTTCTGATTACAGCATTTATTTACAAAGACTTCTGATTACAGCATTTAATTATTTACAGTGACTTCTGATTACAGCATTACAGTGACTTCTACGCATGTGTTCTCCCCATAACAATGGGCATGATACTTGATTGAAAATTGATTAGTGGTAGAATTGGCTAATCAGAATCTTGTATTTTCGAGTTAGCTACCAGATAACTACACAAAATCTAGTTAAGCATTTTATACAAACGGTACCAGGACTGAAACTAGGGCGCATATTTATATATTCAGCTCTGCCCAACAGATTTCTTTTGAAAACAAATATGTGTACAAAAGAATTCGTCGGCAAGAACTGAATATATGAATATGCATCTCCTCCCACCAATTATTGGATATAATAACTTAACTGGTTGTTTTGATTCAAATAGAAGGGACACGTGACTGCACACGAGATGTGAACAAATTCTTTACAAACGCACAAAAACATGGTTAATGAATTGTATTGTGTCAGTCGTTTAGTCTTCAAACCGTGTTTTAACTGGGACCTGGTACGAGTGAACAACATGGTTTGTGAAATCTTCACTTTCCTTACTGATAATCAATACTTGTTTATAAAGTCTTTAACGATTTAAAGTTCAATAACAGGAAGCGAGAAGTCATCGTGTCGCAGGACAAATATCTTCCCCGGGAGATATGACCTGAGATTACTATGCGCCGTGTCGCGTATTTCAAGGTTTCTGTTCACAAGATTAAGTGGCAGCGAAATAATTAGTTTGACCAACCATAAAACATCATTCCCATGACTATATTGCATGCAGGCGATTTGTTTTCGTCCAACATTGCCGCTCCCGACGCTTGTGTGACTCGTTTCAGGCGACATGTTCCTGCGACTTGTCGCTCCGTGTGCTGGCCCTTTTAAACAAGAGTAAATCGCTTTCTGCTAAACATCAACCACTGATGGTGAAACGTGGTTCTGAAACACTTCTAAGTAATCTTAAACCCTCTAAAGTAATGCTATTTCTCCCAATTCTCAAATGACCATCGTAACATTTACGAAGTTTAAGTGCGTCTGCGAGTAATGGTAAATGTTTCTCTGTGAATCCATTGTTGCTTACATCCAACTCAGTGAGCTTACATCGTTCATCTCCAAGAGCCTGGCACAAGCTCGGCATGCATTCGTCTGTTAACGAACAACTGGAAATTGTTAACTGGGTAAGATGACATGTTCCTTTCTGAAGAACAACGCACAATTCACGTACACCTTCATCACCTAAACAATTTCTTCGAAGGTCCAATGATGTTAGTCCACAATGTTCTTCATCAAGAGCGCCGCACAACGTGGAGATACATTTCTTTGTTAAAGAACAATCGGAAACGTTTAACTCAGTAAGGTCACATGTTTCCTTTCCAAGAACACTGCACAAGGCACGAAAACCTTCATCTCTTATAGCATTGCTACCAAGGCTCAAGGATCTTAGTCTGCAATGTTCATTACCGAGAAATTTCACAAGCCTAGGCATGCTCTCACTGGTCAAAGCACAGGAGGTAAGAACCAGAGTATCAAGTTTTAACTGCCTTTTTTTCATTGCGATTGATAGAATACGAACACCTTCATCACAAATAGGATTGTAACTAAGGTCAAGGTCGGTCAACTGATCATAAACCTGACTATCTAAAACATGAGCCACACCAGTAGCAGTAATACCGTTACCTCCAAGAATCAATATAGTGAGCTTGGAACACTCGTGATTCACCTGACATTCAGATTTCAATAATGCACCAAGACGCTCCAGACACAAGTCACCAAAATGACAACCAATGATGGTCAGTGATTTCATGCATCTTCCTTGGAGTAATTTAACTAATTCTAGCGAACAATCAGAGCTAGATAAACTGAACACATGTAAAGTATTTAAAGCCTTCATATGCTTGCAAAGAAACACAACTGCTGCTGCATCGCTTGGAGAAAGCAATTGTGCGCCAGGCAGTGAACATGATATCACAGTCGCATCTTTTAAAATCGAGTTCGCAACAATTTCTTTGGCAATATTTTCATTCTGTGTTTCTCTTAAACATTTCATCCCTAATGTTTGACGACCAAGTTGCAAACACACATTCATTTCATTTTCAAGACATTTTTTAAACATAAACACGCAGCTTCTGTTTTCACGAGATGTCTCCATCTTCTCTCGCAACAATCCAGCAAGAAACTGAAGCACGAGATGCCATCTGCCATGATTGATATGAGAAGATATAAATTCTTTTACTTGTTCGGGTGTTTTTGTTTCCACAATATACTTTGCTGCGAGAAATTCTTGTATGGTTAAATGAATGAAGCAAACCTGTGTTTGAATTTGAAAAATTGGATGAGGTAAAGAGTTTATTAATCCTGACCCTTTCATTTTGGCATCAACTAGCTCTCCATTGAAAATCAGTTCATCATTTTTCATACCATTGAAAGCCAACTGTTGAAGTTCCTTTAAAACTTCTTTGCTTTTATTCCGGTCATGATGCTCATTAAAGTACAACACTACGGCAGACTGGTACAGTTCAGTCAAAGTAGTTGGTAGAGCCCCAATATCACCCTTTGAATTAATGAGATATCTGAGCAGACAATCACACACAATAAAACAATTCACTGGAATGTAGCATAAATTCATCAGTTCAGATGATGATTTGATATGACTCAATAGCGTTGCTTCTAGATCGCACCTGTTATGATTAGCACAAAACTTTTTAACATACTGTTCAATTTTATCTGATGTGAACCCAATAATCTCAACTGTTCTGTCAAATTTCATTTTGCACAAAACATCATTCACAGTTGGCCTGCTGGTCACCAAGACTGTTGCTCCTGGTAACATGTCGCCAGACAAGATTTTGACAAAAAGAGACATTGCTGACATTTGGCAAGAAACATCAGTATTCGAATACATTCTTGACTGAGCTAGGACACGCTGATAATTTTCACCAAGATTGACACCAAATTCATCCAAACCATCAAAAACAAAAATAGCATTTTGTGGATTTCTTAAAATTTCTTCAAAAATACTTTCAAACTCATCTTCGTTCAGTTCAGTTCCAAACTGTAGAAATTTTTTAATTGTTATGTCTTGCATCTTATTGAAATTGAACTCTCGGAATTTAAAGTAGAAAGGGACCTTGTTGTGATAAATTTTATCATTATGTTCTTTTGCCCAATTGTACATAATTTTCCTGGTCAAAACAGTTTTTCCAATCCCCGGACGCCCAAGTACCAAGATGGTGTAAGGAAAATTATAGTCAGTGTCTTCGTTTGCATAAAATAGATCTTTAATCTCCTTCAGATGGATTGATTTTTCAGGAATTTTTGTATAAACATCATAGATCTCATGCCTAGACATTTCTTTTGAAAACCTGTGTGGTGCTCGCTCAGTATGGATAACAACATCAATAAACACATCATCCAAGCTTATATTATTCAAACCATAATTTATATCAGGTGTCAGACAAGGCTTTAAAACCTTTTGCTTGTAAATGTCACGACTGTTAGGTACATATTGCTTTCGAAGAAAGTGTTTATTAATAAATTGCCAATCACATGACCAAGTAACAGAAGATTGAGGGGTGACACTGGGAAATCGCAGCAATAGCAGATAAACAACTTCTGCTAATGCAATTACAGCAAAAATGAGATTACAAACAGACACAATTGTCAACCAAAACTGTTTATCTTTGGCGGCCGAGTTCGTACATTTTACACTGGATAAGTTGGCACTTCCATTATTTGCTGGAGTCATGTTAGGATCAACTGATCTCAATTCGGGATAAACACAAGTGAATTGTGAATCAAAACCACTCGGATACAATACGGTATGTTGTAGAATTGTGAATAATATACAGAGCATTGAACGAGCCACAAGGTGGAACAAATAGAAATTGAAAACATAAAAGGTTTTTCTACCTTGTTCATTGTTCCCTTTCGCGACTGTTTTAGGTTCATCACTTCCGCTTGAGAGTCTTTCTGCATCTTCGATACGATTGCCAACAGCAAGCGAATAAACGACACTCACAACAACAACAGAACCAAAATTGAACAGAACAAAAGCAAAGAATTTCACAGGAGAGTTGTACTCGTCATCGTAGATTGAAAAACACGTTTTCTCGACATAACTTTTGTGCGGTGCATGTTTTGTGTCAACAGCACAACTGAACTTTTCCATCTCGCTGAGTCTCAGAGCCGTGGTAATTGCTGTGAATATCACTCCACAGTGAAAACGGATGACCACACATATGTAGGATAAGATGCTAAATCTCTTGGGTGAGATGTATTCTTTAATACCATCCATTATTTTGAAAGAAATAAGAATATTTACTTCACGATGTATATTTTAGCCGAGACTGTGGCGTCTCTCACGACGTAAAGTGTTATTTTAAAATAGACCACTGAGCAAAACAATACCCAACCTCTTCCCTGAACAATACCGTCTGTCGCAATATGCAAAAACATGTAATTCTTTAAATTCCTGTTCTGCAATAACATAAAGAAAATATCAGTGCTAGAAATGAGTTGTAATTCACAAACAAAATATTTGATGCACAATTCGATCAGAATATGGTCTTTATACGTTTACGTATAAACAAGTTTCAGAGAACGCCAAATTCAGTCGAGATACAGAACAAAATTTTTCGGGACAGACGACAGAACTTTTTTGGCTAAATCGTCAAATGTAAACTCAACCGTTATGAAACTCATCGACAGAAATTTATTGTGGTTTCCAGCTAGTGGAAGGTGATGCAGGCAAAGTTTCCGTTCCTTTACTCTCTCTCTCTCTCTCTCTCTCTCTCTCTCTCTCTCTCTCTCTCTCTCTCTCTCTCCTCTCTCTCTCTCTCTCTCTCTCTCTCTCTCTCTCTCTCTCTCTCTCTCTCTCTCTCTCTCTCTCTCTCTCTCTCTCTCTCTCTCTCTCTATATATATATACACATAACAAAAGATTTCCCTATAACGATGCGTGCACGTACGTCTAGAAGACATTTCCCAAGTGTAAACTTTTTTCTGATACACCCTGTATAATAATTGAAATACGTCGCACTTCGTCTCATTTTATTTTAATGTTTTCCCTTTGTTAGACGATTCCAGTTTCTGCGGATTTTTCACCAGACTGATGTGCTAGTGAGTTTGAATCTCATTAACTTAGTCTTAACAGAAACCGGCCATGACCAGCCGACAATTTAAAAAAGTAAAGTAAAAAGCAAATTCCGAATGAACAAGACATCTTGAGAATCAAAATATAATTCAAACAAGACACAGATTGAGTCATCTTCAGACAGAATGACTGTGACACTGTGTAATAAAGTCGAAAATTTACAGTCAGATTGAGTCATCTTCAGACAGAGATTGAGTCATCTTCAGACAGAATGACTGTGACACTGTGTAATAAAGTCGAAAATTTACAGTCTCAATCTGTGTCTTGTTTGAATTATATTTTGATTCTCAAGATGTCTTGTTTATTCGGAATTTGCTTTTTACTTTATAGTCTTAACAGACTCAGTAGTTTTCAGCGGTTTACATGCATGTCGGATTTCGTTAATCAATTTGGACGAATTTTCTTACGTAAAAAGCGTCAAACGATGCCAATTTAACTATATATTTACGCCGTATAGTTAGTTTTACAAACATAGCTCTTGAGACGTCACACGGTGAATTAATTGCGTGAACTACCGGTAAGGAATGACGACCATGGCATCGCCACAATGACATAGATAAAACAAACCTCTTTCTTAAAATTTCTTATGGTTTAAATATCAAGTATAAAGACTCTTAAAACCTATTTTTATATCCACGTTCTTTGTTCCAGGCCATTTATAGTCAATATGTTGAACTGGAATAAAGAAAAGCTTATTCCTAAACGGAACGTATTGCATCTTGCTCTCCTTAAAGGTTTAAAATTAACACAATATGTAGTTAAAAATACCAAGAAATCTGGCAGTTTTAGGAGGGAGCTCAATTACGATTTTGTAGTACCGTACATAATGTGTTTCACCTCTAGCCCAGTTCCAACGAATAGTGTGAATTCTGTTGTCTTTACCGGTTGTGGCGACAGGGAGTTCGAAACTATAGTCTATAGAGAAATCTTGCAGGCTGGTATTAATAATATATAGATTCGGTTATATCTTCTCATGAAGTGTTCTATTAAACATGAAAGTGAAGATAAATAATATAATAATTTCACCCTGAGCCAGAACTCGCGACTGACTTGTCATGACTCTGAACGACTCACGTGAAACACGATACGAATTAGTGATCTACCCCAGCATATTGGGTTTAAATTCTCAGTAGGATTTCTTTCCTCCTAAGTAAAACTAATATAGAAATGCAAGTGTATTTCGAAAGCTACTGTTCGCCAAAAATAAACGGAAATAACAAGCCTTTCCATGGCAAAAGATATCAAAACGCCAATACGCTATTCTCACGATGACGTCAAACGTGGAATCCCTGACGTCACACAAAATTCTATTGGCGCCGCCAAACGAGCCAATCAAACTTAACGTAACATAATTAACATTAGCCTTACCGCGTTTGACGTTAACTTGAAAAGGTTCTATGTACAATCACGTCCAACATGCCAATTAATTGAATATCTGAGCTAAATTTCTTTGTATCCTAAAACGGGTCGAACTATCCATGACGTAAACATATAATGGTTTGTTTACATTTTGAACTGTTATATTTCTTCTGTTTTAACTATCGTGGACCGTCAGAGAATTTAACACCATTTTGGTTCTCTGTAATTGTAAATGAATTAATATGAGGAAGAATTATGCTTGTGAAAAATTCGCATTTTAAATTAGGTTTGTTTGTGCTGGTGACTCTGACTCTCAGAAACAGAGGCTACGTTCAACGGGATCGGGCGAATTTCGTCCGGTTCCTGCGTTCATACGGAAAACAATCGATGAAAGTTTGACCAGTTCTACATGTTTAAGCCCGGCGGACACTGAAGGAAACAGCTGCAAGAGCTGAGCGTCACTCGTGGCCGTTGGCTGAGCTGTTTCCTCAAGTGTGCAAGTGTCGTATTCTGCGTTTTCTGACACGCGTGCTATATCGGCGTCGGATATTCAACACGTTGAATAATTTTGTGCAGGAGTGAAGATTTCCTGACAGTGCCCGCGTCCTGAGCTATCAGCTCAGCAGTTGGAGCGAATGATACTCGCGTAAAATGAATTAAGAGTTGGTTCAAACACATTTAAAGTTAAGAAACATTACATTCATTACTTTTTGCAGTCAACAAATCATTTAAGACTGAACGGCAGCAAAAAGTGAGTAAATGGGTTACTCTGTACTGATTCAGCAACTATTGAGTTATTTTCCTCCCACTTAAGTTGTGAAAATAATTCAAAATATGAAAAGAACATACACGCATTCGCACGAACTGCTGAGCCGATAGCTCAAGTCTCGTGCACAAAATTATTCAACATGTTGAATATCTTACGCTGATAGCAACTAGCAAGCGTGTCAGAAAACGCAGAATACGTCTGGACAAAATCGAGCACGGCACGAAATTTGTCTGGTCCCCTGTGAACGCAGACCTCAAAGCTCTTTTGCAATCCACGAATCGTATCACTAACATGAATTCCAATTGATTTTTTTAAGCTCAAGTATAATTTACTATATTTATACTATTACACATTCCTTAACTGGCAGCCGGAACTTTAAACCAAGCCTGCAATTAGACTTCCTAATCAGTTTGCGTTGGCGTGTAAACACGCTTTTGAAGGATGCCGACACGTACACCAAAATCTTCCAGGGCGAACGTTGCAAAATATTTCGAATTATCGATATTTCGAATCTTTACAGGGTCTTAATTTTATCGTATCAAACAAACTCACCCAAAAGGAATAAAGGATGCAACAACACAGCAAATAATGGTTTTTAAGCATTTTGATCGGTTGACTGACTGGTGGAATCTGAGCTGAGACATCGTATCGCAAAGCCAAAGGTGCAATTCCTGCCGAATAACCGATAGTTGAGTCGTTTTTCTCAAGTGTTCCTAGCATGAATTTGAGTTTAGATGTGTATAGTTTCCACTCGAAATTAAGACCTTTTAACCCTTTGGCTAAACATGCATGTGTTCTACAATCTATACATTTTGGAATAACAAACAAACTATAGTAATAGTAATAATATATAAATTAAATCGGACACCGGTTCACGGTATTATAATGCCAATTATTATGCCTGCGTAGCCTAGGCTCTACTATACTAACATGCAGGGTTTAACTTTGAACTTGATTCTTACAGCTAGTGCATCATTGAGGAGATTTGAAGCGGGCTTTAGTCAAGGCTTAGGTCAGGAAATCTAGACCAAGTTTTAAGGACATGATAATCTCGCCGACTTGCATGAGTGCGTTTCAGCGTTTACACTACGAATGTTTATGTTTGCACTTTGCCGAAATTGCCAAACTGCTACCTCCTCAGCCCGCAGGCCCTTTTCCGGGCAAATGAGGCGGGCATAGATCAAATTGGGAGATGTACGTATACATAGCATTATACTCCGGACTGACTAAGTCTAGTTCCAATTTTTTTTATCAATCACTGTTCCTTGAAGGTTACAAGACTCCGACGACTGTGTCAAACACGTGCCAGGGCTAAACATTCCATGTAATATAATTCCGGTCAACCTGACTGTAATTTTCAAACAGACGTGACTTGCTTACGATCAATGCATAACAGTGATAACACACCAAACAAGGCAAACATCATATTCTGTTGAGAACATAAGAGACATTTCGTCATCAATTGTACCCAAATGGAGAGTAAACGTCCATCACATTACATTTTCCATTTCGGTGCAAATGACGACATTCCTCACTCTACTCTTGGGCATTCGGCTGAATTCGAATTAAAACCTCGCTCACACTCAAAGTCATTAAGTGGGAGATCTCAACCTCTTTGACTCAACGACGGCATTTCCGCTCGAATAAGAGCATGAATATTAGTGTTATATCTTAAATTTTCCATTGCTTAAAAAAGGAGAGAGATTGAGATACCAATGTGGTCATGAGGTGAGCTCTTTAAATACAGATAATTGGTATGTCATTGATCCTAAGCAGGTCACGTCTGTTACATTGTTGTTGTTATTGTAAGATTTGTAACTATTTGTGACTGAAATTTTCCCATTGGTTCACATTTAGTCGCTAAAAAAAGTTTGATACAATTATAAACTTTCTAGACTAGCAAATCGTGCAAGGTTTAAGTTTTGTATTATTAATATTTCACATTAAGTTTTCAGTTGTCTCCCACTCAACTACATATAAGGCATCCATCTTAAAGTTTCCATTTGGCGATAGAAGATAAGCAGCCTTTACAAAATTACTTTTTTACTTCTAAGTGGTATTTGAGAGCAATGCGGAGGAATATAGCAGAGCACGTGAGCGGATAAGGCGCCAAATCACGGATTTCAATGGAGGATTTACAACATCTGCAGGACGTGTTGTTTCCGACCAGGGCCGGGCCAGTTATGTTCCTGGACAGTTTACACTGAATAACACATATGTCGAAATTGGGATATAGTTTATGCATAGTATGAAAGCACCTAGCCTCCTTAAACTAATATTATATGGAGTATAGAAATATTACGATTTACATTAGTAACTTTAGTGCACTGTGCACGGTATTTTATATGTTCAGTCATGATTTGGAACTCCATATTAAAAATATAATTTTGGTTATCTGATTTCTGAGGCCTTAACTTTGGAGTTTTATTATCAGGGAAAGTTAATGACACGTTAACGCAAATGCCCATGGCAATGAGCGTAGAATACGTAAGTTAAACCGTAGCAATCACGCAATGAAAACAAATGATTAATATCAAAACAAGAGTCAAACGCCAACGGCTTTTGTTTTTAATATGAGGCAGTTCCAAAGAAAATGTATGCGGTCCGGTCGTGTTATGACTAATTTAGGTTACTTTCGTTTCATTTCGGAAGAAATCGGGCTCTGAGAACAGGCAATACTCGGAAATAAATAAATACACAAAAAAGGTAGACACTTAAACTCTTTAAAGGTCGATTCAATGTCATATGATATCATCCTACTTTCACAATCGCATTCGTTGAAATTAACACGAACTAGCTCGCACCACGGTTTGCACAGACTTAACAACGAATTGCAGCAAATTATGGTACATAAAAAAACCATTCAGCCACCATAATTTTTTGTTACACTATACAGTCTATATCATAGCCCGGAATAGCTTACAGGAGTTACAGAATATAGATTATCGGACTATTTTCCTGTGCATTATTAATCGGGGTTTTGACGTCATAAGCCTCGTTGACCTCATTTTGAATGACATCTGTAATATAATAAACAATTAACACGAAGTCACGTCTTACGAATAGCAATTCGTTTGAAGCAAAACTTTGTTAGAATCTTTTTGTAAGCCCTTTAAGATTCAAGGCCATTTTGTTTCCAACGCATTTGATTCATTGCAATTTACTTCAAAAAATTTAAAACGGAGGAATATATAGTCAACAAACACTGCAGGTCTTGTATTACGTTTCCCGGGCGGGGGAGGCTGGCGTCAAAAGGTGTGAATAGCTTCAGTGACGTAACAAGTATTCAAAAACATCGTCAGAACCCTTCCGAGTGCGTCTTCATCCTGTGTGACGCTGCCCTGAGCGCAAGGGATATAAAGCCAGTGCGTTTGCTTGCCACAACCACAACACATCGAGCTTCAAGAACGAGTGAAACAGAAGACAACTACAAACTTGTAAGTAAAATTTGTCCACTATAAACTTACTTTTTGTTTAACTCTTTCACTATCGATTTCATCATTGAATATATTGAATATATCTGTCATTGTGTATCTGTCATATATTCTCACATCAATAATACATATGGCTTTTGAAATTTGATTGACTCCAACACTGCGACGTGTATATATGTAACCGCATGATATAACTGTTGTAACTTGCAAAACAGTTTAAAAATTCTATTAGGGCGCTTGCCTTAATATAATTAATCAAATTATAAATATAAATCAGTCATTGAACTATTAATATATAACGTCGGCGGCTGTATTCGCAGATCACTGCGTCTGCGATGATATAGGTGAGGTAAAAAAATATGTTTAGCGATATATACTTTATCTGCGAAGAGTCTTAGTCATATCATGTTCCTTGTATTGTGTTTTTTTGTACACAAAGCTCAAAGGTTAGAAAAAGGATATTTTATCGATGTCCGGTTGTTATTTAATACTATAATCATGCAAACCAACATCCGCATATAGAAGATGAAATGACGTCCGTCGTCCGTGAACGAAACGAAAGTTATAAAACTTTTCGTCGGCTTCTGGTATCGATTCCACATTTCCACTCAAAACAGGGAGCTTTCGCGTTGAGAACGACGAGTTCCACTAACTGTGGTTCAACTGCGAGCACAAGTTTCGTGATTATCGCGTGAATTGCGTGTTGTTTGCTTAATAAGCGTCAAAAGCCCAACAACTACGAGATTCGTCATATGGCGTGGGCAAACAGCGTCGAGTTTGGCGTGAAAATGGCGAATCGTGTACTCGTAGTTACTAGTCACTGCTAAAGCTCCCTAATAATGGCAGGACCGTTGATCTGAAACACTGCTCAGTCGAATTTTGAGTTTTCGTAGTTAGTGGAATCGAACTTTGGCTCAAATTCATTTAGGGGCATTGCAAGCCAATATTGTGTTTGCTATAGTCATGCTATGCTAATATTTTGGTGTTCGTCGACTGTTAAAACAATGAATTTCTAAAGAAATGAATAATGATAATAACATAGAATTTGCATATATCGTTGGGCTGGCTACGCCACTGTCCAAACTACGAAACCCTCGTGATCGAATTGCCAAACCGAACGTGACTTGTTAGTGAGATGCAAATCATGCAATTTAACTACCCGAAATGTGGTTAAAGGAACAAAAAGCCTTTGCTTATCTATAACGAGGAGTAGGCTACGGAAGCTTACAAGAGGCAATGTTCATGAAATAGTACACGCACGTATGAAAACCAAATTGAATTATTCTCCCCCCTCCCTTAAAAATCTCAGGCTACGAATGCAATGCAATCACTCTCGAGGTGAACTTCGATATACTCAAAGAATACACACGTACGTGTTACATACATACAAAAAATTGGCAAGGCTCCATATTGTCGTTAAATGACGAACATATGAAATAGTAAAATATGTATATGTGAAATACGGTGAACTAAACGGGTCTTAAGATTAGAATATTGATTTGCAATTTTCTTTTTTTCATGTAGATTAAAGTCATTGATTAAACGATATCTTACAATGGAACACTATCAGGTAACCAGTTAAATAACGAATGCTTCACTGATTGTGAAGTTTGTAATATGAGATTAATCCAAGAGAGATAAGTGCGAACGTGTGAAACTTGGGTTCTAACGAATGCCATATTTCTTCTCAGGTGGAAAAGGAAGGAATTAGAAAGTTGACCGTTACAGTCATTAGTGCAAAAGGTGTGACCGTTGGAAAATGGTCAGACAGAGGTAAATGAAATATTATTTTTAACCCAACCAAGACCTCATCTGCTTCGATGATACAGATTCTTTGGTTCTCTGTTGTGAAGGCGTTTTTTATCGTTTCTTTCTCAATGTAGTGGACACACCAGACCCGTACGTCTTGCTCCGAGTTCGAACAAGTCCGAACGCAAAACAAAAAACAGAGACCAAAGCGAACGACGTCAATCCAGTATGGAACCAGAATTTTACATTTTATTTGAATCCAGACAGGAAAAACATATTAGGTATGTTTAGATTTTTGATTGAATGATCAGTCTTCAGGCTCGATGATCCGTAGTTACATTTTCCTTCAATTTATTATTCACAGAATTGATAATGATGGATGAAGATTTCGGATTTGATGATAAAGTCGGAAGGGAAGAAATTGAGGTCGATCATTTTCTCCCGAACACAAAAGTAACAAAGACTGTTCACTTCAGTGGGGTAAGTTTTCGATGCCTGCCACGTTTTTAGTGATTAAAAGTTTTCGGTGCCTGGTACGTTTTTAGTGATTTAATCTGAACTAATTTATGTGTCTCTTGTACAAAAATTTCGTCCAGATGAAGGTCATTAATTGGAAATTTGATCATGATTAATTTAAATTTATAATAAGTCGGCCGCAAAGTGGCAAAAACTGTCTCATTTGAAACGTAAATTAGCCCATGCAATGCATATAATTCTATATATTTTAATCATGAAATTCTTTTCTTCTTCATAGAAAACTACGTTGGAAATTGCGCTTTCTGTGTCCTACGAGTAAGTTGTTATTTTTACGAAATTTTTCACCACGGTTGTTGTCAGTCCATGACTGAATCCCCTTGTCTGGAGGCTGTTATTGTAATTCAATTTTTGAGTGAATTTTGGTTGATCATATTGCTGAGTTTGCTGTGAATTATCTTGTATAGCGACACCAGAGAGCTGAGATTGAGTTACGATTTATGCGATGAGGAAAAAGAATTTATCAAGAAACGAAAGGAAGAAGTATTCAAAAGAATCCCTAAAATTAGCAACGCAAATGAAGTACCCAGCTCAGTACATGAGGTAAGAGATATATTTTAAAAGTAAAAAGATGGTATCATAACTATCATTAACTTCAATTCATATCGAAGTTCTAGACTCTTGAATGATAAACAATTATTTTCCAGGTACCAACTATTGCTATCATGGGATCAGGAGGTGGTTATAGGGCAGCTTGTGGTTTATCAGGAGTATTCTGTGCACTCCAGCAGGAAGGAATCTTAGATTGTGCTACATATGTTACTGGACTATCCGGATCTTCATGGTATGAACAAGAATTATGTTTGAATAGTGGAATACTTCATGTTGTTAACATCAAGTGGTTTCATAGGTACATATCGTCATTGTACGCAAGAGAGGGCTGGCCGGATCATTTGGCTTGTGACGAAATGGCCAAAGATTTACGACAGCGTTTCAATACCAAACTCCGAAGCCATTTCAATGTGTTCGACTTTAAGCATCGTTTGGAAAAGAAAGCAAAAAGCGGTCAACTCGTTCGCTTCACCGATGTTTTCGGCATGGCAATCGGAAATGCTTTGCTTCCGGTAAGTGGAAACAGAATTTTCCACGGTTGCAAAACCTCGGTTGCAAAACTATCCACATAAAAGTTCTGCCTAAAGCACGTTTAATTAAGTATTGTTGGGGGGTTTTTTCCAGAATCAACAATCGAAATTGAGTTACCAGTCGCAAAAAGTAAGACGTGGGGAAGTACCGCTGCCCATTACAACTGGAATTCGCGTTCGTAAGGACTTGCCGGCAGCCGAATTCAACGGTAAGCTTCACGTTAAGAATTTCTGATCATAATTAGCCATATTCTACGGTATAAACACCACTGATGTATACACTAGCACTTGTAAACGTATCGTAAGCAGACTTTTTATGGTGTCCGCCATGTTGAATGACCGAGTTAGTTATTTACCAGCAAGGGGTAGGTTATTTATTCATTAAAATTGTTTGCCTTTCAGAATGGGTAGAGTTCAGTCCCTTTGAATATGGCGTTGCCAAATACGGTGTCTTTGGAAAGACTGAAGAATTTGGCGGGAAATTCTACAAAGGAAGTTTGGTGAAGAAATTTGCAGAACCACCACTCCACTATTTACAAGGTAACTTGCAGTCAGTGTTCGTTAAGAAGAGTGTCGAGACGTTTACCAGTGTCGTATTAACGTTTTCTGACGAAAGTACATGTATTTCTTTACAAGGAATCTGGGGAAGTGCTTTTAGCATCATATTGAACACACTAAAAGGTGGTGACACGAAATCTGAGGACGAAACAAGTTAGTTGATTTCAATTCATTTATATTTTATTTGTTTTGCCAAAATATATGCTATACATCTTCTTGGACTTAGAAATAATCACCCAATGACATGTCTTAATTAGATCTATTTCATCTAAGTGGCAAAAAATACTTTCAATTTCAGAGAAAGCTGTTTTGGACGAGGCAGAGCGATTGAAAGGTGAAGATGACGACAGCGATGACGAAGAAGATCATGATGATGATGAAATCAAAAGTAAATATTAACTATATTTTGGCGCGAAAAGTCATTACTTCTCATTCGAAGAATCTGTTAATATTGTACCATGAGATTGTAAAAATGCATGGCTGTAAATTCTTTAAAATTGCTATAGAATATTCAACCGGTGCTGCACTTCACTAATATTAGACTGAACCTGGTGATGAAATTCCTAAAACACAAACTGATACTTGCTTCACTTGATTTTTCAGACGAAAGCTGGATAACACAAATGTTGAATCCAGGGAATATATTCTCATCTCGACGGGGAAAAGCTGCCGAAACTTTCAACGTCCTCCGAGGATTGAAGTTTAAGGGATACAAAGGTACGTTTTGGCGAAATGTCTCGTTTCGAAACTTTATATAAGACATAAATTGAATAAATGAATGGGGTTACCGGGGGATACAATAAGGGTATCATTTCAATTAAAGAATTGTAAATAATATCCTCAATTTGGTGTTACATAATTGTGCGTAGTGTCAAAAGTTTGATAGTTTGAAAATTTGCGTTTGACACTAGCTTTTTTCCTCATCAGACGCAGACTTTGATGACTCTGCCGGTAAAGATAAGACGATGTGCATTGTGGACAGCGGTATTGCATTCAATTCGCCGTATCCAGCAATGTTGCGACCAGAGAGAAAAGTCGAACTCATCTTGTCCTTCGATTTCAGTCAACGCGATGGTGGAGATAAAGAGCTGCCATTTAAGGTGAGTAAGCCCGGCTACAAAGATTAAACCAGTTTAACTGCGATATTTGGTATTAAAACGACATTTGCAGATGAATAAATTGCATTTCTGTCTCAATTGAAAACGAATGTTGTCCTTCTGCGAATAGATTGGAACTTCTGGTACTGAAAACCCTTTACTTAATGTTCGTCTCATTTTTTCTTAATCTAGGAACTCTTGAAAGCAGAAGAATGGGCGAAGGAACATGGTCTTCCATTCCCACAAATCAAAGGGAACCCAGTCACGGAGGATCCTGAGATTCGCGAATGCTATGTCTTTGAAAACAAAGATGACGGCAAATGTCCAACCATCCTGCATTTTCCTCTTGTGAACAAGACATTCCGAGATTATCTTGAACCAGGTATGCATACGAATAACTTCAAAAACTTGTTGAGGATTCGAGCCAATCCCCTCGTTAGGTTGAAGTGTCTGTCACAGTAAATTTGCCCTGCCTTTCTCGACTTATTCCATTTTTACTCTATGAATTAAAATATCGAGTGAAGCACAGATAAGGCCCTGAAAAATGTCGAAAACAACAGATAAGAAAACACATAGGCCATTCGACAAGAACATGTTGGCAGACTGGCGAACTTAGTTCAGATTTTACATTTCTAAATAGACCGTTTCAGGACAGTATGCTTCTTTTAAAAACAGAATACCAATTGAAATACTTTCTCTTTTAGCGGGTTATAATAGTCCCATTAGGATTAATGCTGGATTGCATATAGTTATATAAAAGTTGCAACGCCACCTTTAGTAATCAAATCTTTGATATAACCTTTTAGGGGTGCCTCGTGATACAGTGGACGCTCGCGATTTCGCCAACTTCGATATCTTCGACGACCCTGATGAACCCTATTCATCCTTCACCTTTGAGTACGAGGAACGAACATTTAATCGACTGAAGGAAATGATGAGGTTCAACACCTTGTTAAATATGGACCTCATCAAGGCAAAGATTGCAGAACAAGTTACGTTCAGGAAAAACAATCCGCACTTTGCGTAAATGTAAACCTTGGTAAGCCATGAAGATAACCAGGAAATAGATTTGCTTTTGACACGATCCATGAGTTTCATGAAATGCAACTCTTATAACAACTAGTCTTTGAACTGTAATGTAAAAAAACAACTAGTCTTTGAACTGTAATGTAAAAAAACAACTAGTCTTTGAACTGTAATGTAAAAAAACAACTAGTCTTTGAACTGTAATGTAAAAAGACAACTAGTCTTTGAACTGTAATGTAAAATTTGAGACCAATCACTCTTAAACAAAGTAAGTTATTTGTATTGTGAGGTAAACCATCCACATGAACACCACAGATGCTGCTCATCGATTGTCGTTACTAATCGAAACGTGTGACTACGGAATAGGAGATTTTAATGTGATTTATTATATGATAGAGTTTATTTTCTTTAAAATTTTGTAAAAATTTATAGCCTGAAAATTAAAGAATATTATTTATTAATGATACCGTCTGTCAATATTCTTCGCATGTATTGCTTTTCCTCTAACTCGTTCTGACTTCCACTAGTTGATAAGTTAACTCGAAGAATGCCGCCGTATATTACGCTCTGATGATCCGCCAAATTTACCGTCTTGACAATTACAACAACTACTACATTTCATTATTCAGTGTTATCTACCAGATCACTGTAAAAAGTTTCGTTCCAATTTGGCTAGGCTTAGTTCCAATTCACATCAACACCCCCCTGTTATTCGAAAAACACCTTTTGAGTCCTGTTGAGATTCCTTTAAATCCGTGAATGTTCCTAGTTAACTCAGAAATACACGACTCTGATTGGCCAATTCTGCCTTTAACAGTTGACTATAGTCTTATACAACTGGCCCCCGTACGTTAAAAAGTTGATTTTTGGCAATTTTATCAATATAAGCTTCATTGTTTGATTTCATAAGAAGCATACGCTGAAAAACAACACCTTGTTATCAAACTCAAGACGTGAGTTACATACAACAAGACAACAATTTGTGGTGATATTTCGACTTAAATAAATAACGTTCAACGGATGTTTAAGCTTGCGTCTTCGTTCCTGGCTCTTTCAGGTCTGGCGACGTCATATAGACTCAAAAATAAAAGGCTCTTTTTCCAGCCGTTTATATAAAGCTCTTTAGACCACTTTTTTCCAGCCGTTTATATAAAGCTCTTTAGATTAGGTACTTTAAAAATTTGAGATCAGATAGACAATTGGAGCATGATACGGAATTGAAGCAAACTTAGACTAACTTAATATCTGTTTTAATAAAATATGATGAAAAAACGACCAGGGATTATTCAGAATCCACAGGAGACTAAACTTCGCGCTAAACTTCAAAAGGCTGGCTGTTAATGTGACTTATTTTCATGACAAATCAAAAATGCAAATCATTGAATACACATGCATCATCTTATGTGTATACTTTATGCATACATTCGGGTTTTTTATGTCGAATCGCGCTTACTAGCAATCATGGCATTCAAGAGGCCAAACCTGCCCTTCATTGAGTATTAAATTCCCAGGTCATAGCCATAGTGAGGATTTTCTCTTTCGAACTCTCTCTCTTCGCACACGTCATTAAGTTATTTAAGCATGTTTTAAATCACGAACGACTGACGAACGGTCATGCAATGCATGTAAGACCCCTTGCATAATCTCACAACGTTGTGATCCCGGATTTTTTCGCCGCAGGGCACCCGTGTTATTTAATTTGTCTCAATTTTGTTTTAACAATGCCAGAAGACGCTCAGCAAAAGCTATAAAGTTAAACAATCTATACCCTTCTACTTACTTACATGAATCTTGGCGTGGCAGATAGGGCGTCAGTCGACGCATCTATTGACATATAAGAATCACGAAAAGGGTCACGTGACATCCATTGACTGACGTTCCTGTGCTTGTGACAGTTGACACGACCAAGATACCGACACGAGAATATAAAACGAGTACGGTTGTAATTAGCGAATCAAAATACGCCAGCTCCAAGAAGACAGGACAACTCGGAATCTGTAAGTAAAAACATTGCTTTTAGAGATACTTTGCGTTTGAACACGGTAAAATAAAGTTCATCCTTATTATTGTGGTACATCATAGTGATATACATGTTGAATTTGTATCAGTAACTCACCATGCTGATCTATAAGCCATGTTTACACAACAGTCAATTTATTGGTAGGACATGGTTAAAATAGGTACTCCGTATATAGTAATTCCATTCGTGCTCTCGCCTTAGTATTGCTAACCTGAGCACTGATAAAATTGGGTACAGGTACCACTTTTAGCCGTACCAATAAATTGAGTGTAAGCGATGCTATAATAACTTACACGGTATGCGGACCCCCTGGTTGCCTAAACAGTATACTATACCAACATTGGTCATTGCAATGTAATTCGAACCACATACCATGCATGCCCTTACTTTCGAACGGTATTGAAGCTATATATTACCTATAGTCCATCGTAAACGGAGTTTAACGGACCCAACTCTGAAGAGTGTGTTATAAGCAAACATTGTGGTTGGATCAAGCATAAATATCAGGGGCAAGAGAAAGAGAGTTTTATTGACGTGCCCCGTGTCATTGCTGAGAAAACGTGCGAGCTAACAGCTACGGAATTTAGGAACAGCATATGCATATAGAGAGGTACAGGATAAAAGCGGATATTAAAAGGCTGTTATCATAATATAAAACACCATAATTTCTTGTATATTGCATGTCGTGAGCTGTTGTAATTCGGTTTACAAATTTCGTATTTCGCAAAGAATTACAACTAGGAGATGTGAATAACGAAAATTATGACGAATTATGATTTATGTTTATGAAAACACACCTAAATGCGTGCTTCACGAAAGCAATCTCAAATGGACGATTTAAAAAATTCGCATTAATTTTGTGAAGACCAGTTTACAAGGGGCGATTTAGGGCGATTTTCTTCCTTCGAAAGATGTTATGGGGTAAATGATTTTCGGATGTTCAATCAAGGGCTCTTAATAACGGAACATTCATAACTATTCAAATGATTCCATCAGTCAAAAGCGAGTGGAGTGTTATTATTAGCTGAGCTAAAGGCCTCGCGAGGCTGTTACCTCAGCAAGTTACTCTCGTGTGCGGATAGTTTTTCGCGAGGAATTCGCCTCGAGAGGAAAGTTTCTCAGGTGTGCGGATGATTTTCGGGCTGAGCTAACTCACCTTGCGAGATCGTTAGCTGAGCTGATAGATCTCGTGTGCCAGCCCTTTAGAGTCGCAATAAAGTTACGCCTACTCAGGCTTCTCTAGTGTGTACTATATAAAGATATACGGAACTTATATTATATTATATTATACGGATAAAAAGCTCTTTTAAAGGCTCCTTTTCACGTCATCAATTGCACGGAATTTATCAAGTTATACCTTGTCTGCCTGTACCTAGTTAAATCCAATGGCTAAAGAGACTCAAAGTCGAAGGAAGAATTCTGTATTGTCTCAGCCTGAATGCCGTGATTGAATTACTCACTGCACGAAAGCTACTTCATTTCAACTTGAACGTTTCCTAAATGCGTGCGTGCACGCACGAAATGTTCTGAAGAGCAATCATGCAGAGGCATTCTGATTGGTTTAGCTTGAAAAATGTAAGCAAATTAGCCAATAGGTTCAAAACGAAATTTCCCCTTATTGTTCCAGAGATCACTGATCATACATAAGCTTTTGCGTACATTTTCTGCTCATGCTTGTCTGAGGTGGAATTCTTTATTTTTTCGTCCTGCACGAAGAGCGTACAGACAATAAAAAAATTCTGATCCGCGCGCAAAATTTCAACTAGTTCCAAAAATGTTCAAATTTCGCATAAGGGAGAGAAAGCTATGGAGTCATTGCTCTCGTGCATACTTTTTCTGCCGGGGATTTTTTGAACATATTCCTCCCTCTCCGATAGAGTCAAGATTTTCAAAGGAAATTTATTTAGAAATGAGAACGCTGTATGGAGTTGAACAGTAACGGGGGGGGGGGGCGGAGGGTGCTAGAACTTCGTTTATAAACATTGCTTTATCATGATCAACTGGAAACAAATTGAGCCTTTTTAAAAGTGCACAGGAAGCTTATCAACTTTTTATTTCTTGTTTATATTCGGCATATCGCGCTCATATTTTAGCCAATCCGCTCTCAAAAAAGTATATTTTAGGACATATTAGGTTGTTTCAACCGCAAAATGTTTTTTTATTTGACAAGTTCCAGTCCTTTCCCGCCAGTTTAGATCACATTTTGTTTTTCTTTAACTGTAGTATAACTAATTATCTGAAAATGGAACGATACGAGGTAATTAAAGTGGCGAATGCCTCATGTTAACTTGCGGATTTCGTAAGGAAGACAAATGCTTATTTTTGATAGCAGAAGTTGCTTGACAGCGTGTATCATGATAAACTCATTAGCAAAAATGTCCACTCGACAGTTGAAGGTCTTTAACGGTATCACATTTTTCTGCTTAGGTGAAACAAGAAAAAATAAAGAAGTTGACCGTAAAAGTCATCGGGGCAAGAGGAGTGACTGTAGGAAAATGGTCAGACAGAGGTAAGACTTGAATAAATGATCTAAGATGTTCAACTTACACCATAGATACTCTTGAACGCGAGAAATTTTTCGGCAATTTGTCAACGTTGTGCAATAAAGATTACGCGATGTGTTCAAATATCTTCGTTTCTCGATGTAGTGGATACACCAGACCCGTATGTCATGCTCCGTGTTCGAACAAGTCCGAACGCAAAACAAAAAACAACGACAAAAAAGAATGATGTCAATCCAGTATGGAACCAGAGTTTCACATTTTATTTAAATCCGGAAAGAAGAAATATATTAGGTATGTTGCTGTTTTTGACCAAGATAATAATTCTTGAATGAATTATAATTTTTTAACTTTTTGAAATGACTTAACTTTCCTTCTAAAAAATATATCTCCGAATGGAATTTTAAAAAATTCCACCGTGCATGCCGTGTAACAATAACTTTCTGTTCCGAGGAAATGTTTTCGGTGTGTAGCTAAATGCAGATTAAGAATTGCCTATAATTAGGACAATGTTTCCAGTGAAGATTTTAAAAATATGTTTCTATAAAAACTTCATTCAAAATCATTCATTCTAATTTTTTGCAGAATTGATAATGATGGATGAAGATTTCGGATTCGATGATAAAGTCGGAAGGGAAGAAGTCAAAATTGATCATCTCCAGGTCGGAGAAAGCAAAGTCGAGACAATTGATTTTAGGAAGGTAAGTCTTCAGGGCAGTTTAGGTTTTTTGTAGATCAACCTTTCATGAATTTATGTTTCTTTACTTAAAAGTTAAAATGTCATCTGTTGCAAGATATGTTATAATGACGTAATTGATTATAATTACTAAAACATGATTTATTTAAAATAACTATGCAATGCCGCCAATACTAATTGGAAAAATTCTGACCATAAGGACGCTGCATTCCCCGTTAGTGACGAAATTTAAAAGACTGCTTATTTTTGGAACGACACCCTTGCGGTGCGTAATCCAAATATTTTCGGCACAGTGCTCTTAATTTTTGTAGTACAAATGCATATTTAAAGTTTCTCAAACCTGTATCTATTTTACAACATAGCCATATTCCAACATAGCCATACTTGGTTGGCCTTTTTTCAGAAGATCAGCCTAATGCTAATTATTTATCTGTATTTCTTTAACAGAATAAAAATAAAAACAAGTCCGCCGAAAATAAAAAGGTGAGGTCACCTTGATTGACATGGAATTGTATGTACATATTCACAGATGATTTAAAAAAAAATATATATATAAGCAACATCAGCGACACAACAATCGACTCGCGCATCATAAATCGATCACTGTTGCATGAAATTTGAATCATTGGCCAATATTATTTTTCATTATATTTATGACCAGTAAAGTAGACGCCAGGGTCGTTCGACGTGACAGGGTCTCATTAAAAACTGAAAAACACTAGTTTTTTAAAACACATATTCATTTCATGTTCATCAGCGAACGTAAATGTTGCTAGATATCCAGACAACACAAGGTATTTCAGGAAGTATAGAAGTTCAAAATGTAAACAAACATTTGTTTACATACGGACTTGACTTCCTCACTTCCACTTTAAAAATAGTGAAATTCCTAACGGACTTGACTTCCTCACTTCCACTTTAAAAATAGTGAAATTCCTATATTTTTTATAGCAAACCACTCTGGATATTGAACTCTCCGTAACTTACGAGTAAGTCGTTGTTTGTATTTAAACAAAGACAGTTACATCCAGGTAGATTTTTGTCCGAACGTTCTGAATTTTGACTGCATATACAGGGTGTCCCAAAAACTCCCGAACTATTGAATTAATATGAATAGCGCCCTTTTGGAACCCACAAGTGTATAAATGTTTGATTAAGCACTTTTATGCATGATGACAACAAACTTTGTTTGTTAAATTATCTCATTCAGTGACACGAGAGAACTGAGGTTGAGCTATGATCTTTGTGAGGAAGAAAAAGATTTTCTCAAGAAACGAAAAGAAATCATATTGGAAAGTATTCAAAAAATATACAGTGAAAAAGAAGAACCCAGTTATGATCTACAAGACGGAAATAGAGAAGATTTTCTCCAGGAACCCAATGAAAAGAAACGAAAAGCAATTCCAAAAATTCGCGATGGAAAAGAAGCACCTGCTTCGGTGAATCAGGTAAGTAAGACATCTAGGTTTTTTGGAGAAAGAGACTTTTGAATCGAAGCTACTTTTGTATTAATTTATTTCAGTGATAATGGTGTTGACATTTATAACAATAACGATAGACCAATAAATGCAATAGAAGCATCTGCGTGATAATGTCAATTGTATAAAAGTTCCGATGATATTAATATACATTAGATGACATATACAACACTAACTAGGTAACTCTCGTCGGTCTAGGTACCAACTATTGCTATCATGGGATCAGGAGGTGGTTATAGGGCAGTTTGTGGTTTAGCAGGAGTATTCTGTGCTCTGCAAGAAGGAGGAATCTTAGACTGTGCTACATATGTCACTGGACTATCCGGATCATCATGGTACGAATAAGAATTGATCGAAATACTTCATTTCGATATTATATAAAGACAAAGTCTTTTTAACAACGCCATGTTATTTGTACTAAAATGGATGTATGTATTTTAAACTAGCAAACACGACTTTGTCGATCTTTTCTTTATAGGTACATATCATCATTGTATGCAAGAGAAGGCTGGCCGGATCACTGGTCTTGTGAGGATATGGCCAAAGACCTACAGAAACGCTTCGATACCAAAATCCACAGCCATTTTGATCTGTTTGACATTAGGCGTTTCCTGGGACGAAAGGCAGACACTGGGCAACTTGTACGCTTTACCGATGTATTCGGCATGGTTATTGGAGACGCATTGCTTACGGTAGGTAGATAGATATAAGTGGAAATATTTGGCAAGGAGATTCGTCTTCCATTATTTCAAACACGATAGAACATTTCTTCTAATAAAATTTCACTTCCAAGGGGCCTAGTACACGTTTTTAAATATGGCTTTTTTTTTCTAGAGTCAAGTGTCAAAATTGAGTTACCAGACTCAAAAAGTAAAGCACGGAGAACTACCGCTGCCCATTACCACCGGAATTCGTGTTCGCAAGGATTTACCAGCGGCCGAATTTAACGGTAAATATACGTAATGTTTACTCTATTTGGTTATTAAATCAATGGCCTCGAAAACTTACACTATAGGTTATTCCTAGCCAATCAAAATCATGCATTAAACGTCTCTTGTCCTATTCTTGTTCTCATTATGAAACTGGAATAACAAATTAATTGTCTTTGTAGAATGGGTAGAGTTCAGTCCCTTTGAGTACGGCATCGCTAAATACGGCGTTTTTGGAAAAACCGGTGAATTTGGCGGGAAATACTACAAAGGAAGTTTAGTGAAGAAGTATGAAGAAGCTCCACTGCATTATTTACAAGGTATTTGGCAGTTAACTTGGTTTATTGGCTTCTTGAATGCAAAAAGTACTTCATATTGCTACTCTAAGCTCATCTTATAGCGATTTTATCGCCTCGAAGATAGACTACGAACATGGTGTGTTATCTTACAAAATACTTGCATATTTTTACTAGGAATTTGGGGAAGTGCTTTCAGCATCATCTTGAATACACTGAAAGACCGTAACAAGAAATCCGAAGAGGAAACAAGTCAGTTTTTTTACAATCTATTTGCAGCTATATTTATGTTGATAATATTTTTCGGACGCGATGCAATCTGTTAGCATAAACCTCAAAAATATAGTCCAGAATGGGACGCTTTCTGGTTCAAAAGTAAACAGCATAGTTTGGTTGTAAAATGTAGAAAATATAGCCAAAAATAAAATATATGCTGAATAGCAAACAGCAAAGTTGGTTGTAAAAGGTAGGAAACATAGCCTAGAGTACTCTACTATATTGTATAATCTTTTTTTACTGCCCTTGATGCAGATATATATAAAACATTTACGAGTTTTACAGCAGTGTATTTTTTCACACCTCGCAAGATTTTGCAAGGAACAAATCCTTGATATGCCTCCTTTGTTGATAAATCTTGTTCTTTTTGCCTAAATCAAATTTAGTTTCCCGGTAGACCATGCATATATTCATTGCTTAGATCATTTCCAATTAACTAGCGTTGTATTTATATTTTTAGAGAAAGTTGTATTAAAAGAGACGGGGCAATTGAAAGCTGAAGATGACGATAGCGAAGATGAAGATTACGATGAATTTAATGGTAATCGTTCACTGCATGCACTTGCAAATTTTATGTATTTACGCGAAAATCTCTAATATACTGGTTTTGAAGGTACCTGGAAACATTGTGTTAAGTAAATGTTTGCTCTGATTTGATTTCAGATGAAGGCTGGATACGACAAATGTTTAATCCATGGAATATAAAATCAAATCGTCGAGGAAAAGCTGCTGAAACATTTAACATCCTCCGTGGATTAAGATTTAAACGATCACAAGGTAGACTAAGACTTAAACGATCAAAGGTAGAATACGATTTAAACAATCACAAGGTAGACTAAGATTTAAACGATCAAAAAGTAGACTAAGATTTAAACGATCACAAAGTAGATAAGGATTTAAACGATCACAAGGTAGACGAAGATTTAAACGATCACAAAGTAGACTAAGATTTAAACAATCACAAAGTAGACGAGGATTTAAACGTTCACAAAGTAGACGAGGATTTAAACGTTCACAAAGTAGACGAGGATTTAAACGTTCACAAAGTAGACGAGGATTTAAACGTTCATAAAGTAGACGAGGATTTAAACGTTCACAAAGTAGACGAGGATTTAAACGATCACAAAGTAGACGAGGATTTAAACGTTCACAAAGTAGACGAGGATTTAAACGTTCATAAAGTAGACGAGGATTTAAACGTTCACAAAGTAGACGAGGATTTAAACGATCACAAAGTAGACGAGGATTTAAACGTTCATAAAGTAGACGAGGATTTAAACGATCACAAAGTAGACGAGGATTTAAACGTTCACAAAGTAGACGAGGATTTAAACGATCACAAAGTAGACGAGGATTTAAACGATCACAAAGTAGACGAGGATTTAAACGATCACAAAGTAGACGAGGATTTAAACGATCACAAAGTAGACGAGGATTTAAACGATCACAAAGTAGACGAGGATTTAAACGTTCACAAAGTAGACGAGGATTTAAACGATCACAAAGTAGACGAGGATTTAAACGATCACAAAGTAGACGAGGATTTAAACGATCACAAAGTAGACGAGGATTTAAACGTTCACAAAGTAGACGAGGATTTAAACATCACAAAGTAGACGAGGATTTAAACGATCACAAAGTAGACGAGGATTTAAACGATCACAAAGTAGACGAGGATTTAAACGATCACAAAGTAGACGAGGATTTAAACATCACAAAGTAGACGAGGATTTAAACGTTCATAAAGTAGACGAGGATTTAAACGATCACAAAGTAGACGAGGATTTAAACGTTCACAAAGTAGACGAGGATTTAAACGATCACAAAGTAGACGAGGATTTAAACGATCACAAAGTAGACGAGGATTTAAACGTTCACAAAGTAGACGAGGATTTAAACGATCACAAGGTAGACTAAGATTTAAACGATCACAAGTTAGACGAGGATTTAAATGATTGAAGGTATAGAATAAGGATTAAACGATTAAAGGTAGAATAAGATTTAAACGATCAGAAAGTAGACAAAGATTTTAACGATATCACAAAGTACATTGCATAAGTTTCAAGGCGTTCATATAACACGAGTTGAGTTACAATACTCGCTATTTTCAACGACTGACAGTCGTTGAAAATTTGCGTTTGACACTAGCTTTCTTCCTCATTAGACGCAGACTTTGACGACGCTCCCGGTAAAGATAAGACGATGTGCATTGTGGACAGCGGTATTGCATTTAATTCGCCGTATCCAGCAATGCTACGACCAGAGAGAAAAGTCGAAATTATCTTGTCGTTCGAATTCAGCGATCGTGAAGGGGGAGACAAAGAGTTGCCGTTTAAGGTGAGTATAAGTATGTGACACCTAGGGCCCGTTCTTAAAAAGGCGCTTGGCTTAAACGGTGGATGCTAAACCATCTTGTATCATCTTGCATCTTGTGCACTAATATTTTACATTTCACATCGAAATATTACAGCTCAGTTGTTCACTAAATAGATAATTTTGTTTTCCATTTTGAATTTACATACAATACACCGTTTAAGCTACAATCGTCTTTCAAACAACCGACCCCAGGACTTTTAGCGCCACGCGCGGCACGGCTGTCATATTCTTGCATGTCGAATTCGTCTTCCAAGGAAATCGAATAGAGGGTTCGGACTGTGTCTTTTGAATCCATCCCGACTTTCAGCTGCTGTTTTAAGTATTATAACTTTTGATAAATGAAACTGTAACTGAATGATCGTGTATTTTTCTCCGAATTAGGAACTGTTGAAAGCAGAAGAATGGGCAAAGGATCATGGTCTTCCATTCCCACAAATCAGAGGGAACCCAGTCACGGAGGATCCTGATATTCGCGAATGTTATGTCTTTGAAAACAAAGAAGACGTCAAATGTCCAACCATCCTGCATTTTCCACTTGTGAACAAAACATTCAGAAGTTGCTACGTCAAGCCAGGTGAGAATAATATATGCTCACGTTACTAATAAACACTAATAAGACTTAAGTTTGTCATCGACGAGCTTTGAGCATATATACATCTTTAGTTCATAATTATAAATACATTTTCAAAAGGAAAAGAGAATGGAATTAGGATTCTACCGATTACCTTTTCTTACAATTGCAAACAAATTTATTTAGTTCGCTGCGTGGTCACTACAATATGATTCCACTTAAATTTTTGCAGGGACATTTTGTGATACAGAGGAAGCTCGCGATTTTGCCAAATTCGATATCTTTGATGACCCTGAGGATCCCTATTCAACCTTCGAGTTTCAATACGAGGAACGAGCATTTGATCGACTGAAGGAAATGATGAGATTCAACACGTTGTTGAATATGGACCTCATCAAGGAGAAGATCGCAGAGCAAGTTACGTTCAGGAAGAACAATCCTCACTTGGCTTAACTGTGAGCTTTCAGAATGACTGCACAGACAGATTTGCTGCACGGAAACCATCTGTTCGTTTGAATCAAATGCAGAACTAGTTCGTTTGAATCGTAATGTTTAATCTAGAATAATTTCAATTCAGGACTCGTCTATCGACTCGGTTCGAATTATATTTAACTTTAACAAATGATCCATTGTCGTTCTTGAAGAAAATTAGGTTGACTCATTTACACAGTCATAGACCTTTAATATTAACAATTATGTCTTGAGATTGTCTTAGAAATTATTTTCTTAGAAAAATGTAAAGGATTTGGCGTACGAAATAAACAGACGATGTTTATAAACGATTAATGCATGTTGTTCTCAAACTGATGTCTTAACGGTTTAGAAAGTCAAATATTCGCTGGCAAAAATAGTTAACAAAATAAAGTAACAATGGTAATAACTTGATAATATTGTTAATTTTTTGTTGTATTTCTATAGTGTAAATGCAATACTGAGAAACATAATA